GGTCGCACCATGTGGGGCAAATAGGAGGTGCGGATTCAATGTTTAATGAAGTGAACTCAGCTGTCCGCAGCCCACCTGCACCGACTTCAGAACTTCTCTCTTAGCATCCCTTCCAGCCAGGGCCCTGTACCCAGGGAGGGGAGACAAGGGCATTGCCTGGTCCGGGGAGAACAAAAGGTGCCGGAGACCTGCTGGGCCTGCATGGAAGTCCGAGTGGTGCTGGGAACTCCGGTTAAGACTCCTGTGCAAGGTCGCTGGTCCCACTGGGGTGGGTTTCCTGCTCCAGGTGCTAGTCACTGTCCAGGGCTGAGGCCTGGCAGGTCCTCATCCCCACTGTAGGGGGAAGGGCCTTCTTCGTGTCACCAAACTCAAGTGGTCCCACGGGGACCTTCTAGGTCCCCGGGGACAAGGAGGGCAAACCAGGGTGGGAACGTGAGCAGGGATTTGAGGTTCCTGGAAAGGCCTGGGAGGGTGTCACCATGTGGGGTGGGGGTGGGTGGGGCTTGTTTTCAAGCAGTTGGGTGGCTCCTTCGTCTGTGTCTCAGTTCATGGAATTTTTCCATCCCAGGCCGCTCTGCCAGGCCAATGATAAGGCTGGCTGCTGTGTGTTTGTTTCTGTGTTGGAAAAACTCAGCTATTCCAGGCAGATGTCAGCAGCCTTTCTCCCCAGCCAGGGGGCAGCCTCCCAGCCACAGCTGCTTGCATTCTAGCACTTGCCCTGCAGCAGCATCCTGGGCCTGGGCCTGGGCCTGGGCTGCCCCAGACCAGCATGAACAGAGCAGCCCAGATGACCTAACCCTATCCCTGCTCCCACCCTGGCCCACCACACCTCCCCCCGTCTCTCTTCTGGGTCTCTGCCTCGTTCCTCTCATTCCTGCTTCTTCCTCTCCCTCCTCCTTTCTCCCTTATCCGCTCCATCTATCTTTCCCTTCCTTTCCATCCTTCCCTCCGCCCCTACCACCCTCTCTCCTTTCCTCACTCCCATTTCACCCCTGACTCCTCCCCCGCCTCTGGCAGAGGGTGCAGGGAAAGGCCCCAACTGCTTTAAGTGGCTGCTGAAGCTCTGAGTTTCCAAGGAAAATAAAACCCAAGTTACTTAAGGCCACCCTGGCCCATGCCTTACCACCGCCCCGCGGGGCTGCCTGGTTCCAGATCCTCTCTGCAATGGGGCGGAAGGAAGCCGGGATCACTCTGTTTACAAGGCCATGGAAGCAGCTTAGATAACCAGTGGCAGTAGTTCTTTGAACCCCTGCTCATCCCCCAACCCTGCTGAATGGAGGCAGGCCTGTGAGAGCAAATGGCGAGTCCAGTTGGAGAGCGGCCAGGCCTTAGTGGAGGCCTAGGCTGTCCCTGAGGCTGGTTCCCTGCCTGGCTGTCCGGTGGGGGTGGTGCTGGCTTGTCCTCACTGTCTTCTGCCGGAGACTCCTCAGGCCCTCGGACCCGAGCTGGGTAAGCCTTGCAACAGGAGAAGCTCAGCAGCGCAGGCTCACCCTCACGGATGGGAATCAGGAGAGGGAGAGGGTCCCAGAATCTGTTTGGAGTCAGTAGCCCGTAAGGTGAAAACTGTCGATTTTGAGAGAGAAGCAGAGACCGCAGCCTTGCAGCTCCAGGCCCCCCAGACCTAGTGGGCAGGCCCCCCTTTAACATGAGCCAGCCTGTTTCCAGAAGATGCTGGTCACGGACCTGAATGCCGCGTGGACTCCTCCCCGATGGGGGTGACTGGCGGAGCCCCCTGAGCCCAGCTTCTGCTCCTCCTCTGGGCCTCAGAGGCCTCCCCACCAGGGGAGGGTGTACTCACAACCCACCCTGTGTCTCCGGCGCTTTGTGGACATTCCTAATTTATCTACCCATAACTGTGAGTGATGTCATCTCCAGTTTACAAATGAGGAAACCGAGGCACGCTGTGTCAGTCCACCCCCACACAGGCACCACACAGGCACCAGAGTCATACCTTTACAATGTCAGTGGGGCATCGGCCTGCAGACTGAAGGGTCCCAGTTTCAATTCCAGTCAAGGGCATGTACCTTGGTTGTAGGCACATCCCCAGGAGGAGGTGTGCAGGAGGCAGCTGATCGATGTTTCTCTCTCATCAATGTTTCTAACTCTCTATCCCTCTCCTTTCCTCTCTGTGAAAAATCAATAAAATACATTTTCTAAAAAATTTAAATGCCAGTGGGCCTTGCCCTAAAACCCTTGTCCACGGAGCCCCGAAGGAAAGCCAGGCTCCTCAGCGTGGCCCTGAGCAGGTTCGGGGCTGGCTCCTCCCCTTCCTCTCGCTGGCTCCCCACTTCCTCCTGCTGCCTTCCAATCACACAAACACCATGTGTTCCTCCCACGTGGAGGCTGGTGCTGTGCACGTGGGCGGGATGCCGCCCAGGCCTCCATTGCTGGTACCAATTCTCCCCTCACCTGCCAAACCCCAGCCTGGAGTCACTGCTCCTGGAGTCACTGCTCCAGGCCCTTTCTCGACCCGTCCAGGCTGCACTAAGCAAACGTCCTGCCACAACGGAGACCCTGTGTGACACTACATGTGAGCTGCACCCTGCTGTGGTCTCAGCACTCTGCCTTCTGCTGGAGGTGAGCTCCGTGGCAGGCAAGGCTCCTAGTTGCCTGGCAGCTGCGGGCACCCACTTTGCATCTGAGAACCGGGCAGCCCTTCATTTTCAGTGTCATTAGGACTCAGAGAGGGGTATTTAAGCGGCCTTCAGGTACCTGGGGTCTTACAAGGTCCCTCTGGCCACGGGCCTTGGTGCATTCCCACCCCTCATCCCCCCAGAGGCGGAATGAGCAGCTCTGAGAAGTTGAGATGGTGCAGATGCCGTGTCCTGCGCTGCCCTGCACTGGATGGACTGAAGGCTTGGAGCGTTCCCCCGCTGGGCTTTGCTCATGAGCTCCTGGAGCTTGGACCATGCATGTCATCCTCCAACAATCTGCACTTGGCCTTCGGGGCTCCCCTGGCGGCGGGCTGAGCCCCACCAAGCACGTGGGGCCCAGAAGCAGCTGCCGGGGAAAACCACGGTGGGGCTTCCCTGCAGCGGATGGCGATCCCGAAGTGTTGGCCGGAGCCCCTGTGGCAGGGCCGACCGGAGGTGGCCCCGGGCCCAGGGCCACGGAGGGAGCAGCTGGCTTCCGGAGCCTCAGAACCTGACCCCATAGGGCTTACAACCCACGGCAGGAGGCCCAAGTGGCACGCACGAAGCCACTTAGGCCTGATGCGAGCAAACCCCACCGCCCTCCCCTCGGCCTGGAGGGGCTGGTCTCTCCACAGAGCAGCACAAGGAGGTGGCAGATGCGGGGCCCCAGCCTCCCCCCACTCTGCCCCGTGGCCAGGCAGACTGCCCTCCTGATGCGGGGGCTCCAGGAAGCTGGGCAGGAAGGACTTCTGGGGTTATCTGGGGTCAAGCATGATGTCATCTTGATGCTTTGAAGCACACAGTGGGGCTTCTCATTTGTTTCCCTCCTCTACTGGGGCTACGATCCTGTGTACTTCCTCCCCCCCCCCCCAAGCCAGCGGGGAGCCCAGCTCTGGTTAAGGGGCCTGGAGGTTCTCAGGGGAAAAACTAAATGTGCACCATCCTGACTGCCTCGCCCAGGCACCATGCTAGCTTCTGGACAGAATGAGGGAGGAGGCCCCATTTGACTCACAGCAATGCTCAAACTCAGTATTTCGGACGCAGCCTAGGTTTTGACAAGTGGGGGGTGGGGGAGAGTGGAGGGGTGGTTGGGGAGAGAGGGTACGCACTTAGAGGGTAGATTTGAGGTTTAAAAAGGTCCTTTTTGCAGAAATCGGTTTGGCTTAGTGGATAGAGCATCGGCCTGCAGACTGGAAAATCCCAGGTTCGATTCCGGTCAAGGGCATGTACATTGGTTGCGGGCACATCCCCAGTAGGGGGTGTGCGAGAGGTAACTGGTCGATGTTTCTCTCTCATTGATGTTTCTAACTCTCTATCCCTCTCTCTTCCTCCCTGTAAAAAATCAATAAAATATATTTTAAAAAAATAATAGAAAGGCCTTTTTTTCCTCCTCAAGTTCCAAGTCCCTTATACAGCTTCCCAGCGGACAGGGGTAGGAGAAGAGAGGAATGGGAAGCAGCCCTCCCAGCTGGAGGCCCCTTCCTTGGGCTTTTCCTTGAAATTGGGGAAAAGGCAGGAATCAGGAAGTGACCAGGCCTGCCTCCATTTCCCCATCCTTCTCCTCTCAGATCCTCACGTGCCTGCTGGTTCCCCTGTGGCCTTCCCCGGCCTCACACACAGCCAGCGAGAGACACCCAGACATAGACAGGAAGGCACGTTTATTGCACTTCTTAAAGGGGCAGGCCTTCCTCTCCTCGGGGCTGTGGACGTACAGGCCTGTGCTGATTGTATGGCCATTCCTGACCGGCTGGCTGGTGTCCCAGGACTGGTGGTGCCTCAGAGGGAGAGGGAAGGGGAAGGTCCCCGGGCAGTGGCACCCCCCACCCCCACCCCCCGCCACCCACTCTCTCGCCCTGAGGCTCCGCCAGACCAGGAGCAGAAAGCAAACCAGACTCTGCGATGCCTGCGGCCGACAGGTTCTGTGGCCCTCAGAAACCAGAGGAGAGGGGAGAGGGCTGCTTGTCCAACAAGAAAACAAAACACCAAGGAGGAAGGAAGACTGAGATGAGGCCACTGGGCCCAGCACCCTGGGGAACCCCCGTGGGGCCTCCCTTCAGTTCCCTGAGGAGCGGAGCCCTGTAACCGGGGAGGGGGCTGTCAGAGCCTCTCCCCAGGGCCCTGCAATGTTCGGCCGTGGGTGCCAGGGGACCGTGCGCCTGGCCACGGAGGAGCTGTGCCCGAGCCTGCGTAGGGTGTCCGGTGGGTCCCCACAGACCGCGTGGTGCCCGCATTCAGGCAGGGAAGGTAATGCTGTGACAGCCCCAGCGGTCGGCCAGGAGGGAGGTAGGCTGAGGGTGGGACCAGGGAGATCCCTGGGCTGGTTCCCATGATTCTAATGCTTCAGGCCGCCTTGTGCACCCACGGAGCTCAGACGTCAGGGGCCAACTGGACCCGACTCAACCTGCAAGGAGAGGCACAGGTTAGTTCCTCCCACACGTGAGAGGCCTGGAAACCACTGCCCAGGCCACACAGCGTCCGGCAGCTCCAAGGCTTTCGGGGCTCAGCTCTCCTGTCCCCCGAGAACTCTGGGGTTCTCGGCCCTGGCTGCACTAGCGTCACCGGGAAGCTTATAAAACCCCCGGGCCATGCCCAGAGCTTCTGGGGTGAGACCCCCGGCGTGTGGGTTGTCCCAGGCTCTCCTGGTGAACGCAGTGCAGCCGGGGTGAGGAGGGAGAGGAATTCAAAAGCCTTCTTTAGGCTTCCTGGCTGCAGCTTTGAAGGAGGAAGTGAAAATTCACGAAAATAAAGTATTTTATCTGTAAATAGATGACATATCACAGCAAGAATAATTCATGTCGGCACTAAAATTAGAACTTCCTGCCCATCGGGCTGTGCTGGGAAGGCTTTCTGAGGAGCTGTGGGCTCTCTCCTTGGCGGGCATGTAAGAGATGGAGCCTCCCCTGGCTGGAATGGGACATGACAGATGCCCCCTCAACCCAAGCAGCCTCGGAGACTCTGGAGACGACCGCCAGCTCCTCTGGCCTCCTTGCCTCCTTTCCAGCCTCCCTGCCTCCCAGCCTCCACCCTCCCAGCCTCCCTGCCTCCCAGCCACCCTGCCTCTCACCCTCCCAGCCTCCCAGCCTGGGGAAAGTACCAGGCACAACCCACGCTCACAGCCACGGTCTGCCCGCCCCAGGCCCATTTCTGACTGCACTGAGAACGGTCTTAGCATCAAGGTCGGATGCCTTCTCGTGTATGTCCCACAGTTGCTCAGAATTAGATGGAATGCTCCCCTGGAGGCACTGTGTTCTCCAGACTCCGGGAGAGCTGGGAAGCTTCCGCCCGGCGAGGACGGTGACTCACCTGCGGACAGGCCGGAGCCCCGGCTACCCGCCACCAGACCTGCAGGTGCCGGCGCCGAGGACCCAGCCCTCCCCGCGCACCGCGGACTCCTCACCCTTCGATGATGCAGTTGTTGTCCTGGAGGTCAGAGGCCAGCAGCTTCATCTCCTTACAGAGCTCCTCCATGCTGTCCAGGCAGAGGCAAGAGCGGCCGCTGGGCCTGAGGCCGAAGGTGCCCTGACCGACCCCTTCCCTGGGAGGCCGGCCACCAAGCACTGGCCTTGGGCCCTAACTTTCACCCCCCCTTACACACACACACACACACACACACACACACACACGTGCACACACACGCACGCACACACACGGACACATACATGTGCACGCACACACACACACGGACATCCCTCTCGGGTACTTACTGGAAACTCAGGGCCTAACTTTCATCCCCCCTTCCACACACACACACACACACACACACACGGACACATACATGTGCACGCACACACACATACATGTGCACACACACACACATACGGACATCCCTCTCGGGTACTTACTGGAAACTCAGGGCCTAACTTTCATCCCCCCTTCCACACACACACACACACACACACACACACGGACACATACATGTGCGCACACGCGCACACACACACACACACACACGGACATCCTCTCGGGTACTTACTGGAAACTCAGGGCCTAACTTTCATCCCCACTTACACACACATGCACGCACGCACGCACACGCACACATACACTCGCGCGCACACACAGACATCCCTCTCGGGTGCTTACTGGAGACCCAGGTCCTGCAGCTGGAGGCCCAGGTCCTCCGGGGCAGGACTGGAATACGGGGCTGTGGGGGCTGGGGAGGCCTGGGCCCCCTGCGCTCTGTCCTGAAGGAGCTGGAGAGACAGCCAGTCGAGGATCTGAGGGGAACCACACTTTAGTCAGAAGGGAGGAGCCAGCTCTCCTGAGGGGAGGGCAGTGCCAGGGTAAGGCCGGGAAAAGGTAATAAAAATGGCCCCAGCCCTCTTCTCCAAAAGCTAGGGCCCCTCTGGCGAACCCTCCTGCCCATCCTGGGAGCGCGGCCACCCTCACTGTCCGCGTGGACGTAATGATCCTGGCTGCCAAGTTCTCCCCTGTGTCTAACCTACACCCCTGGTGACACCTGTGCCAGGAGCTGCAGGGAGTGGGGTGGGGGGGAGAGGGAGCCGAGTGGGGGGAGGAGGCAGCCCGTGTGGGGAGGGGAGGCACCGTGCAGCCTCTCCCGGAAGAGGCGCCCTCTATGTTCCTGTTGGTAAAGCCACGGCTTCCCCTGCTGCCTGCACTGGCCTCTTGGCACAGCTCAGATCAGAAGGTCAAGGAGAGGTCACACGGCCCCTCTCAGGAGTGGCCTGCAGCCTCCCAGGCAGGAGGAGGGGGAGGAAGAGGTCCCAGCATTCCGGAGGCTCTGCCCTTGCTGTGACCTTCAGTCTGGATCACCCACTTTCTCCATCACCCCCTCAGGGCGCCTTTGGGGTCAGAGACCTCCCGCTAACCCCAGAGTGCTTGGGCTTGGTCCAGGCAGCTCTGCCCGGAGGCAGGGGAATGGCCGCGTGCCCCCAGGGCACCAGATGGACCGGGCGCCCCCCCCCCCAGCCGGTGCCCTGAAGCCCCCGCACCTTGCTGAGGCCCTCCTGCACCTCCTGGGCTTCGGCGCTGTAGGCAGCCACGGAGCGGGCGACCAGGCGCAGGTGGTTCCTGGCCTCCTGCACCAGCCTGGGGAGGGCAGGCCAACAGTGAGGGCCAGGCTCGCGGGCTCTGCCGGGCCACACCCAGCTGTTTGGGCTGCTGCACAGCCACAGAGGGGAGGCCTCCAGGCAACAGGCAGGCGTCCATGGGTCCAGCCAGTGCCTCCCCCCAGTGCCTCTGCCCCTCTGGGTGCACCCTCAACTCTCCCCTGTCCCCCCGTCCCCCTGTCCCCTTGTGCCCCTGTCCCCCTGTGAGAGTGGTAATGCTATGACAGGCTGATGAGGGTCCCATCGCAACCACCCGGGAGCTGCAAACACCGAGGGCTGCCTGGGTCACCCGGGCCGGGCAGGGGGAGCGCAAGGCCAGGCCGGCTACCGAGTGGGAGCTTCATGTGGGAACTCCTGAGGCTCCCATTCCCGAGAAAACCAAGGTCAAGGCTCTTCTGTGACTTCTCTAAGTGCAGGGAGGGGGCAAGGACATTTTGTCACGGCCCGAAAAGGAAATCAAGTGCAGAGGGCTTCAACCAGTGGTTGGCTGATGCTCAGTCCTGGCTACACATTAGGATTGTCCGAGGAGCTTCTAAGCTGACGCTATCCAGGCCAACTTCAGACCAACTAAACCAGAGTTTGGGCGTGGGGAGCTGAGAATTGGGATTCTAATGAGTGGGCGGGCTCATTCCCAGGCCCCGCGGGTCTCAGACAGACGCACCTGGGCAGCTGCCCCTTCTCTGGAGGAGCCCGCGTGGGTGCAGGTGGAGAAGGAGGGATGGGCTATCTGAGAGGGAGAAGCTGGGAGAGGGGTTTTGTATAAGGTAAGGTGACCAGACGTCCCGCTTTTGGCGGGACAGTCCCGATTTTTAACAATTTGTCCCGCGTCCCGCGGCGCTTTAAAAACGTTCCGATTTTTGGAAAGAAGCGGGACGCGGGACAAATTGTTGAAAATCGGGACTGTCCCGCCAAAAGCAGGGTGTCTGGTCATCTTAATGTAAGGACCTCTGCCCGCCCCTGCTTTCCGGCCACTGGTCCCATCCTAAGGGACCCGTGCTCGCCCCAGAGAGGGAGGCTTCCCACATGACCACCTGGGACCGCGGGAAGAACCCAGGTTTTAGGGTCAGTCACATCCCTATGCTGTTCTGGGCCTGCGACCTGCTAGCTATGTGGTTTCAAGGGAGAGAGACTGTTCCCTGAGCCCCTGTTTCCTGGTTTGGAAGATGGGGTGACAGTGCTTCCTGTGTAGGGAAGATGCTGCGGGATGAAATAAGCTTGTGCGTAGAAATCACCCAGCAAACTGCCCAGCCAAGGACTTCCGAGCCTGGAAGGGCCCGGGGTCCGTGAGCTCAGGAGGCCGGGTCCTTACCTCATGCGGTCGCCGTGCGTGACCAGCGCCGCCTGGTACTTCTGCATGCACTCCTCCTGGAAGACCTGCAGGAGCCTCTTGGCTAAATGGCTGAAGTTCACCCTGGGAAGGAGAGGGAAACCGAGGCACCGAGCTCAGCCGCCAGAGCCACCTGAGCACAAGCCCAGCGTGCCTGGGTCTCCACCGTCTGGTGCCCCGCCTGCCGGCCACAGCGGGGCTGGCTCTCCCGTGGAGGAGGAGGGAATGCCCACACGCGGGAGGCACGGTGACCAGTGTGGCTGGCACACCGCACGGGACCACAGAGGGGGCACAGGCTCTCCGCTTGTCCCCAGAGGGCAGGCGAGGTGACTGGAAAGTGTGTGTGTGTGTGTGTGTGTGTGTGTGTGTGTGTGTGTGTGTATGTGTGTGTGTAGGTGTAGAGGGTCAGGGTGGGTATAGACTTGGGGGAGTGAGTTGCCAAAAAAGCTTTAAATCAGGGGCCCCCTGAGGCATGAAAGGGGAAAGGGAGGAGGCCCAGGAAATGGAAGGGCAGAGGGACAGACAAAGGGGAGGCCAGAGCGGTGGGGGGTGGGGCAAACCAGCGAGGGGACAGGGAAGAAACCCCAGGAGCCGAGCCGTCTTCAGAAGGAAGTCCAGCTCCTGGGGCTGCTCTGAGGAGCCGCCCTCCAGCTCAGCCGCCGTCCCCTGCCCTGGTCCCCGCCCCACATACCGTCACACCGCCCCCTCCTGCCAGCTGCGGCCTGTGACTGGGCCCTTCACCATGTCCTGCCTGGCACAGAGAATCGCTCTGCCCCGTGGCACCCGCCCCCCTACGCCCCCTCCTGCCGGGGACAGGCCACTCACTTATCCAGCTTGTGGATCTGCTCCTCGTTGTAGCCAAGCCCTGCAGGAAACAGCAGACACGATGCCACCTGTTACGCCAGCAACATGGAGTGCCCCGAGGGTTGGGGGACCCCCACAAAGATGCTGTCAGCCTGGCTTGAACCCTGCTCCCTGGGAGCTCCCAGCCCCCTGAGGAGGGGGACAGGGTTGAACCGAGCACCCAAGACATTGCCCCACGACAAGGAAGGAGGTGCTGGGGGCAGGGGCAGGGGAACGCGTCAAGTGGGGGGTGGTGGGTGGAACAGGCCTTGGAGGATGCTTGTGGTCAGCCGGGCCCCTCGGCCACACCGGACCCAGAGTGACTGATGCCTACAGGCTGTTGGCCTCACCCCTGAGTATTCAAGCTGCAGGAGAGCCAGCTGGGCTCTGCAGGGGAGCTGGATAAGCCAGCCCTCCTTTCCCCCCTTCGGCCCCATAACCCTCTTCTCTACCCCGTACCTCCCTTCTCTGCCCAGACACTTTTGCCAGACACGTTTTCACTTCCTGGGCACACCCTGGTGCTCTCTCACTGGGGAGATGCTGCCCCCTCCTGGGTTCTGAGGGAATAGGTTTAGGGTCTTGGAGAGGAAATGAGGCAGAGGTTACATTGCTGACACCCCCTCCACGCCCCTAATAGCAGAATCCTCTTTCTTGGGGTCTTCATCCGGGCACTGTTCACAGCCAGCTGGGCCCCTGTGACGCCCAAGTGACACGCCCCAGGCCTGCTTCCTATTGGCTGGGGGCTGTACCCAGGTGATTGCACCTCACCCAGTCAGTCCCTGCATCTGTCACACGGAGCACACAGGATGGGTGTGAGGGCAGTGAGTGCTCTAGTGCTCACTCCTGAGCATTTATCAGAATGGCCCCTTCCAGCACTCCGAGAGGCATTTTTCCTGCTTCCTTTTAAATTAGAATAAAGGGCTCTTGAAGACCACAGAAATGAAACTTTCTGAGGTTGCAAAACAAGGTGATTAAAAGCAGCTGGTGCTTTTAGGAACAGGTGCTGCCATAGGAACAGGGAGACAGATCAGTGGAATAGAGTAGAGAGCTCAGAAGGAAGCCCAAGTCTATAGGATCAATTCATATATGACAAAGGAGGCAGGAACATACAATGGGGTGGAAGAGAATCTATTTAATAAATGGTGCTGGGGAAATGGGACAGATATGTGCAAGAAAAATGCAACTAGAGCATCTTCTTACACCATATGCAAGAATAAACTCAAAATGGATTAAAGAGGTAAATGTAAGACTCAAAGCCATAAAACTCCTAAAAGTAAACAAAATCTTTGATATCTCTCTTAGCAATATTTTTCCCCCCTGATATATCTACTCAGGCAAGAAAAACAACAAAAAATAAACCAGTGGGACTACACCAAACTAAAGGTTTTCTGCACAGCAAAGGAAACCATCAACAAAATGAAAAGACAATCTACTGAATGGGATGAATCCAATAAGGGGTTAATGCCCAAATTTTAGAAAGAATTCATGCTACTCAATACTAAAAACACACACACACACCAAACAATCCCATTAAAAAAACGAGCAGAGCCTGAAGAGACATGCAGATGGCCATAGACATGTGGAAAATCTCAATGTCACCATCCCCAGAGAGACGCAAATCTACACTAATAAAAGTTAATCAGGCCGGATGTCCTTCTGGATGACCTTCCAGGCGACCTTCCGGACGAATCCGGGGCTGAGAGGGAAGCCTGGGTCCCGGGTGCCAGAGGGAAGCCAGTGCCGGCAGCCGGGGGAAGGAGGGCCTGCTCTTGCACAAATTTCGTGCATCGGGCCTCTAGTTAGAACACAATGCAATATCACCTTATACCTGACAGAATGGCTATTATCAATCAACACATCAACTAACAAGTGCTGGCGAGGATGTGGAGAAAGGGGAACCCTCGTGCACTGCTGGTGGGAATGCAAACTGGTGCAGCCACTGTGGAGAACAGTATGGGGGTTCCTCAAACAGTTAAATATGGAACTCCCATTTGACCCAATGGCCCCACTTCTGGGAATATGTATAATTATGTTTATGTTGCTTATGGATTACATGCTGAAATGACAATTTGGATATATTGGGTTGACTAAAAAATATTATTAAAATTAATCTCACTCTTTTATTTCTACTTTTACATGTTGACTACTCGGGAACTCTGGGTTCCATACGTAGCTGCAGGCCATGCCGTGGGACCTGCTCTGAGATAATCCCAGGAGGATGAGGACTTGGCAGTGAAGCCCAAGACCTGTGAGCTGCCCTGTGGGAAAAGCCTAGCCATGGGGAGGAGGGCTGGGGAGTGGGGGGTGACGGGTCAGGCCCTGGGGGTTAGCTCCTCAGCCTCGAGAGTCAACCGTGGCCTCCCTAGGCCCCCTCCAGTCCCTGCCCCACTGTCCCTGAGTTGGACCCTCCCCTGCCCCAAGATGGCGGTCCCCTGGGGCAAACAGCCTGACCGTTGAGCCCCAGTGAGCTACCCTGACCGAGGGTCCTCGAGAGGCTTCTTAGAGATGCAGCCGAGCGCCTGGTCCAGGGACTCTGGTGGCATTTCTCTGTGTCTGCCCACTTCTGGGAAACCCAGCCGTTTTAGCAAACCACAGGCACACAGACTGGGGAACGCTCCTGGAATTGTAAGGTGCTCGGCAAAGGTGTAGGTTCTCTTCCAAGGGCCACCTGTTGGATGGCAGTCAGGTGCCAGACGCTGTGAATCCCATATGTGTCCCCTCAGACTCCCGTCCCACCTGGCAATCAGTCAGGTGTACAGGCGTCCTGCCTCTTGCTGGTCTGCAGGCAGCTGGTGGCCAGGGACCCGGGGACCCAGCCTTGGACCAGCCGCACCCTGGCTCTGCTTGACCAGTGAGCCCCCAGCAGCAGCCCCGGGAGGAACAGAACAGGGACTGGGCCACTGGCGGGAAGGAAGGAAGGGAGAGGGAGAGGGAGGGAGAGCATGAGTACCAGCGAGAGCATGCTCGGCTCTGCCCTCGGCTCACCTGGTCTCAGCCTGGCCTTCCGGAACTGCTTGAAGATGAGGTGCATCTTGTCCAGGCAGCATTGAATCTGCTGGATGCTGAGGGCGGGAGACAGGGACCTGGTGATGGGAGAATCCAGCAGCACAGAGCACAGGGGGATGCGGGGGGGCTGCAATGGTGGGGGGATGAGGCAGGAGCTGTCTGGCTGCAGAGGAGCCTTAATGTCACAGTTTTGGAGGGCGATTGCGAGTGGAGGTGACTTTCTTTTCTCTAAGCTTTCTGAGGCATCTTGAGGCCAACCAGCCATCTGTCATTCTCGTGTTTATTCTCTCTGTCCCTCTTCTCTCTCTCTCTCTCTCTCTCTCTCTCTCTCTCTCTCTCTCTCTCTCTCTCTCTCTCTCTCACACACACACACACACACACACACACACACACACACACAGTGTTGAATAAGATGAGAAGGATAAACAGCCAAGCAGGACAGACTGGAGGGTGGCGTTTGCTGGTGAGAAGGTTTGAGAGGAGACGACGCTGAAGGAACTCACATGACAGCCAACAACCCTCCTTTAACGCATCATGACCCCATGTTCTCGGCCCTGCCCAGAGGCAAGGGACCGAGGGAGCTGACCTTCTGCAGTTCAAAGTCATTATGATCTCCCCCTCCCCCTTTCAGGCTGGACAAAACTCCATTTCAGATGTTGGGTGTGTGTTGGGGAGGCGGGGTCCTTCCTCACCCTCAGGCCTAGGGAGCCCCACTTCCTCCCCACAGCTCCTCCAGGGACCCCGCTCAGCTATTTCTGGAGCTGGACTCGGGGCAGCGCCAAGCTTGTCCCCAGGGCTTTCCGGCACCTGCCCCTCCAAGAACAGGGGGTGGACAGGACCTCAGCTCGGTCTTTGTCCGAAAGGCGGGGCAGGATGTGTCCTCTGATGTCAGAAAGGATCCCCACACACACTGCAGGGGGACACTCCCCGTGGACCGCAGCCACTCTCCAGAGAACCCCGGTCCATGCACTCCATATGGGATAATGGAGCAGAGAGAGCCTCCTGCCGGCTTCGGTCGGTTCCGCAGCCAAAACAAGAGCAAGCCCGCGGGTGCCAGCGAGTTTTCCATCCTGAACCTGGGGCGTGGGGCTCAGGTCCGGCAGGGGCCGCGGAGGCCGCCCTGGCCCGGGCGGGACACTGTCAGGCCACGGGGAGTGGGCGCCTTGTGTTTGTGAAAAGGGGGCCTGGGGCTGTGAAAGCTGAAACTCCCCGGTGAACCCCAGGAACTAGGCTTTGGAGGTGGATGACCCCGGCCGGATGCCCTACGGGGTCACTTGTCACTTACTGGCCGGGGCTCAGGGCACACGAGCTTCCCTGAGGGCCCAGGGCAGTGCCATCGTCTTGAGGGCAAAACAAGATGAGTAGGAGGACCTGGCCAGGGGCTGACGCAAAGCAAGGGCTTGGAGCGGGCAGGGGACTCACGTCATCTCTGACTCAGAACTGTTGCCCCTGCTACCATTTTGAATTCACTCTCTAACCCCCCCAGGTCCTTTTCTCCTGCAGGCTGGTCCCAGGGGAGGATCTGGCTTATTCCCAGATGGCCACCACGACCCCATGCCCCGCCCCCGCCCCACCAAGAAGGTAAATCCCACAGACCTTCTGTCCTCATGTACCTGATCCCGGCTCTTCGCCAGCTCCAGGCCCAGGCTGCTCAGGCTCATGTGCTTCTCCATGAGGCTGCGGGAGAATCCGGAGAGGATCTCGGCCAGCTGAAGGCAGAGAGGCCCAGCTCAGGGGTCTGCAGGGTGGGACCTCTGTCCCCTGCCCAGCTCCTGCCCCGCCCGGCCCCGCCTCACTCACAGTCCGCAGCTGAGACCTCAGCTCCGAGGCCCTCTGCAGTTCCTGGATCTCAGGCACCCCGGCCATGTTGCTGAGCCTCGAGGGAAGCACAGAGAAGGGACGTGCTGGGGCATGGCACCCCTGGGACAGTACTGCTGGCTTGTGGGGTTTCCGGGGAGCTGGGTGGTTGGGGCAGAGGAACCAGCTGGAAGAGGCTCCTACTCACTCCCGTGGGGACTTGCTGAGCACCGCAGTGAATAAAGACTGAGGTGGACTGGGATAAGCTGAATCTATGGACACTCAGAGCCCACAATGCAAGGCCTCCTTACTTGGAAAATTTGTAACTAAAGGAAAAGAGTCAGGTTTCTTATCAGTGGACCAAGCATGTCAAACTCAAAGGCTAACACGGGCCAAATAAACAAGGCATGCAGCCCTAGAGTTTGACGTGCTTGCAGTAGAGACTGTGTTTCATGATAACCAATAATCCCGTGGTCGGCAAACTGCGGCTCTTGAGCCACATGCGGCTCCTTGGCCCCTTGAGTGTGGCTCTTTCACAAAATACCACGGCCTAAATACCACGGCGAGTCTATTTTGAAGAAGTGGCGTTAGAAGAAGTTTAAGTTTAAAAAATGTGGCCCTCCAAAGAAATTCCAATCGTTGTACTGTTGATATTCGGCTCTGTTGACTAGTGAGTTTGCCGACCACTGCAACAGTCTATTGACAAGGGGAAAGCTGTGTTGTATAGAATACCAGCCAGAATGGTCCAGGACATGGAAGCCTATTGTCGTGCTGCCCCTTTTAAAGTGACTGATGAATGATGAAGGGGTGGCCATTTGTGTGGCACCAAAGTAACATCATAGAGATTCTTCCACAGGAAAACGTAGCTGTCCAGTAGGGAAATCAGGCTGTCCCCACCTAGGGGCAGGTGGGTATCAAGTGTACCCAGCATCCTCTAGGATGCATCAGCCTCAAGTTTACCTTGATACCTCCAACCGTTAGAACTCTCAGGTTCTAGGGAATTCTGTGAAGGAACAAGACAAATGACACCCAGAGGAAGTGTAGCCGAGTCCAGAAGGGGGGACAATGGGTGTTGTGTCCCCATCAGTCCATGTCAAGGATGGGGGCAGCAGTCTGTGTAGATTAAAACAGACTGAAGGAACATCACAGAGTGTGGGCTGAGGCTGGGTCCTGGTTGGAGGAAGCCAACCGGAAGAGGAAATGTGGGGGGGACATTAGGGCTCTTTGAATAACGATGGGCACTAGATTGGATGAAAATGTATGAGGCGAGAGCTCATTGGCTGAGAGAAGCAGGTGATGGGACAGGAACTACCCTGATCTGTTCACTTTCTGTATACTTTCATACACCGTGGGCGCTCTCTAAAAGTACCTACTGCTCAGGGGTGTGGCCATCTCTGTGCAGTAGGATATGGTATTTTAATTTCATTTTTGCTTGCCTGTATACTCCGACTTTCTACAATCAGCATGTACTGTTTTTATAACCATAACATTGAGAGAAGAGCCCCGTGTGTTTGGGGCGGAAATGGAGAGGAGGGGAGGGGAGTGGAGGAAGCTAGAGACAAGCAGAGGCTGCTGCAGGCCGGGCTGCTGCCCACATGCTCACCACTCCATTCCCCGTGCCCAGCGGTTAGCGCCCGTGGCCCTCAGCACACGGTGTCCTGATGTGGAGGGCACAGGTGGGTAAGGGAGCGTGGGATACTGATGACAGGACACTAGGCTGACGGCCTGGGCAGGGCGTCGGAGCCAAGGCTGGAGTCCCATTCTCGCTGTCACACGTGCCATCTGCACGGCCCTAGGCTGTGATGCTTTAGCTCTGCAGTCCCCCGTCTACGGAAGGGAGATAAAGCTCCTTCCCGCTCCCTAACGAGGTGTCTGTGGGGTAGCATGGGCGCTCTGGGATAGAGGGCTTGATGAGAGGCAGGGACATGGGTGTTTTTGGGGGGATGGCGGTGGGGGCAGCCCTGGGAGTCCCTGAGCCGGTCCCGGCTGCTTGATTGGGCCTTTGGGTGGCAGCAGCCGCCAAGGAGGACCAGCTCTGGGACAGAGGCAAGGGCACCCTACCAAGGCAGCCATCCCGGGGAGCCCGAGGCCAGAGGAACAAGTAGGAGAGGGGTGCCCAGGCTGTCGGACGCTCAGGCTCCGCCAAACATGAGTTCAGCTTGTTAGGACGTTTCGGGTGCCACTGAGGGAGGCGCTGTGGCTCAGGCCTTAGCAGAACGCGCAGACCTGAGTTTGCCCACCAAAGGGTGGCCCTGCAAAGCCCTGGAGCCGCGGGCTTCAGAGACCGCCCAGCGCTTTCATTTTGCAAAAGAAGGAACACAAGCTCTATCAGGAGCTTAGGCCTGACCCTCAGGCTCTGCTGCTGCTCTTCGTGCTCCCCAAACTCCTCCTGGGGCCTGGGATAGGCCTGAACGCAGGCACCCTGACCCTGAGCTCTCTGGACACACAATGACTGGGGGTGGGGGGTGGAGGGGGATGGTGGATTGGGGAGGGAGAGGGGTTTGGAAACAGAGTGGGGAAAGGCAGCGGCCAGGCCAGATGCTAGAACTCCAGCTCAGGGCCAGCCTGTTGGGCACACTCCCCCCTCCCCCCACCTCCCGCCCCAAATCCCCTTGCTTCTAGGTCCAGAGTAAGTGGACAGGCAAATACATTTCTCTGCACATCACTTTCCTGCTCAAGAACCCACGCTGGACCCATAGTCATGTTACTGGGGTCTAACCTGCCACCTGGACCGTCCAGGACCTCCATGTGTCCTCTCCTCCCTTTCCCAGCCCTTCTCCCTGCTCCAGCTTCACTCTGGGATAGTTTCCTCATAACAGTGGGAACCTGACTAGCACCCCCTTACCCCTTGCAAATCCCCCAAACCTCAAAATACCCCCTTCTCTACCTCTGCACAGGGCCTGCCAAAATAGGTGCTCGCTCATTACGGCCTGAAAAGCCTCGCCTCTTCCAGGAAGACCTCTGCGGTTGCCCGTACCCATCTCTAGCTTCTCTTTACCCAGCCACCCTGCCCTCCTCCTGTGCCCCTCTGCATGCATGGCACCACAGTCGTCCCAGGACCCCTTGCTGTGCCCTGGCCAGAACGCTGCCCTCATCCCTGTCGCTGTTTGAGGGGGTTCAGCCATGCCCCGACCCCAACCCTGTCCCCCAGAGCCACTCCCCTCCCTCCTCCCACTCTGCCTCCGCCCAGCTGCTCCATTGGCAGCGCGGGCGCTGCCAAGCGCGCGCGCAGGGTGGGGGGGGGGGAGGCAGGCCGGGCTGCGGTGAGTCAGCCGCTGCTGGAAACTCCCGGGCCTTCCTGCGGGCCTGAGCTGGGCATCAGGGTGCGGACGCCAGGCATGCCTGGCACTGCCTCTGCTCCCCCATCCCCACGTCTCCTCCCCGAGGGCACGGCTCAGGCCACTGGCAGCTGCCCCGGGCTGCAGAGTCCATCTCCCCTGCCCCAGGCCCAGGCCTTCCAGGACTGAGGGCTGTGCCCGCTTTCCAGGAATGCCCTCGGAGGCTGCCTGCCTCTCCTCTCCTCAGCCTGCGTTTGGTTTCCTCCTCCCCAGGCTCCCCCTTTCTCCACCCGTTACCCCTAAACAGCCCGGCAGAGGAGTAGAAGCCATGGCGTTCCGAGGGCTGGGTGGGGCTCCCTCAGGAGGAAAGACGGTTTGAGACAGGAGGAGGCGAGAGAGGAGCTTGGAGGTGGGACCCCTGGGTCCCCATCGTGCCAGGCCCAGGGGGCCACACGTGGCTGTGTCTCCCCAAGTCCAGCTCGGGACCTGGTGTGGGCGGGGAGGGGGGGTCTGGAGGACAGAGGCCCTTTCTGGGGCAGGAGGCTGGCTGCCTCGGTACCTGGAGAGGCAGTGTTCTCCCCCCCCCCCCCCCCCCCCGGCCTTTCCCCCTGAGCTGAGCTGTGAGGCGGGGGTGGGGGTGGGGGTATGAGCAATCCTCCAGGGTGGGCTGTGGGGCTGAGGGACGGGATGGCAGTGCCCTCAGTATCCCAGCCAGGCAGGGAAGGTGGGGCTCCGGGAAGGGGAGAGGAAGGACCTTGTTGGAAATGGTGGGGTGAGGGACAGACAGAGAGAAGGGCCAAGGGGCCTCAGATGGCCTCAGGCCTGCTGCGGCCACTGCCCTGGGCAGGACACCCACCTCTCGGCGCCCAGGCTGCTGCTGAGGAAGAGGAGGGCCATTCGCACGACCTCCAGTGTCCGCCGGCAGGTCGCCTGCAGCGTCTCCCTGCCGAGGGAGGGGAGGGGGTCAGAGCTCCTGCTCCCAGGGCCAGGCACCTGCCCGCAGCCGGGGCCCCAGCGCCCGTGGAGAGTCTGGGCTGCCTGGCCCACCCGCTCGCCCGCCTTGCCCCCTGCACCCGCTGTCCCCCCCCTCCCCCGGGTACTCACAAGAACCAGTGCAATCCCCGAAGCATCAGCTTCTGCCCGGCCAGCAGGGCCCGTGCCAGCCGCAGGGCCTGGTAGCCGGCACCCAACAAACCCTGAGAACACAGGTGGGCAGAGTCTGAATCCCCACCCCCCCACCCCTGGGTGAGCCCCCCTCCCTGCCCCCTGGGGCCACCCCTAACCTTGGCCGTGTTGTAATCCGCCTGCAGGTCCACTTTGGGCACAAACTTGGTGATGTCCAGAGCGGCTGCAAACAAAGGCCCCGCACCCCTCACTCCGGGCTCCCACTCACCCCTCACCTCCCAGCTTTGCAACTCCCGGACCCCACCGCTCCGGCCTTAAACGCCCGTTAACGTGGCTTTACGATTGCGGTCCCTCACTGCCCCCTTGTGTTCACTTTGGTGAACTGCATCCTCGTGCCCAAGACCCCCATCTGAGCCAGAAAATGGGCCCAAACCATCCTTGTGCCCATGACTTTCTAGGTTAATTCCCTTTCCCAGCCTAGGAGACCCGAGGAGGAGGAGGATGGAATGGAACGTATTCAAATAAGAAGAAGTAATATTTCTGCCAGGACTCGGAGGACAACGCTCTGGGCCCCCCGACTGCGTTTCCTCTTCCCCAGCACCTCGGGCTCCAGCTTCCCCCAATCCAGACTGTGTGAAGCTTCCCCTGGCAGAGGCTGGGGGGAGCACATGAAATCCACTCCCTGCTCCAACGGGAGTCTCACGGCTCTGTGGGCACTAAAGCCCAGGAACGCCAGGCCGCCAGCCTGAGCGACATGGCATGTCAGGGGCACGTGAAAAATCAGAGCCCAGAATTGGGGCACCCTGTGGGCCACAGGGGAAATGGACCCCTACCCTGCCTCCTGGAGGAGAATGGGGGGCGGAGATGAGATCCAGGCGGGGTGGCTTTACTCACGGTCCTTGAAGGCCAGCCCCGTGGGGGCCTCTGTGGCCGCGCTGCACAGCGTCAGGGGGCTGCTGGTGGTGGTGTGGGCGATGTGCTGTGCAGAGAGGTTGGGCTCGAGGACGCAGAGGTGACCCTCGAATAGGTACTCCTGGTTCTGGGGGGCCACGCTGGTCTGCTCGTACACGGCCTCCAGGAAGATGGCTATCCTGGATGCCCCAGGGCGAGGGGGTACAGGAGGGAGAGGCAGTGTCAGCAGGGGGACCCACACCCCAGCTGAGGCTGCATCCATGCAAAGGACCCAGCTTTGCAGAGGAAGAGACCGGGTGGTTGTTCTTTCTTTCTTTTTTTCTTTTTAAAAAATATATATTTTATTGATTTTTTTACAGAGAGGAAGAGAGAGAGAGATAGAGAGTCAGAAACATCAATGAGAGAGAATCATTGATCAGCTGCCTCTTGCACACCCCATACTGGGGATGTGCCTGCAACCAAGGTGCATGCCTCAGACCGGAATTGAACCCAGAACCTTTCAGTCCGCAGACCGATGCTCTATCCACTGAGCCAAACTGGCTTTGGCAGTTGCTCTTTCTTATCGACGGCGGAGAGGCCCAGGGCAGGTCTAGTGGATGGAGAGCGTGGGAACAGAACTCAGGAGCCCCCACACCCAGCCTCTGCCTTGCACCTCGTCCCACTAAAATGCACCTGGTTCCCCCAAACTCTCCCGCCATCAATCAGGGAACCCACGGCAGGCACCCCCACCCAGAAGGTCATAAGGCACCCCCACCCGCATTGGCATGCACTGAGTCAGGAGCAGCTGTGAGGAGGCCTCATTCACTTGAATTTGGTGGGTCTAGCACTGCCCCAGACTAAGTCATGCAGCCTCATCCAGGTAGCCTGACAGTGGGGTTTGGGATTGGACCCAGAAGCATCCACATCGAAACACTCCCCAAAATGCTGCTTCGGACGTGCCCTTCTGCTCAGGGACAGAAGGTTCCGGGCCTCTGGCCTGGCGCCCACTCACGTGTTGTGGGCGTGGATGTAGACGTGGTGCAGGACCGCCTGGGGCAGCGAGAACACGTGCACGATGACGCGCTGCAGGATGTCGCTGGTCTCCGCGAAGAACTGGTCGAAGCCCCAGCACTTGGCTGGCTCCACCTCCAGGATGTTGGCCAGCACGGGCACCAGCTGGCTCTGCAGGCCCCTGCCCCGGACAGGAGACTGTCAGCACGGGCACCAGCTGGCTCTGCAGGCCCCTGCCCCGGACAGGAGACTGTCAGGCGGGAGCCCAGCCTGTCCCCTCCAGGAGGTGGCAGGGGCATTCCTGGAGGACGTCCTGCGAGTGAGGACCAAGGTGGTGACACAGGGTGGGATGGGGAGGAAGGGCTGGGGGGGAGGGGGGCACGTCCAGCATCCCGATGGAAAAACTGAGGTCGGAAAGGGAAGGTGGTGGACAGATGCGGGGACCCTGTGCCGGGACAGGCCTCAGCCGAGAGGACGCCCCGCCCAGACTCATCTGTGCCTGACCCTCACATGGACAGCTGGCAGGTGATGGGGAGGCAGTAGCTCCACTCCAGGGGCCCGTTCTCCTGCCTCTGCGTGCCCGCGATGGCCCCGGACGGCTTCTCCGTGGTGATCCGGTACCTGGGTCAGGGGGGCAGGACCAGGTCAGTGGGACCCCCAGACCATCATGCTTCAGAGGATGACAAGCTCAGCACGGAGGGCTCAGAGCACTGGTTCAAGTCCCAGCACCTCCAAGGCAGCCTAACAATGGCATGGGAGAGGCCTGGCTCTCAGCCAACAAGAGCACCTGGCCTTCCTGCTCCCCGGTCCAATCCTGCTGCCTCCCCCACCCCACTGTCCAGCCCCTCTGTCCCCTTACACGCATCCACAGCGGGCCCGCCTCTGCACCTCTGCCTGAGCTGGGCTTGGCCTGATACCCTTCCCCTGCACGCCACTGTTCTCTCTTTCCTTCATGTCCAGCCCGCTGACAGCACCACCGTGCCCGCTCCCTGACCTCAGCAGCTCCCGCACGGCTGACTGGAGAGAGGGCAGGTGCATGGACCTCCCCATGCATCAGCCTTAAATCCCTCTGCGCTGGGCCATGCATGCAGGGGGGGCAGCACTATCTCCGGCTACGTCTGTGTCAGACCGCAGGGCCTGGGGGACCCGGGACCCGGATGCTGGGCCTGCCCTATGTCTGCCCTGACGGTGTCCTGGAGCCTGGTTGAGGTGAGATGAGCAGCCAGCCAGGCCGGGTGTGTGTGTGTGTGTGTGTGTGTGTGTGTGTGTGTGTGAAGCCTTGGACTCAGATAAGGGGTCTGGCCGGTCCCCGTCAGCCAGGTGGTGATGGGCGAGGATGTAAGAGGAGCCGGCAGGGTGGCCGGAGGAGAGCCACAGAGTTGGAGGCAGAAGCGGAGATGTGGCAGGGCCAGGGGGGGAGGCCGGCCCTGCCCCTGCCCGCGCCCGCCGTACATGATCTCCTTGTTGCGCCGTGGCCCGCCAAAGGGGACGAAGGGCAGGCTGCCAGTGGCTGCGTGGTACAGGGTCACCCCGATGCTCCAGAGGTCCACGCTCACCCCGAAGGTCTTCTGCGGGGGCTTGCGAAGCACCGCCCGCTCATACATGTCCGGGTGCTGCCGAGAGAACCAGAGGGTGGTTGGGGGGGGGGCGCACGGGGCCTGTGCCCGCCAGCAGATCCCCTTCCTCTGCCTTCTGGTGGCAACAGAGCCTCAGAATCCACTCCTTTGCCACCTCGGACACTGGCATGGAGCTGGCCTACCCAGGCATTTTTATTTGCCCTCCCTGAGCCCTGGGAGAGGTGGGGACCAGTGGTGTCCCATCCCCCATGAGGGTCAGATCAGGCTGCTAACTGCACCAGGGAGGCTGGCCAGGGAGGCTGGGGCAGGGAGGCCGGGCAGGGAGGCCGGGGAGGGGAGCTGGGCAGGAAGGCCAAGGCAGGGAGGTTGGTGTAGGGAGGCTGGGCAGGGAAGCCAGGCAGGGAGGCCGGGCAGGGAGGCCGGGCAGGGAGGCCGGGCAGGGAGGCCGGGCAGGGAGGCCGAGGCAGGGAGGCTGGGGCAGGGACACCAGGGAGGGAGGCTGGCCAGGGAGGTTGGTGCAGGGAGGCTGGGCAGGGAGGCCAGTGAGGGAGGCGGGGCAGGGAGGCCGAGCAGGGAGTCCGGGCAGGGAGGCCGAGCAGAGAGGCCGGGCAAGGAGGCCGAGCAGGGAGGCCGGGCAGGGAGGCCAGGCAGGGAGGCCGAGCAGGGAGGCCGGGCAGGGAGGCCAGGCAGGGAGGCTGGGCAGGGAGGCCGAGCAGGGAGGCCGGGCAGGGAGGCCGAGCAGGGAGGCAGAGCAGGGAGGCTGGGCAGGGAGGCTGGGAAGGGAGGCCGAGCAGGGAGGCAGAGCAGGGAGGCTGGGCAGGGAGGCTGGGAAGGCTGCAGCAGCCTTTTCCGTGGAGAACAGAGCGAGTTCTCCCAGTCGGGGTGCAGAGCTGGGTGCAGGGACAGGACAGAGGCCCTTGGACAGGGAGGGCCCCTGCAGCAGGGGTGGCCCCCGCTCACCAGGTACTCCTCCGTCCCGTAGACGGAGACGAAGTGCTCATCGTCGTCCAGCTCGCGGGCGGCCCCGAAGTCGGTGAGCTTGTAGATGCTCTGGCCCTCGTCCCCGAGCAGGCGCATGATGTTGCCCGGCTTGATGTCGCGGTGGACGATGCCGTGCTCCCGCAGGTGGTTCATGCCGGCCACTGCGGACGGAGGGCTGCTGGGCTCCGGCCGGGACAGGCCAGGTCCGGGGCGAGGCCCGCAGGGGAGGCTGCCCCACGGGCTGGCAGGGCCCCGCCACACAGGACGGGGTGGGCACAGGGCACAGGGCACAGGAGGGGGCCCCCAGGACCTGGCTGTGGAGGGTCCGTGAGGCACAACTAAGAAACCATCAGAGATGGAGGCTCTGGCTCCCCAGAAATGGCAGGCCGCCTTCTCTCTCTCTCTCTTTTTTTTCTTTTTTTTTTTTTCGCCTTCTCTATTTCATTATTATTATTTTTTAAATTTTATTTTAGAAATGTTGAGTATGCCTACCAAAATCTAAAATTTTACCTATTTTACAGCTCAGTGTCATTAAGTGCATTCATACTGCTGTGCGTCCACCACCGCTATCCATCTCCAGGACTTTGTCAACCTCCCAAACAGAAACTCTCCCTTGATATTAAATAATCGCTCTTCCTCCTCCTCCCCAGCCCCCTGGTCTGCCGTCCCAACTCTGAGGACTTGATCACTCTCGGTCCCTCACGTGAGTATTTGTGTGTCTGGCTTATTTCACTCAGTGTAATGTCTTCCACTCTCACTGGGTCAGAATGTTATTCCCTTTTTCAGGCGGTGGCGCATTCCCTTGTGTGTGCCGGCCACATTTTGTCCCTCCATGCACCTGTTTGTGACATTTGCCTCGCTTGCCCCCTGTGGCCGGTGTGAATAAGGCTGTTACGAATATCGGTGTGCAACCTGCTTTCCATGTTGTGGTTAAGCTGGAGTTTTAAACTGCTGACCAGCAGGCGTCAGACCCTGGGTCCTGCCCACTCATCAAGGCCCATCCCAGGCCTGAATGAAGGGCCTCTTGGGTTCTGAATGTTCTTTCGTGTCTGGGTCCTCGTTCCAGAAGCGCTGCCCCCCGCGGGGCCTTTGCCTTTGCTGAGGGACAGGTCAGAGGTGGGCGGGGGCCCGGTGGGGTCAGGGAGGGCTCACCCACACAGCGCAGCACCACCAGGAACTCGTCCTCGGGCAGCCCGAAGGCGTTCTCGGGGCTCTCCAGCACGGTGAGCAGGCTTCCGCTGGAGCAGTACTCCATCACCAGGACCTTCTGCCGGCTGGCCCCCTGCAGTGGCACAGAGGGGCGCGGTGAGGAGGGCACAGCTCACCCGCTTCCTCCAGAGGAGGAGACTCATTTTCAGAAAACAACTCTGAGATCATGTGGATTCCTGCAACAGAGAGGAATTGACAGGACTGCTCCAGCCATGAAGACAGAAGAGACGCAGTCCAGAGATAGAAGACGCTGAGGACGCCTTGCCATACTAGCAGACAGCAGCTGTGCATCGCTGAGGGTTGCCCAGGACCAAACCAGAGGGTGTCACACCTGCATCGCCACCATTTGTCCACCATCCAGAACTGAAATATCATGGCTGGCATGTACACATAAGGAACTGTTTGACATTGAAATTGGGACTCAAGAGAACCGTTGGCCCAGAAAGAAACTCACTACAGACTGATTCGTTGGCCTCTCAGCATAACCATTATGGCTGGCCTCATTTTCGGTTCTTATAATAATATGAATTTCTTGTATCACATGATCTCATGCATCTAGGGGAAATAATGAACAAAAACAGACCCGGAGGCAGGGAAGCATCAACCAGACTGTCAGGCCTCAGAGGGAAGGTAGGGGAGGGTGGGGGAAAGGGGAGAGATCAATCAGAGGACTTGTGTGCATGCATATAAGCCTAACCAGTGGTCACAGACAACAGGGGGGTGGGAGCATACATGGGGAAGGGTTTGGGATGGGAATGGGGGATGAGGACAATTATGTGACACCATAATCAATAAAGACATTTAAAAAAAAAAAAAGAGAGTAGACTCAGCCCACAGCCCAAAGCCCTTCTCCAGGGGCCAGCTTCTGGCCTGGCTGTCCCTGATCAGCCTCACCCTGACCTTACACACCCGAGTCCCAGGTCACCTTTTCCAGGAAGCCCTCCTTGATTACATCCTACTTCCCGCCCTTAGGTTCCCAGGTGCCACCCCCACATTATTTACTGTATTCTACACGTTGCTGTTCTGGTGAGCGTGTGACCAAGGCTCTGTTAGCGTGGGACCCGACTCTGCCCAGCCTGCGAAGGTCAACGACAAGGCCCCCCTCTGCCCGGGCGCCAGACCCACCGTCTCCTCCACCGCGAAGAGCTTGACGATGTTCTGGTGGTTCAGCTTCCGCAGGACCTCGAACTCCCTCACCTGCACCTCGCGGGGCCGCAGGTAGCTGGCGGCGTTGAAGACCTTCACGGCGACCAGCTCCCCGGATTTCTGCCATCGGGACCGAAGGGCCTGCTCAGGGCTCTGGCTGGGCACAGCCCACTGCCCGGGGAGCACCCTCACCCCGAGCCTCCTTCAGCCTCGTCTGCCAGCCTAACACCAGAAACGAGGAAAGACCCCCAGCTCCTTCCCCTGCTCAGAGGGTGCCCGGCCAGGCCAGGACTGAGAGGTGGCAGGGCTCAGCACACCTGACACCTGCTGGTCCTGCATTTGCTGTCATCTCCCCAGTGTTAGCTTTGGGTCCCCATCCCTCTTCCCAGTTCCAAACAGGCCTCACGGGGGCACCAGGCTGAGGAGCCCCCCGCAGCTACCACACTTCTGCTCAGACCCCCGGTATCGCTGACCCCGGCGCGTGCAAGGCCGAGTCTGGAGGCCTCTGCCCAGCCACACACGGGGGCTGCCCGGGCCTGCGGGGGCCAGGGCTGGGCCCTACCTTGTTCCGAGCCTTGTACACGCTGGCGGTGGCCCCCTGCCCCAGCAGGTCGTCCGTGTGCCACAGGTAGTTGGCCGTGCTCTGCATCTCCTGCCCTCGGCCACCAGCCGCCTTCTGCCTGGAAGGACATTCGAGAGTCTGGGATGTCATCCCTGGCCTGGGATGGACACAGGGGCCTGGCCGGTAGCTGTGCCCGAGATCATCCCATGAAGAGCTCCGTCCCATGGAGAGGGGTCCCCAACGGGCGAGGGGGCAGAGGAAGTGTGCAGCACACACAGGTTAAGTCACTTCTGCAAAAGCAAGCGCAGCCCGTGCCCGTCCCGCCCGATACCTGCCCCCGTGCCCTGTCCCCTCACACCCCCTCCCCAAACCGCCGCTCTGCAGACACAAACCCTTCGCTCTGTCACCTCTCCCAGGGGCTGAGAATCCTGGGTTTGGGCACCCAGGCCGGGGACTGTCCCAGGAAGCAGAAATGTGCTAGAAGGAAGGGCCCCGGGTCAGACAGTGGCAACCACACCACTAGAAATCTCCGGGATTGCGACACAAGCTGGAGCCCCTCCCCTCCCGCTCGCCTGAATCCACCACTTCCTGCTGCTGCGAGCTAACGGCGGGCGGGCAGCACCGGGCGGCCAGCAGGGCCAGGTCCAGAGGATCGGCTGCCGAGTGGGTGTGTGCGTGTGAGAGGCGTGTGCATGTGTGCGGGTGCGCATGTGGTTGTGCATGCGTGAGAGGGCATGTGCATGTGTGCGGGCACATGTGTGTGTGCGTGCGTGTGTGTGGGGGAGGGTGGAGGAGGCAGGAGACCATCAGGAGCCTGGGGAGGATCTGAAACCCTCTCTAACTTTGTTCCCCATCTTTGCTTCCATCCTCTTCTCTCCGAAAGCCAGTTCCTCTAAAGCAATGGGCAACTCCTCCCTCTGAGCAGCAGTGCCAGGGAGGACACTGAGGCACGACTGGGAGAAGGGCCTCAAAGCTGGACTAGGCAGGCTGCTTCTCCTGACGCACAGGTTTCTAGCCCGCAGGGCACCCCTGGGACGCGGGCTCTGAGCCGCCTCTCTGCAATTTTTTTCAAGGCAACATTTGAAAATGTCAATTCCTTGAGCCAGAGGCCACTTCATGAGCTCAGTGGTTTGCATTTTGCAGAAGTAACTGAGGTAGGAAGGCTCCCTGAAGACATTCATAGCTCAGGGGAAGGAGCTGGTCAGGTGTTCCCCCACTCCCCCGCCACCACTGCCCTTGCAGGAGGAGTTAGCTGGGGGCCTGGGGGGGTGAGGCCTGGCACAGCCCCTGGTGCCTGGAAGGGCCCCTCCTCCCGTGATGGTCGATGCAGGAGGGTGGGTGGTGGAGTCGGGAGCCAGCCTCCCCACCCACCCCCTCCCACCCCGCCTCCTCCTGGGGATCCACCCTGTGCCCTGATGCACCTACCCTGTGCTCGGACCCAGCGGCCAGGATCAGGCAGGGATGCTCCCTGGCGAGTGTGTGTTATGCTCTCTGTCTGCAGCGGGTCCAGGAGCAGAGCTGCACCGGAAAGAGGGGGGTGGATGAGAGGCACCCCTCGGTGCTGCCGAACCTCAGCCTTCATCAAAGGCACCGGCCCAGCCCTTTAACCCTTTCCTGTTTGTCACCTCCCGGGGGCTGGGGCTTTCCAGCCGAGGGCCCCTCTGCTCCTCGTCCTTCCACTCCCCGGCCCTGGGCAGGGAGAAGGGCCCCCAAGAGGGAGGGCGGGCGGGTAGGCGCCTGGAGCCAGGCAGGGGAAACTCGGGCACAGCTGAACTCGGCTTTGGGGTGTTGGGAAGCGGGACAGGGATGGCAGCCCTCTGTGCCACCCACCACCCCACTTGCCTCTCGCCAGCTTCCAAGTGTTCTTAGCAAGGGCGACCCCTGGGGATGGAACACAGGCCCCCAGCAGAGGCAGAGACACAGAGAGGGGTCAGGGACCTGGAGAGCCGCTGCTCACAGGTCAGCATCGGACAGGCGGCACACTGGCCGAGGGCCACCCTGCAGCTGCCCTTCCCCCTCCCCCAGGATGCTGCCCACTCACCACATCTCAGCTGTGGGTGCAGGCTGGTGGGACCGGGTGGCACCCGGGGGGCTTTCAGGGCTCGCTGTCATCCATGGGCAGTGCCCGTAGCATCCCAGTGCTCAGGGGATGGGGGCCTCAAAGCCGGGGCCAGTGGACAGTTGGCCTGCCTCCCGGGAGCTGGGAGCCGAGAGCCACCTCCCTGCCTCCATGTGTGCACGCTGCTCCCTCCGGCCTCCAGCCTCCAGTAGCGCTCACACTTCCTGATTTCCTTCTTTCTCTCTCTCTTAAAGAGACAGGCTGCTGGGCCACGGCAGCCACCCTGGCGGGCGGGCGGAGAAAGATACTCTAAGTTCCTAAGTGGAGGTGACAGGACAAAGGAGCCTGAGCCACAGAGGGGCTGGGCACTAAGGCTGGGCAGCGGCGGCGGGCCTCAGGGTGCTGCTTGGGCATCTCCCACAGTTCCCTGGAGCAGAGGGGCACAGGGCTGGGCCCAGAGTCAATGGAGCAGGTTGGGCAAGTTAACCAAGGGGAAGGACCAAGTTCCCACACCCAGGAGCCCCAGGGGGGGTCTGACTCACCTTCCCAGCAAGCACCGGGGTCCAGGTTGTGCCCTTCAGTACGACCTTGAGCACAGCACCCACCCCTCCCAGTTTTGCCATCCAAGGCATGAGGGTGATCACATCTGCTCCACTGGCTGTGTGGACGACGTGGGACGATGTATCTGGGAGTGCTTGCTGTTAGGTCTGATCCAATAATTGGATCCATACCCCCTCCCCTGGGAACTGACCTGGAGACCACCTCACGGTGGACACTCCCTTTTGCTGAGACCACATTCCACTTGCTAAGACCATAATCTTCCCCCCCAACCCCCAAGACCTGCCCAAATTCTCTGCCCAGAAGAAGCCAACTTAGAGTCCTTTAAAACCCCCAACTCCCCGGTCCCTGCGTGCCGGTGCCATTCGGGGGCTCGGCCATCTGGTTTTCGGGGAGAGAGACCTAATAAATTCATCATTCTCTACCCCTTTCAGCCTCGCGCACTCCTCCTTCGGGGACCCTAACGCTTGGGAGACAGGGAAGCCCTTGCAGATGCACTGAGGCCCACGCCTGCAGGACTTTGCCCATGACCTTCGGAGAATGCAGGGCTGGACCAGGGGTGCCCGTTCCCTGCCAGGTCTCAGTGCCCCCAGGACATTCTCCTAGGAGGCTGCAGAGGTCAGGCCCGCCCTCCTCGCTCCGAGGTGGCAGCTGGAGAAGAAATGGTTAAAAGCAGGAAATTCCACGCTTCTAGAGAATGTCCAGGGACTTTCCCAGAGCCACACCTGGTGGTTTCCTCCGCGGCCCCACCCCCCGCACGGTGACACCAGAACTGAAAAGCGCCTCCGCTCAGAAAGGCACACCTGTTGTGAAGGCAGCCACAGGCCGCTGCGGGGCCCCGCCCAGAGCTGCTCCCCGGGTTGTCACAGCGGAGGCACCGAGAAATCCCTGAGACCCTCCCACCCTCCGCCAGGGTTCCCGGCTTCCGCCCGCGGCCCCCACGTAGAACTGGCCTCCTGGGCCCTGGGATTCCCCAACCAAAGCACCGAATTGCTGATGCAAGAGCCCCCTGCCCTCTGACAGTGCCGGTGAGACAAGGTCACTGCTGTCCCAGGATCCCTGAGTGGCTGTCCCGAGCTGAGCCCCCTGCTGGCCCACCGGGGACATGCAGCCTTGGCAGTTAATAACCTCCCTTAATAAGCCACTGAGGTTTGCAACATACTCTCTCGTCTACCCCTAAGCGTCTACCTAGTTTTCCCTGGGGAACCTGCTCAGCTCTCAGCACCCTGCTCTCCTCTCTCCAGCAAGCCAGTCTCTCTTCCCAGAATCCTCAAAGCAAGAAATGTGTGTGTCTAGCACCTACCAGGAAGCAGGCACTGTGTGCTGAGGACACAACGGGGAGACCTCGGTGCCCCCCCCCCCCCCCCCCCGGACAGCATGGTGAATGCTGGGACACACGCTGCAGCAGGTGGTGGTTCTGTGGACCTGGCACGGGGGCGGGGGCACAGAGAGGAGGGGGGCTTGCCAGAAGAAAGGATACCCCGCTGACTTTGGAGAAACGAGAGGCAGGCAGAGAATTAGGGGTCAGAGGCGAGGCACTGCAGGCAGTGGGAGCACGTGTGGAGGCCCAGGGGTAGGAGAAGGGTGGGGGGGGCTTGTTCAGGGTGGTGGCTGGGGGGAAGTGAGGAGGCGGGGGAGGGGAAGGGAGGGGAGGAGCTGGGCTGGAGCCCTGCGCAGGGGCAGTTCCGCTGGGCATCTCTGAGGTTACGTCCTCTGTGTGGATAAATGAAAGTGTGTTTTGATGTGGTTTTGAGCTGCTGGCCCCAGTGGGCAGCACGGCCACTGTTTCATCTGGCAGCACAGGAGCCTGGCGGGTCCTGAGGGGAGGAGGGACTGTGGGAGGCGTCACCACATGTTCCCAATGGCTCTGAGGAGGTTAAAGTGGCAATTCAGAGGCAGGATAAGGACCAGAGGTGGGAAGAGGGGGGCATATATATATTTAAATTGATTTCAGAGAGGTAGGGAGAGGGAGATAGAAACATCAATGATGAGAATCAGATTGGCTGCCTCCTGCACGCCCCCTACTGGGGATCGAGCCCACAACCTGGGCATGTGCCCTTGATCAGAGTCAAACCTGAGACCCTTCAGTCCACAGGCCGACGCTCTATCCACTGAGCCAAACCGGCTAGGGCAGAGGGGATCTTTATGGCAGCTCTCGAGGGACAAGCTCACATCTGCCTTCTACGAAGGGAGGCGGAGTGCATGCTGGGAAGAACAGGAGCTCTGCCATCGTGGAGGTTTGAGTCCTGACTCGACCACTTGCTCTGCACGACCTTGAGCAAGCCATGGCCTTTCTCTTAGGGCTGGTGTGAAACAAAGCGAGATGAAGCGCCTGCTACCTGGCGGGCCCTACATAAGCACCGGCTGCCTTCTCTGTCCCTACGTGGTGGGGCCTGTTGGTCACAGCTGCCTCGCCTGTCCAGTGCCTACAGGGGGCAAAGGATCAGGGTGGGTGGGATGAGGAAGATGTGGACAGTGCGACCCGCTCAGTCATTGATGCTGGACAGAGCGACAGGGTTCAGGGCCCTGCTCCTTGCCATGTTCACCAGGCGCTTTGGTGGAGGAGGGACAAGCCCTGCGGCCAGCCTGGCACTCCTCCCGGCTCCCCCAAGCAGTGGGAAAGGGGCTGTGGGAGCAGCACCCAGAAGGAAGAAACTAGCCCTGAAGCACCATGGGCGAGGTTGGCATGAAAAGTGAGCGTTTCATTCTCTTCGTTCTTCAAACCTCCTACTCACCACTCTCTCGGCTAAGGCCTTCGCCTTCAACGTCACTGAAATGAAAGCAATCAAGAGGGAATTCCCTCTTCTTCTCACCCCCTCGCCCCACTCCTGCCTGCCTTGCACCCTCCCAGGAGACGGAAGTGCCTCTTCTCTGGCCCTGGCCAACCCCTTCCATCTGTGCTCTGCCCTCGCCCTCGCCCGCATATTCACTCTTTCCTTCCAGCGGGGCCCTGCCCTGGAGCGAACATGCGCCTACTCTGTCCATTTCAAAAACAGAAACCCAGCCCTTGACCTCTTCTGATGCTCCATCAAAACACCCTTGAATGAGCTGCCAGGAGCTCCCCGCTCCCTCTTCCCTCCCCATTTGCTGCCAACCCAACTCATTGCCCCTCCTGTCCAGGGCACTTTCTTCGCTGCCTCCTCTGACCCACTGCCAAGGGCAGTGATGATGCGCTTTGCTTGTCCAACTGAAACCTTCAGTCGCCCTTGGTTTTGGCTGGCAAAGCCTCCAAGCAACTTCACAGGCTCCTTCCGAGTGAGAAATCTGACTGGAGAAGCGAGAACGATGCTCACTGAACACGGGAGGTGAGTTCTGTGGAGGGGATGGTTCTCATGGCAACAGACAGCCCAACGGAGAGCGGGAAGACTTCTACACCACCTCTCAGGTTCCACACTAATGGGAATGCCAGGGGAAGATCCACATTCTAAATGCACCTGTGCTGGCCTGCCTGCCCAGGGGAGGGCGAAGGTGGTTGGCTCCCAACACCACCTAATTCCTCCTTCTGTTGCCAGGCAGTGCTTCGTTACCACAGACACGCAGAATCCCTCCTGGGCAGCTGGACTGGCGGAGTGGAGATTTCAGGGAGGAGGGATTGTCAACAGCAGCACTGAAACCTAAAAACGTATTTTATTTCGAAGTTGTGCTTTGGATTTTCCCCAATCCAACATCTGTTGAGTGACAGTCTTAGGTTCCCACAAAGCATCTCCAAGCATACATACAGTATTCCAGTTATCAACACTATTTAAAGAATATACCATTGTACACAAACGTGACATACACGTCAGACGCCACAACATTGCAATTCCCTGGAAGCTCGAGCTTCTCTTCGAGGTGCACCCACACCAGCCCTCCCAGCGGTCCATCCGTCCTGCTGCCGGCGTCTCTCCTGTCTCCTTGGGGAGAAACCAGGGTGCCCTGAGGAGGTTGGCTGAGACCAGTGTTTCCAGTTTACAGGCTGTTGGCTGCAAACTCCTCTCTTGTTCTGAACTGGGATGCTGGTGCCCCACCCACGTCTGTCCCCCAAAGACTGACCCATCAGAATCCACACCAGGAAGAGGATCCGTGCCTCAAGGGCCAGAGCGGGGCTGTTGGAAACACTACGCTGGTTTAGGCAAGCCTGTCCGAGGAAGGCTGGTCTCCCTAGGCCCGGGGTGGCCAGCTTCTCTTGGCTTTTCGGTATAAAAATCACAGTGTGCAACCTCAATTCCAGTTGACCGCAGTGAGCTCTGCCGAGAAGGACTCTCCTCTGGGTTCCCAGTCCTCTCGACAGGACCATCTCACAGGTGTCAGGAGCACCAAAGGGGAAGACATCCGCTCCCAGAGCAGGGGGAGCAGGTGACCATTCACACTGTCCAATTCATGATGCAAATCAGCAGACGACACTGACCCAGGGGATGCGGACAAGTCATGTACAGGGCGGAGGAGAGAGACAAGGTAGGGACAACAGAATAGGCCGGAAGCATTGTCATTAAGAAAGCTTTGCTTCCCCTTTCCTAGAGAGGATGCACAGGAGGGAGGAGGATGGGCAGGTATGGGTACCAATTTGGATCAGTTGGATTAAAAGGAATGTACAGTGGAGGGCGGGGATCCATTTTCAGCAAGGAAGTAGATCCTCGGGTACGAGAGACCCTGTTGGCTCAAGACCTGTGGAAGTCCAGGTGACAGACAAGGACTGGCCACCAAACGGGCAACAAGAGCCAGGACTCCAGGGGGCTGTGGCTGCTTCTCAGAGGCTGTCTCACTTCCCTGAAGGAGCTCTTGATGTCTCCCTTTTGTCTCGGGATGGTTTTCCTGGTGCTGCAGGTTCTCTTTCTAATGAGTGATTTCCCACAAAGCTCCTCTTCTCCTTCAGGCAGAATGGGGAACAGCCTACCACTTCCACAGAGTCAATTACCAACTGTAAAATGCTGGCCCCAAAAGAGCTTCTAGGTTACAGATGAGAAAATTCAGACTTTTTTCCTACCGGAATGACAACTCACCATCTCTCCTGAACTACAGGAAATAGTAAGGCTAAAAGTTGTAGCTCTAGAACCGAAAACAGACAAGAGGAATGAGCTTTGAGTTTAACTCGAGTAGGTAGCTGAGATGCAGGAGCCTGGAGTGTGACTGTCTGTCCCCAGCTCTGGTCCTGGGACAGCAGGGTGCCAAAGGTGCTGGGATCACAGGCACCAGTTTTGGAGACCGGCTTAAAGCAGACAAGGGCATCATTTTTGCTTTTTGGAGGAGAACTAGAAAAAAGTCCAAAGAAAGGCCAAAATATTCAGCAACCAATTTTTTAATTTTCTTAGATTCAGGCCTTATGAAGATGTTAATGCCCGCCCCCACCCCAAGCGGGGGGGGGGTGGGGAGGAGAAGGGCACAGTTCTCTTGGTTGTCGTTTGGGTAAAAGAAAACATGTTTTAAGGAGAAATGTCTCCTTTTAATGTACCTGGGGCTCCAAGCCCACTGGCCCCTAAAGAGACCTTATAGAATAACCAAACTAGGGGCTGAACTTAGAAGACGTTTTCATTTAGGAAAAATTTGGGGGCTAGCAAAGCTGAATTTAATTTTTTAATAGAGGAATAAATTCTATGTCTTAAGTGCCCAGATGAGTGGGAGGAAAAAGGACTCATTTCTTACCTTTTTCCAAACCTGCCATAAATGCAATAAGACTCTCTTATAGGACTCTTTACCTTAAAAGGAACCAGCTATAAAACTGTTTTATATAGGAAAATGTCTTAACTGGAAAATGGTCCATCAGAGACAAAGATAGGAGAGCAAGAAATGTCTATACATTCAGGAAAACTGGAGAAGTTCCATAATAAGACTGAGTTGTAGTTCTAGATGGAGGAGGAGCAAAAGCAAATACCAAGGACTAGCTCACACCAGTAGAAAGAAGACAGAGTCTCCAATCCCTAAGCAGATTACAGGATCGAGTGCCATCCTGCTATATTTTATATGATGAAGATATCAGTCTAGGTTCTCCAGCCCCAGACAGATTTGTAATGGAAACAGAGACCCCTGGTGGCTCCTGTGTGAACTGTCACAATAACTTACAAAGAGACTGGTCTAGGACCAGAAGTTACACATGCCAGAGACTAGAAAAGCCTGTGTGAGTGTGAGTGTGAGTGTGAGTGTGTGTGTGTGTGTGTGTAAAACGAAGAATGGACTACATGGACTATATGATTCTCTATAACCAGTACCCAAAACAAGACGTCACTGAGAGCGGGATGTCCGCAGCTGACCATCTGGTTAGGCATCCCGTGTGAGGGGACTGAGCCTGGAGCCCATGTCCTCATGGCTTGCCTGGCCAGATTTCACAGTGACCCGATAATGGAAAAATCTACCTCTGGCTAACCTAAGAACAGTATGTACTGCGGCTGGCTGACTTACGGCGACTGGGGGAAGCAGAGGGCAGTGGGAAGGGCCGGGCAGGGTGATAATGAGGGCTTCATTCTCAAGATTTTGGGTGATGGGAAGGCTAATTCCTGGAAGAACAACTTAAATCTAATTTTCAACTGAAGTCCCCAAGCTAGTTAAATAGGAAGAGTTTAATAACAGTCAGTCCCTGCAGACCCCTTGTCTAGAACAATTAAATTATATCCCTCAGACAGTACAAGACTTGTCAGTGGACTGTGGGGAAGCCGAGGAGTTGACACCAGGACTAGTGGCATTTGTTTTGGGGAAGACAGTGGGCTTGGGCCGTGTGGCAGGAGGCTTGACCGGGGCAGCCATCTTGACGGACTTGACAGGCCGGAAGGCGCAGGCGATGTCCCCAGCGGTGCTGGCACTGCGCTGGAAGGCGGGCTCGGGGTCCTTGAGGAGCTGGGTGTGCAGGGGGCTGGAGGGCTCGGACGTGGGGGCCACCACCGGGGAGGTTTTGAGGGGCTCCAAGGTGTCCAGAACCACGTCAGGGGTGTGTTTGACGCTGCTCTGCCGCTCCAGTTCCCGCAGCTCGTTCAGGGCAGAGTTCATAGTTGCCTCAATATCCTGCAAAACAGGAAAAAGGAGGTGAGGCAAATGGAGGGAGAAGTGCCCCAGGATCCTATTTCAACACCATAGGCCAGATCGTGGAGAAACCAGCTACAATGAGATGTCCAGCTTATTTTATTTGGCCCAAATCCTTGAACATATGAATGTTCAGAATGTGGGGGGAGGGGACAAAAGGATTTGCATTATCATGAGATTCTTTTTCCTTTGGAAAGAGTGGTTGAGATGTTTTTAGAATAGAGTCATTGGATTTTAGAGATATGTATTGAAATATTGAAATATTTATGGATGAAGGATTTAAAGAATCCAGTGGAGAGAGAAAAGGTGGATGAACTAAGACAGTCGTCGGCAAACTCATTAGTCAACAAAGACAAATATCAACAGCACAGTGATTGGAATTTCTTTTGAGAGCCAAATTTTTTAAACTTAAACTTCTTCTAACGCCACTTCTTCAAAATAGACTCGCCCAGGCCATGGTATTTTGTGGAAGAGCCACACTCAAGGGGCCAAAGAGCCGCATGTGGCTCGCGAGCCGCAGTTTGCCAACCGTGGAACTAAGAGAGTGGGCAGGAGTTTGGTTATAACTATTATATATGGGATCATTATGCAATTCTCTCTACATTTGCATATACTTGAAATCATACATAGTGAACTTTTTTTTTAAGTGGTAGAGATGAAGTATGATCTTTGATTTCTTGGACTCCGAGATCAAAGGGTGAAAAGGTTAATTCTTCCTCCTCAAGGGCTGAGGAAAGGGCCAAGAGCCCTGGCACTGAAGATTCATCAGATCAACTCATCCACCCCCCTTCTTCCCACTCCCCGCCCCTGCATGAAGCCATTTCCTCTTACCCATCACCAGAAGAGGGCACCAGAGTTACCAGGAGGGGAGCCAGAGCCCACAGGTGAATCACCTTCAGCAGGTCACAGTAGAGCACTCAGCTCAGGGACTCAAGGCAGAACCAAAGGTCCTTTGTATGCAGCCAGCTGCCTCCCAGCTCCTTCCCTCCTCCCCACACTGTGTGTCAAACCACCACAGGGCTCTTCCCTTGAAATTAGGCTCATATTGAAAGACTGTATGTGCTAAGCAAAGGCCCCTGGCTAAGGTGTCTGTCCCACAGGATGACCTGTGTGTTCTGTTGACAGAGACTCAATTTCACGTTTCCCTATGATGTCCTCAGACCTTAGAAATGCTCAGGAAGAACTCCATTGCTCTCTACGGTCGCACTCTGCAGCTAGAGCCTGTCCCGCCATTATTCTGACTTCCTCTTGACCTGGCCGAAGAGGGAGCTGGGAGGGTTCCCACAATGCAAGGCAGACTGCAGCCAAGAGCTTAAGTAGAGGCACAGAAATAGAAGGCCAGCAAAGCAAGACATCTCGACCTGGAGCTTAGTACTGAGCTTACCAGGTACACCTTCCCTGAGCCGAGTTCCACAATTAAGCGAAGAGAGACCACGCCCAGCTGCTCCTGCCCCCTAAAGGGGGCGGGGCAAGGAGAATCTCAACTCAGTTGAGACAGGAGAAGGCAACAATGAGCCCTCAGTTCCTACCTGGTCTAATGAAAATTATAGAGTTGGGAGAGACGTCTGAATGAGCTGCTTGGAGTGGGCCTGGTGGTCGGATTTTTAGAGGTGGGGACGGATCTCTAGTATTTCATGGAAAAGAAAGGCTTGTCAGTGTGGCATAAACAAGGAAAGAAGAGCCCAGTCACCACGGAACTCATGTCCACTGCATCTGGAGATTTGGGCTGGAAACCCTTCTGGCTCTGCCCCCCGTGGTGGAGTACTTTGGGGCCTTCAAGACCAGGAGCAGATTGTTGACTGACCATCTATTTACCACTAGGGACTAGATATGAGCCTTAGGAGATAGAATCATAGGCAGAGTGATACAAAAATAAACTGACGATCAAAATACATCCAGAGACATGGATCCATGGAACAGTCTGACAGTTCTTGGGGGGAGGGGAGTGCTGGGGAAGGGAAGAGATTAACCAAAGAACATATATGCCTATATGCATAGCCCATGGACAGACAACAGTGTGGGGAAGGCCTGGGGTGGGGTTACAGTTGAGTGGCGGGACTAAGGAGAAGGGAAATGGGGGACACCTGTAATAGTGTCAACAATAATATAGCGTGGCCAGAACTACATGAGCCTCAGCACTTGAGCTGAATGGACTCTTATCAAAGCACTCCATCTGTAACTGGCTATTCAATGACAACAGCCTTGTAGATGGCCCAGACATGACCCAGAAGCCTTGGTGTTCTTTCATTTCGTCTTCAAGTTCTTGGAGGGAGAGGGACCCACATTTCTTGGAAAGCTGTCTTATCAGGCCCAGACGTCCGCTAGTCCCTGAACCCAGGATATGATGTATAAAGCACTGTCGTTTCCAGTCATGTCATAAGTAATATGGGCGCACTAAGCAGCAGTGACAAGGATAGACTCATGCCAGCTGCTTGTCCAGGAGCCCTCCCGTTACCTGTGCAATGACCTCAGGATCCATAGGCCGATGGTTATTGAAGCTTTTTGACCTCCCGGCGGTCACTGTCTTCCGAATCTGCGGACTGTCCAGCCGGTTCTTCAGGGATGAGTGGCGGCTGATGGAGTTGAGGCTCCCGTGCCCACTGATGGAACACTTATCTGGCCCTTCCTTGGGGAGACTCTGGCTCATGATGGGCTGGGAAGATGGGCGGCAGCCAGCCCCCACCCCCGGGGAGGCAGAGTCTGTCAGAGAACCACTCAGCCCGTGGCTGTCACTCCGAAATGTTTTCCGGATGCTCCCCGATTCTGGCCGCTTCCTTTGCCTTCAATCACAAAGAGAGAGGGCAGGGTGACTAGGGAGCCCTGGCTCCGAGGACGTGAAGACAGGTAAGAGGGACCGACGCTGGCACCCAGGGACTTCGGGAAAAAGAGGGACACAGAGAGGCTTTCGCCACGTCTCGGTCCCCCTGCCACCCCAACTGGACAGAGAAGTGGGTACTTACTTGGCAGTCGTGGGCTTTGAGTTCTCAAGGTAGAAGGTACTGCTGTCAGGAAAAATGCGATTAAGTGAAAGTTTCTAATGGGAGAGAGATGCGTGGAAAGGCCCCTCTATTACCTGCTTTGAGCAGAAACCAAGCCCCAGGGAGAGAACAAGGTTCACCATCACCAAGGAGGTGGGGAATTGCTGGTAAGAGGAGACTTGACTTTTCCAATTGTAGCCTCTTTCTTCCTCCGACTACAAGGCTGCAATCATTTTGGGCTTTGGCAAGAGGCTGTTGCTACTCATTTTGCAGACATGGAACAGAAAATTTTTTCAAAAGGCTGCAATGTTGCAGGGTTAGGGCCAACCGTGTGCATTTTCTTAGGGTGGAAACACATCGACGTGACCCTAAATCACCCAGCACTGGGCTGGACCTTGGCTCTGTGTCCACTGGTTTCAGACCACTGATGCTCTCCTACGAAATGGTTTGGCAGAGTCCAGTTTAGTACATGGGTGTTGCCTACTGCTGAAAATTCCATTTTCTTTTGGAATTAGATACGAAAGACCCTAATCTAAGAAGCAGTAGGACTTCTGGTTTGGGGTGGCGGCTGAGCAGCTTTGATCTGAAATCTATGAAAGGAGATGGGGCTGAGGTGGGAGCTGAGGCTGTAAGAGGTAGGGGTAGACTTAGTCTACGAGGCAGGGCCAGCATTCTAAGTCTGTTCTCTTAACCGGTCAGGTCTTCCTCATTGTATATCCACAGGGCCTGGCCCAGAACCTGGCACAAAGCAGCTATTCCATGTAGCTGCCTGCTCAGTAGTTTAGAGGTGAGAGCCAGCCATTCTTGAGTTGAAAAAGGATGTTTTCAGTGTCTTATGGAGCATAGCTGAATAACTTCTCCACCAAGTTTTCCCTGGCTCCCCTTCTCCAACCAAAGGCAGAACCGACCATGCCCTCCTGCACTGCTTTTTAGTTACCTGTCTGTATGGTAAGGACTCAGCAGACTGAGTTCTGAGGCCAGGGACTACCTTACTCCTGGGACGAAGCAGTATCGGCACTTGGCACAACAGTAGGTGCTCAATCAATGTGTGCAATTAAATAGAAATGCCACACCCCAGTAACTGCTGACTTCCTTTTCCACTCGGTGGCTGACTCACGAGGCGAAAGCTGCTGAGGAGATTTGTGGAGAGGCTGGTGCATGCCAGCTCCTGGCCAGGCCCAGAGATGTAGAGGGGAAGACAGTTCCTGGTTGCAAGGAGCTCAATCCGATGGTGAATGTGAGTGAGTCCCAAAAGACACTCAGACTGTTTTAGGGGCATAGAATAAGGGCACCTAACTCAGCCCTGAGGAACTAGGGGTGTCAGAAAGTCAAAAAGGTGTCAAAGAGGTAAATCTTCGAACTGTCTTGAAGGGACAGGAGGAGATAACCAGGTGGGCCTGGGTGAGAGAGAATCTGGGGCACTCAGGCAGTGAGGGGCCTGAGGAGGGATGTGTGGAGTAGAAGCTGGGGCGGGAGTTATAGGCAGAGTCACTCCTGAGGACATGAGTGGGGGCCGGTGCCCAGGCAAACCATTCTCCAAACACCCCATCCTGACGCCACCAAGCAAGGAGCTCAAGGGAACGCCTTCCACCAGATGCTCATCCTTTAACTACTTCAGCTAGGACTCCGTACAATTCCTTTGTACAAATGGTGTTATATATATAAATATAAATAACAGTTTAAAAATATGTACCTAACTGACTATTTAACTTTCCCTCCACCAACCCTGCCTTGGTTTCTGGGCTAATAACAGGCTTATGACCTTATGATTATAGATTTATAATTAACATAGACTTGTAAATAAGGGGGGAAAAATGTGATTAGCCCACAATTACTTTTTACTAGCTCTCCCTCCCAGCAGGGCAGTACGCTGGAGGGAAAGAAATAAAGTCCTCAATCATTTTTACTGGCCTGACTTCGATTACAACTGCACTCAGTGAGCTGAATAAGCTACTTACTAACTTGAGGGCCAAAGAGACGGAGAAGAGCCATGTGTCCCAACCACGCCCCCTGCTACCATCTGGTTGGAAAAAAGCCAAGAGATCTGGGCGACCTGGTGCGGTTTAACAACAACAAGCATCCTTTATTCTCCTTCCAGTTTCAGTGTCCAGAGGCTATGGTTAACAGGTTTTCAGTGTGCAAATCATTTCATTCCTCCAAAGCCGGGGGAATAAAAACTGCGCATCGTCTCCAATCCATATTCCTCGGGAGCGCCCTGGGGCTCGTCCTCCTGCTGGCATGGGGCCAAGGTTCAGGGTCTGGCGGAAAGAGGTCTGTAGGCTTTGGGACTTGGTGTCTGGCCCCTTGAGATGAGATTAGTTCTCCAATAACCTGAATGTCTCCAGGGGAGGCAGCGGCACACGGGCGAGGGATCCCTCTAGGCAGCCAGATCGGGGGTGGGGGGAGTTAAACCCCCAGGATGTTGCTAACAGCCACAGTGAAAGCTGGGACAGAGGTAAGAGCCTGCTGGGCAGGAGTGGGGATCTGCAAAGGGACTGAGAGGAGAGAACACACAGGGCGAAAGCAGTAGGGGGAATGGAAAGGTCTTGCCACTGGCGTGAAAGGGCAGAAGGGAGGTAGGAGTGAGACAAGGAATGAAGAGCTCAGACAAAGCTCTCCTGGGGGCACAGGGGTCGCCTTTCCTTCACGGGTGCGTGCAGGATGGGGTGTATGTGGGTGGGGGACACAGACACGGCCATCTGAATAAGCCTCTGGGCTCACGTGAGCCTAGAAGACACACAGTCTTCAGATCTGTGCACAGACAAGGCCAAGAAAGACATCACAGACTATTATTGGAGTGAGAATTGGAAAAGAGAAGGCACCTCTGAGAACAGTGTAAAACCAAGTTGCTTAAAGTAACCAAAGCTTTGGCCAGAGCTGAGCAGTCAGACGACCAGGAAGGGTCTGGCTGAAGCGGGACAGAGCGAGCACCTTTCCAGGCAGGACGGCAGCCCGGCCCGGTGCCAGGCTGGGGAGGTCTCCGCCCGGGCCGCCCCGCAGCAGTGAGGAGAACATGCAAACTGCTGGGCCCGGGAGCTGCAGCCCCGTGCAGCGCGGGTAGAGGCTCAGGCCAGAGGGTGAGGCTAGGTGTGGCAGAGTCAGTCAGAGGAGCAGAAAATGAAAAGCAGCGCTTACTTGTTGATGTTTGCAAGATAAATATCAGCTACATGACCCCCACTGGGACAGCTGGCCCCCGCTCTGGCTGTCACCTTTTCTTCAGGTGGCTCAGACATGACCTCAATCTCAGACTTGGGGCTGGACCTCTCCACGACACCGTCCTCGCTGGGGGAGAAGGGGCAGGCGGAGAAAACAACACAAAGAGCAGTGTTAAATTGGCAAGATGGCCCCCAAACACACGCGACCCTGAGACGGCTCTGAGGCTGCAGCGACTAGGCTAGGTCTGTGAGCAGAGGCCAGGACACCTGAGGGCATTGGGGGGGGGGGTCATTTAAATAAAAATAAATAATCCCGCTGAGCTCCCCTGGAAAGCTGGGCTAGGGGACACCTGGATTCGAGGCACTGCCTTCTACCCACGCTACCATCCTGGGGCAGCTGGGCCAGGGCCCCTCCTGGAGGAGGAGGAGGCCAGTCCCGGTTGCAAATTATCTGCCGAGGTCCCGGGTAAGGACAGTCCGCTCTGCGTGGCTCTGGAGCTGCCGGCGCTGAGGCAGGACAGCCAGCCCTGCTCAGAGCGTCCCTGCTGGTCCCGGGTCTCTCCGCTGCTCTCTGGCCCCTCTGGCTACTGATGCCAAGAAAAGCCCCTTCTCCCCCACAATCCGTCTTCTCTCGGTCCTGCAGTGAAGCCATAACGCTAAATTTGGGAGGGTCCTGTCCATGCACAGATGGCCACTGGGTTTGTGATGTTATCAACAGAGGGAGGATTTTCCGCAGAACGAGTTGGGGAGAGGCTGGGAGGGTGCAGACTCGTTCAGGATATCAACCTTTAAAAAATAATATCAAGGGACGGACTAAACATACTGACAGCATCATATCCAAGGGGAGGAAGTGAGGCAGAGGCAGGACAGAGGAACAGGGTGGCTAGCTGGGGGCACAGGAACACCCTTCCTGCCTGGAGACATGGCTTTAGAGAGCAGGAACCAACCAGCAGCCCATCTATGAAGCCATTCCCTCTGTTCCCTGACATCTTTTCCCCTCCCTCCCCGGCTTTCTCGTGTCTACCTCATCTGGGTTAAATGGATTTGGTCATTTCCACAAAGCTGCCTTTCTCCTAGAAAAGGAACTCATTTTCATTTCAGTGGAAAGACGCCAGCAGGGGTCCAACAGGTTAGGGTGGGCAGAGTTACTATTTTATTTATTTATTTTTTTTTAAAGAGGGAGTTAGGGAGGAAGATATTTCCCCAACCTGATCTTTTCAGAAAGGAAAGTGGTCAAATAATAATCCCTCAATATCACTCATCAGGTGTAAGTGGGCATGAGCGCTCTCTGGCAGCAGAGGAGTGGTTTCCAGGGGGTACACAGCGTGGTGAGAATCAAAAACAATTCTCCACTGAGTCTGGGGTTGGTCTCCCTCATCCCCTGATGGCTCCAGAAATGGTTTCCCTCCCACAGGGCAGCCAGGGAGCCCTAAAGATGCAGGGGACCAACGTACGTGTCTTGAACCACGATGTACTGATGGGGGATGAGCCCGTCGATGCCATTGTGCCGGCCTTCCCACCAGTCGTCGGAAGCCCGCTGGTACAGCAGCAGGGATGCCCCCTTCTTGAAGGACAGCTCCCGGGCTGTCCGGCCCACGTAGTCAAACTTGGCAATGGCCTCAATGGGCTCACACTCTGCGAGGAGGGGGAAGGAAGGAAACACATGTTGCTGGGACTCACAGACTCAGGAAACTGAGCGGAAAAGCCCAATGAGCTGAACTTACAGTGGTGGGAAGATAACCTTATGTGAAAAATAAGCCATGGATAATGTTTAAAGCAGGTAATTCCTGTGTAAACTGTGCCACCATCCTGAGCGCACTGTATGCCCTTCCTGGCCTTTGTTCATGCTGTTCCCTCCACCAGGAATCCCTGTCTCTCTCATCTGATTGATGAAACACATGAAGTCACAATTCGATTATCACCTGCTTCCTATAGTAACTTCTCTGGCCAACCCTTATCACTTAACTGGCATACTGTATTTGGAAGCATCATTTCTTTTCTGATTATAAAATAACTAGAGACCCTCGGGGGATGTCAGAGGCCCTGGTGCACGGATTTGGTCCAATCCCCCCAGGCCAGGCAGAGGGACCCCATCAGACTTATAGTATGCATATAAGGTGTTTGGTTAATCTTTTCCTGCCCTCCCCACTTCCCTCTGAGATTCATTAGTCTTCCATGTTTCCAGGCCTGTGCAATGAGCGTCTGCCCCTTGGTGGTCACTGTGTGTTATAGCTATTGGTTGAACGGTGGAACGGTTTCTTAGGCTTTTATCTATCTAGATTCCGTGAATCACAGAACATTTATCATTTTATATTTTAAATAATTTATTTATGCTATCCATTCTCCCTAGAACATGATATTTTAATTTCAATAAAGAGAAAATAAGTTGCCCAATCAACTTTCTAAGAAACAAAATACAGAAATACATTTTGTGGACAATATATGGAAAAATGTACATAATTGTGATTAGAAAAATAAAAGGGGTTTACAAATGCAATGCAGTTTTACTTTTATGTGAGCCTGAATCTTGTCTATTAAATGGGGATAATAATAGTGTGTGTGTGTGTGTGTGTGTGTGTGTGTGTTTTTTCTTCATAAAATTGTCCTGAGGAGTTAATAATTTTTAAAAAATGAATTTATTGCCCTAGCTGGTTTGGCTCAGTGGATAAACCATTGGACTGTGGACTGAAAGGTTCAATTCTGGGCACATGATTGGGTTGTGGGCTCAATCCCCAGTAGGGGGCTTGCAGAAGGCAGCCAATCAATGATACTCTGTCATCATTGATGTTTCTATTTCTCTCTCCCTCTCCCTTCCTCTCTGAAATCAATAAAAATATACTAAAAAACAAATAAACAAAAAAATGAATTTATTGTGTACAACTTTATAATCTGACATCTGCATACTCTATTGTGTGCTCACAACTAGAAGTCTACTCCCCTTTTGTCACCATATATTTGACCATTTTTACCCTCTTCATCTCCCCTCATTCCTCACCCCTCCGGAAACCATTCTGTCATCTGTATCCACGCGTTTGTTTTTTTGTTTGTTTGGTTGGTTTGTTTAGCAATTCGTAAAAGTGCTTGGCCCATCGTAAATGCTGTGCGTGTGTTAGCCATTATTCTGCACATTATACTACACATTTATTTATATGCCTACTTTTAGAGAAAGGATTTGAGGTGTGTTATTCAGAGTAGATGAAAGAAACTCAATCAGCCCTGTCTGGGAATTTGAGAACCAAAGTGAACCTAAGGCCAAAGGGCAGAGACTTCACAGGAGGCAGGCCAGAGAAGGCCTGCTACACACCCTACTCTCAGTTCTGCATGGCCTTGGGCATGGCTCTTGACCTCTTAACCTCAGTTTGTTTGTTTTTAAAAAAAAAATAGCAGCACTATCTATTTCACCAGAGATTAGGTCATAAGACATATAAAGCCTCTAGCACTGGTGGGCCCACGGCAGGCTCTAACCAAATACATATTTCCCTAGTTCACCCACTTTCCTCCCATGTGGCAAATCATCATACCGATCCGTCTGACATCAGGGCCTGAATAATAGCACTAATGTTTTCTCCTTTAGAGCTGGCTGAGGATCGTAGAATTCACTGCAAAGGCGGGAACTGGGAAAGCCCCGCAGACTATGCCATTTTGTTCTTATGCCCAGAAAATTCTAAGGCCCCTTGTCAGCTGCTGAGCCTTCCAGAGCCCCAGAGATCCAGAAATGGGGCACGAAACTACTGGAAGGAGGGGGAAAGGTGCTGGCTGGACAGACCCTGGTAATCACTGCTGAGGGGCCCGGGACTGGCAGCTGTGTCCACATCCCGACGCAACCCCCCAGGCCGCAGCGCCCGCAGGTCTGCGCTCTCTGGAAAGGGTCAGTCTTTCCAGCGAGTAGACGTGAGAGCGTGTGGTTTCTGCATCCTCACTCCCACTCCCCTCTGGCTTCTGCTGGAGTCTTGGCACCCAGCTTCTGTATTCCCGGGCTTATTGCTTTTCAAACGAGCTCTTCACTTTGGTCTCTAGCTTCCTGGCGGCAGTCTGGGCTGGGACAGGAACTGACATGCTGGCGAGACAAGGAGCTGTGAGGTGGGCGAGGGCAGGGTGTTGGGGCAAGAGGTTGAGGGGCGATGAAATGTCTAGTCTTCACCTCTGGTCTGATACAGAGACCTCTCTGTCTGAGAAGGTGGGCTGCCTCTTTAAGACGGAAGGGAGGCAAGGGTTTGCTGCCTGTGTGCAGGGGACTGCTGCGGGAAGGCTCAGTGGGAGCACAGGATGGCCTCACCCAGGTAGCCCCGTGGACCCCAAGCAGAACCTCGTACCGTCATCACTCGTGTGGTGCTCCGTGCTCACATCCTGGGTGGAGTCTTCAACCGAGGCTGTCTCTCCGTGAGGGCTGTCACTGCAACAGAAGCGAGAGTAACCAGGCTCAGCGGGCTCACAGAATTCTTGTCTTCCTCTCCCATAGCGTCTTTAGGCTCAGGCATGGAGTCTACCTCATGCTCTCTTTATCCTGACTGCACACTACCGATAGACACCAATAATGACCAAGAAGGCTCCTGAGGCTCCTACTCTAGCCCCTGTTGCAAAAACTACTGCAGACTGCTTGGAGTATCTTGACACAAGCGAACACCTTTTCAATCATAATTTTTTTTCAAAACTACAAAACAACCCAACTCCTCAAGTGCTGTTTCTGTGGGTGAATTAGTTCCTGGAGGGAGCACGGTGGAAGAAAAACACTAGGCTTTAGTATCAGATACAGCCGGATCCAAGAACCCACTCTGACACTTGGGAGCTGTGTGGCCCTGGGCAAGTTACTGGTCTCTTCCAGCTTCAGTTACCTAATCTATAAATGGTCAGAATAGCTCAGGGTCATATGAGGATTCGATGAAAAAAGAGGGGGTGATTGATAAGCGGTACTTCCTTTCCTTCTTTCTCAGTCTGCTTGATGTCCCTAGGACGCCTTGCAGTTTAGCTCCAGGTACTGGAAAGGAAGTGGGAGGGGAGAGGAGTCTGCTGCGGGCTGAACAACGCAAGAGCACAAGAAAGAGAGTCAGGTCAAATTCCTGAAGAAATTCATTCCGTCTAGAATCATCCCTCAGGAATGAGGATCAAGAATGGCCAGGGAAGCCAGGACCGGTTTGGCTCAATGGATAGAGCGTCGGCTTGGGGACTGAAGGGTCCCGGGTTCGATTCCGGTCAAGGGCATGTACCTTGGTTGCGGGCATATCCCCAGTAGGGGGTGTGCAAGAGGCAGCTGATCGATGACTCTCTATCATCGATGTTTCTAACTCTCTATCCCTCTCCCTTCCTCTCTGTATAAAATCAATAAAATATAAAAATAAATAAATAAATAATAAAAGTGATTACTTCATTCTCCTACCTTCCTTCATCTATGAAATCCAGAATCTTAAAAAAAAAAAAAAGAATGGCCAGGGAAGTTACTAGGAACGTTGTTTTGCCGCCTGATCTCCTGGCTCGTGGCCTTCAGAGTGCTCAGTAAGGTAGAAAACCCCCGTTCATGTCTAACGGTTCTTTCTCTGGCACGTGGGAGTAATGAGTGAGTCTTTCCAGGTAGTTCTATGGAAGAACCACCACCCTTGCAGCCCCACCGCCTGGCCTCAGGGTCTACCTTTGAGCCCATACCTCTCCCTTCTCATGGGATGGGTCCTTCACTCCTAGAAAGGTCCCTCCAAACCAGGAGACCAGTTCAGCATGAACCCCATTAGGAGTCAGTCAAGTCCAAGGAGGTTCTCCAGGCTCCAAAGAACATTCTGGGGTGCATGAATGGGGATTCTGCTTTGTCCAAAAATCTGGGCACAATTTTTCACTGTCTTCTGGGCCTAAAACCCACTGATGAGTTTGGTGACATTCTGGAAACCCTTGGGATGCACAGGACAAAGGCTCACTTTCCTGCAGGGCTCCAAGCCATCCACTATGGGGCAGTTCTCAAACTTCAGAGAGCAGACTTTAGAAGAAAGGTGAAACAGGAATTGGGAAGTTTCGGCCCCAGAGTTTCTGATTCACTAGGTCATTTGCATTTATAATCAGCCCCACGTGCTGTTGGTCCCGGGACTCCACTTTGAAAACCACTCCTCTAAGGTAAAGATGTTTTCTAAGGTTCCTTCTTGCCCTAAAATCCCATTTTCCTCACTGTACGCCCACACCCCAGCAATACCCCAGGCCCAACCCTGTGGTCTCAGAAGCCACCCAGCAGCCGTCGGGAAAACCCGTTCCGGTCTCAGGGTGGTAAATGTGGTGAATGGCCTCTCTTCTTCACGGTCATGGGGAGGCCTAGTGGCCTGTGCTCCCTCTTCCTGGCTGTCTGGGCTCCTGGCCACTTTCCTACTGCACACCCCTACTGCTATCCCTCCCACCCCCACCTCCTTCATGGCCTTAGCTCACAGTACTGGCACCTCTCTCTTCCCAAAGGAAAGGGAGCCTTCTGAGTGGGTGTGAATCCGGGGCTGAGATGATCCCTTTAACCCCAAGGTCATTTACTCTTGATCCTCTAAGTGCCTCTGGCCTGAGGCCCAGGCCCTCCTACCCAGGCTATGTATACCATCCCTGAGTAATGTGTGGTCTTCCAGAGGCTGCTAATAAATGCTGGATGTATAACAAACAGCATGGGGCCAAGGGCAACACCTTGGAGAGAACTGGAGGAAGGTGTCCTCCCGTTCTGTGCCCCTGGAGCCCCCACCCCCACTCCCTGCCGGGGTTCCGTCTGTTCCACTGGGCTGGGACCACGGGGGAGGGGGCTGTGAGGGACCATGTCCTGGGGTAAGCCCAGCCTGCAGTGGTTTCATATTTGGGAACTGAGGGCAGACTTTAGAAGGAAAGTAAAGCAGGAATTGGGAACATTATTCCATAGTTTCCCAACACTTGTGCAAGCGGGAAACTGACCCTCCCAGTCACATGTACAAGGACAGCTCCCTGGAGCTCCTCGGCCAGCATGTTGAGACCTGAACAACCTCCCCCCGTCCCACCAACCATCTGTCAGTGACAACAAGCTTTCTCTCTAGCTGGCAAGCCGAGGTTTCTCCAGCCCGGACCCAGGTACTGGGGTCTGCAGGACAGTAGAGAGGACCAAGCCCGATGCCAGTGATATTTTCATGATCACAACACACGGATGTCCCTTTCCTCACTCCCTGAGCAGGGGGTCAGGGACAAGCGTGGACCCATCGGCCTCTAATTAAGTAAACAACCTCCTTATTCTCCCTACCTCAGTCCACAGCAATGGGGCTGGCTGAATTGGTTCCAGATGCTGAATTAGGATGGAATCTGGTTTGGGCTGTCTTACGCTTTCAGCCCAGGCTGAAACATTTTTAGGGGAAGGGAGAAGGGGGACGGGGAGGGGAGAAGGTAAAGGATGTTAGGGAGTAAAAGGGAGGCGGATGTCTGTGTTTAGTGGCAAACTAACATGGTAAGTGGTTTCCTGGTGGCAGTGGGTGGTGTCCTGTACTAAAGGAAGAGAGATGAGGGTTGGAATCCCCACTGTGGGGTGGCCTGAAAGATCGTCACTGCCTCTCTGCATGGCAGTGACTTTATCTGTACAATGGAAACAGTGACTCAGTATTTGTCCAGCGGGAGGGCCTATGTGCCTGGGATCCTGTCATATCTCTGCTCCCAGGCCAGGTCATGAAAAACCTTGCCGCACAGAATTGAATCCCACTTCGGGGTGAAACTGTGCCAGCCTGCTGAAAATGGAGCTTCTCTCCCTTCATGATTTTCTGAAATCACCCTAAATGGTCATCTTACAAATGCCCAGCCAGCAAATTATGCCCTGTATCTAAGCCTTTCCCAATAAGAAATTCCCCGGGAACCAGGAAAGTTTCGAGCACCATGCACAGCAGAGCAGAACTCTGAGAGGCACTGGTGAACAACTGTAGAAAATCCCCTTTCCTAGGGAGTAGTATTATTACTATTATTATTGTCATTATCTCTCAGAATGGTCCCTCACCACTCAGAATCATAAGAAAGAAAGGTGGCATGAAATGGCACTTCCTCCATAGGTCGGGTCAAGGTGGGACACTGCCTACACCAACCCAAGACCCTGACAGCCTGAAGAGCCTGGGAGTGGGAGGCTGGGCAGGTCTGGGTATTTCCCTTTGGTCTTGCTTGGCCATCTGGCCCCCAGGTCAGTGTGGGTGGGTGATGCCCTCCCTTCCTCCAGCCCTGGCACCCTACCAGTAATCCTCCATGCTTCCTCCTCGGCTGTAGACGGGGCCCTCCAGCTCCCTGGGGTTTGGGAAGATGTTCTCATGCTGGATGATGATGGTTTTGATCAGCTCGTTCACGTGGGCTTGGCAGGACACCTGGTCGTGGCCCTCAGGCACTGACATCAGCGAGGGTCCGAAGCAGATGGCGAGGTTGTAGGGGTCCATCATGTTCTCCTCACTGAACTGTGACAAACTGGAGGAGAAGGGAAAGGGTGCAAGCTGGAAAGCATGCGCATGAATGCCCAGGAAACACAATCACAGGGGGCACAGCCAAGAGTAAGGACAGAAGTTCTGCAAATTGCCACCTGCTTTCCTGGGCATCAGAGCCCTTCTAAAATGTTGGCAGGAGGGAGGAGGTGGGAATGACCACCATGATGGTCATTCAGGGGTCAAGGAAAGACAAAGCAGAGTACCTCCTTGCATGTTTCATCCCCTCTCTCTCTAGCTCCCCAATCAAATTCTACTTATCATCCCACCCCAGACCTTATCCACCAAATCCACTGTGCATTGCTGGATACTGCTCCAACAGACCCTCTAAGGCAGACGAAGACCTCAGGCTGGCCCGGTCATAATAGGGTTAGAAGACACAGACATTGTGTACCTTCCTCCACAGAAAAATAATCAAGTTATTAGGGATATTCCATTCGAAGATCTAGGCTTATTTTGTTTAAAAGCCTATCGATTAGCTTTTATATTCCATCAAGCCAGTGGAGTTCTTTCTGGAATAGCTAATGCAATTGTTTTTCATTTTCATAACATCCTCCTCTATTATTACATTCAGGATTTGTTCCGGAAAAGGTCAGCACACTGTTCAGCTCCTGCTCAGGCTTCCTCGGGATGCGGTCTGACTTCATTATCGGATATTTATTTATTCTGGGAACTCCCTCTTTCCAGCCAGCAGCTGCTCCAGCCACACCTCCAATCTTGGCCAAGGACCCAAGCCCTTCAATGAGCCACAGCACCTGATTGGCTCCCACTGGCCTCTATTTGTTCAGGCACCGAAGGCTGGGCCAGCTCTGGATATACTCCCCCTTACCCCCCCCCCCCCCCAACTGCAAAACAGTGAGCTCTGCCTCCTTCGGGGCATCAGCAGAAAGTCCCCAGCGCCGGATTCTGCCAGAGCCTAAGAAGACACCCAAACCCTCTGATGCTGAACGGAGGCCTGAGACTCAGCTGACTTCATGTGAGTTGGGCAGTTTACTTCTAGTGCACCCCACATCCAGACTCCAATTACCTAGTTGTCTCTATCTCAATGGTTCCCTCCTCTGTTGAAGATTCTAATAGGCTGCCCACTTAGAGAATGCCTGCAGAAACTTTGAGATGGTCCAGAGAATGTGAGCAACTGTCATGCCTCAGAGTCACTGTTTTCTAGGATCTCGTCAAACGCAGGGAGGGCGGCGATTGGAGGTTATAGAACTCAGGGGCTAGATCGCTTCTTGGGAGGTCATAAAAAGTTAATTTTGCAATCCTTCTCTGGCTCCTGAGCTAAAAGAGCAGATTCAGAAAAGGCTGGGAGATGTTTCCAAGTCTACTTCTCAGTCAAATAAAAACGAGAGAGACTGGAAATGACCTTGGTAACCTCAGCAGGGACAACTGAGGATGAGGTACCACAAGTTGTAGTGAATCACAGGCTGGCTGGTTCCTGGTGTCATGGAGGGCCCTGGAGGAGGCAGGACCTGTGTTTGTAGTGTGATCTGACAATATTTTGGTAACATGGAAGGAGACTAGAAATTTCTGGGATGTCTTATCGTCAAAGGGAAACAAACTCTAGCTCTGAGAATCCAGGCCCGCTCTGCGAGATGAGAAACGAGGCTGAGCCTTCTGAAGCAAGGCCTGTTTAAGTCATAGGTGGCTGCAATGCAGGGGATACATCTTCATGGACTGTGGTCTCAGAGGTCCAGGTCCATTAAAATATAGACCAAGATCCTTCGCTTTCAATCTGCAACAGGAACACCTAGGGTCAACGTGGGACACTGCCTTTTGGAGGGACATCAGCTCCTTCAAGAATTTGATAAAAACCAGAATTCTCTCCCCAGAATATTCATGTATGTGCACATATAAACACACACAACTTTGTATCTAATGGTATTAATGGTCCTTGGAAACACTGAAGCTCGTACCCGGTATAAGACTCAAACACTGGGTTTTGATCTTTAAGGAAACACCTAAATAATACTGCTAACAGCCCCCCCCCCCATACCAATAAAAAAAAATTTTGGCATCAACTTATATATAATACTTGCTGTCTCCTCTAAGAGTTGTGCTATATTTCTATAGTTCGGTCTATAACACCAGGGAATCCTCCTAATTGATTCCAACTCATCAGCTTTTGTGCAACTTCAAAAGGTTCAGCATTATGGCTGGGAACACAGGCTTTTTGGGGGAATGAGAAAATCAGGCTTCCTGGACTTTTTACTCTTTAATGATGTGCATTTCCCTCTTTGATTACATTTAAAAGAAAACACACACACACACACACACACACACACACACACACACCAAAATATCCCAAGAATTTCTGAGTCACAAAGACCTGGTTTTGAGTTCTAGCTCCTCTGCTTGTCAGTTTATCTAGTTCCCTAGTTTCTTCATTGGAAAATGGAGGCATAAAATGGACTTTATGGAGCTGTTGTGAAGATTAAATGCAAAATACTGAGCCCTGTGGCTGGCACACAGGTGGGGTTCCATAGATAGTTTCTGTATTATAATATTCTCACTGTTTCTTGGTACCAGATCCTTGATTCTAGTCCAGGAGTGGACAGCAGGGCTGTGGACATCCAGCAGTAGTCGATTCACAAGAGCCTACCCGCTTCTCCTGACGGGCATTCATTACCTAACTGGGAAGCATGTGACTGTGTGAGTCATGGGGGGTTCTGAACTCAAAGGCAGCTGTGGTGCCGAGCCAGGGCTTGGCTGAGGAGTGGAAGGACACAGCCATGTGGAGGAGGCAGGCTGCAGAGCCAGCACCCTCAGTCACTCTTCAGGGCCAGCAACAGGACTACAGGGCAGGGTGAGTGACCCAGTAAGGTCTCAGGCTGGGGTCACTAACCTAGACACCTACACAGCCAGGCCCACTTGTAAGCAAGCTGAGGCGCATGAAATGGTCTCTAAACTTGCATTCCTTTGAAGTAGTCACCAATCTACTAGGAATACCCCTCATTTCCACAAAGAAATATGTGCTAAAAACCCTAAGCCCCTTGGTCTAATTTTTATTTTCTCCTTTTAATAGATTCATGGATCTACAGAAATATGTCTCCACTATATAAAAAACCATAAAGCAAGAGTGATGATAAGTAGCAACTGAATTCATCCTCGGTATCAGGAGGTGTTCGGGAGGGCTGGGGTCTGGTGAATGGAGTAGTACTTGCCTCATTAGACAGCAGTCCTTACTTCACAGGGAGCTGCTGCCCTGTGGGGAGGCAGATCCAGTACTGCAGATCTAACCATGTTTCCAAGAGAAGCTAGAAATCTAGATATTGTTTAAGGATACCCCTGGTATTTAAGCGTTTCAATATTTTCAAGATATAGTGGACTGAAAGGAAACATCTATGGGCCTTATCTGGCCCTCAGGTTGCCCATTTATAACCTTTGGTCCAGGAGGCTGAAGGAGAGGCTGCAGTGAAGGCAATGTAAAAAGACAGGTGCCTAGAGAAGTATCACCTGCTGACTTTGCTGCCACACGGGGACTCCAACACCCTGGGCAAGAACACACTGCGTGGACGAGATGCTCTGGCCAAGCCCAAGGTCCCCTCAGACCCCTCTTACAGCTACACTGACTCCACGCTTCTCCCCTGAGTGTCAAGTTCCCATGTTCAGCTGCCAACTTACCATCTCCCCTTGGAGGCCTAGCAGGCCCTCAACTTAACATGCCAGCATCGGCATCTGGCTTTGATTCCTTCCTTCACACTTGGTCCTCCCTAACTCCACAAATGGCATCACTACTTCCCTATTGCTCGTGCTAAAAAGATAGAATTCTTCTTGTTCCTCACACTCTACACCCTACCCACCAGGAAGTCCTGTCAATGCCATGTTCAAAATAGATCCAAAACCTGACCCTCCCCACCACCCTCCAATACCTCCCCAGTCTAAGCCACCCTTCCCCCACCCCAGCCGAGATGGTACAATAACCTCTGAAGGGTCGACCTGCTTCTTCACAGCCTTTTCTCTTACAGTAACTTCTCCACGAAGCAGTTGGTAGGTTTTTAAAACACACACATATAGATCAGATCATATGATCAAAGATCAGATGGCTTCTCAAATACAAGCTATTATAACCATGACTGACAGGTCTTGAGAGTCTTTAACATCCCTGTGGTTCCTTCCTCTACTTCATCCAGGTTGCTGGTTGTGCCACCTCCTCAGGGAGTCCTGTGCTGACGGTCCCCTATGGAGGCTCTCTCCCTTCCAGCCCCGCCCCATTCAGCCCTGCACTCCATCCCTTAACTGACGCTTCTTTATTTTTCTCCTAAGCACTTACTACTAACTGAAGTTTCTGTTATTTTCTGTCTCCTCCCCTGGAATGTGAGCTAAATGATATCAGGACTTTCGTCTCTTATTCTGCAATGTATTCTTACACCTACATCTGTGCCCAGCACATAGTAAGTGCTCAGTAATTGCTGGGCTGGAGGAAGTGACAACAGATCTGTGTGTAAACTTCTAGTGGCTGAAGCCAAGGTCTGACCCAGCTGCTGACTGGGAAGTCTACTCACTGACTGAGGAAGGCGAAGAGGTATCTCATGATGATCAGAGTGGTTTTGGGCAGAGCCAGGATAACTTTCCGGATGTGCAGAGCTCTCTCCTGCAGGTTGTCCATTGCTGAAAGAAGAAAGCCATGTGTTACTTCTACTGTGGCTCCCAGGGTGTAATGGATCCCAGGGTGTAATGGTAAGAAGGGGAGCCTACTACCGGCAGGTGTAATACAGAGAGTGGCAAGGTCAAGTCTATGCAACACTGGTGCACTGTTCAAGGCATTTCATCCCTGTGGCTTGAGGGGTGGGGGGATATGCTGGCTCCAGACACTTACTGGGGCAGGATTTAAGGTATATACTCCTTGGGCACAGAAGGGTTTGGAGATATTCCCTAAGAATCTACCCTCTTATTAAGACAACCACAGATAAGGAACTACCTGTAAACCTGCTATGACTGTTCAACACCCAGCCTTGGAAGGCCTATGTGTGGGGAGAGAGGGAACCTGGGCAAGTCCTGTCCTGCTAGCTCTACCCATGCACAAGTCTGGCTTATCTTCCCCTCCCTATCTGCAGTACAGATGAGAAAAATGTGTCCAGAGACAAGCAATGGCTGCCCATGTTAACAGTGATAGCTAGGAGAAAACCAAAGAAGTTCCCTGACTCTTGCTATGACCGGATTAATTACAGGTATGGCCCCAGGCCAGTGGCCTCCATCATGGCCAGCTTTCCACTTCCCACTTCCTGTGGGCCGTGTGGATATTATGAGTATCTTTTTGTAAAAAAGAAATGAGAAGCAGTGGATGAGGAGCATTCTCAAGGTATCTCGTACTGTCTTGGTCGTCCTGGTCTACTTAAGATATTCAATCTAGGCCCAGTCTTAGAAAAAGATAAGAAAATAGGAGGGATGCATGTACTTGCTCACCCAAAGAACTCATTTCCACCAGACTCCCACAAATAGTGGGTCAACAAGTAAAACAAGAGGCTCCTGAATGCTCAGGCCCTTTCCTCTCGGAATAACAGAGGACAGTGCTCAGGGCATGTGAGTCAAAATGGAAACTCGGGGTGGGGATTGGGGGAAGGAGATCTTGGTGGATCTGGGGAAAAGGCTGGTTTCTCCATTTCAAAGGCACTGCCTTCTCCAGCCTCTGGAGCCACCAATCCAATGAAATGTGGTTCTAGGATGACCGGTATTAATCTAACTTCCCATGGATCGCTTTAGAGCAAGAGGCAGAGAACCTTGCAGGGGGATAAAATAGACTATCTCTCTGAAAATATATTGCTGCTTTAAAAAAAAGTTTTATTGATTTTAGAGAGGAAGGGAGAGGGATAAAGAGATAGAAACATTAATGATGAGAATCATTGATCAGCTGCCTCCTGCATACCCCCCACTGGGGATCAAGCCTGCAGCCAGGCATGTGCCCCTGGCTGGAATTGAACCCGGGACCCTTCAGTCCGCAGGATGACACTGAGCTAAACCGGCCAGGGCTATTGCTGCTTTTAATGCCCTGAGAGTTTTTATTCCTAGAAGAACGTGTATTAAAATATCCACCAGGTAAGCATGCCATGTGCAGAACAACACACAGCAAATAGTTGCAACACCTATGCTTTCTCCCTGTGTATCATGAAAAACACAAGCACTGATGTATCAGCTTCCAGAACTGGAAAGGACTATGTCTTATATATGAATATGAATATATTTTACTGAAGACAAAGACCAGAGAAGCCAAGGAATTTAAGGTGAATCAGGAAGACAAAATCCAGGCACGCTAACTGAAATGTCATTCTCTCTCTCCCCTCCACTCCCCCCCCCCCCGCAAGGGATAAAGGAGTGTTGATGAGGAGGAAAACCTTCAGTGAAAAAAGAAAACATTACTGCAAAGCTTATGAGAAAAAAAGACCCTGTAGAAACTTCTCTGTTGCTACAAGACCCTCTGGCCCAAAGGCCAGTCTGAGGCCAAGACGGTACTTACTCACGCAGGTCATCAGGTCATGGAAGATGTCCTTGGGGAAGAGAGGGTGTTCCAGCCCCCGGAAATAAAGCTTCAGGACGCCAGCTATGGAGTCCATGTCATGGTCATTCTGGTCCCCAGCCAGCGGGTCCTCTCCTAATAGGCAAACCCCCCAAAAACAAAAAGGGTGAGAGAGGCAAAACACACAGGATGTAGCAGAGGTAGTGGGGGAGGGGTGACCTAGTCAAGTTCCTCATCCCAGTCCATCAGCTCTTTGACCAGCATGGTGGTATGACGAGGGTGACCCAGGAACTGAATAAAGCAATGACTGCATAGGCTTGGGTCCCCGGGCCAGAGGAGTTCAATATGCTTGTGCCAGACTAGCTCAGGGACAGTCCCCATGGGCTGGGGATGGGGCACAGCAACTGGCTCTCTGAGAATCACGAAACCAGGCTGGGACCGAGCTCCTAGGAAAGCGAGGCCAGGGAGGCCAGCCCCTCTGCAATGCTCACACTCCTCCTGGCCTGCAACAAAGGATACCTACTTGCAAGAGAACAATATGGGGACGACTCTAACCAACTAAACAACACAACCAGGGCTAAAGGCAGCAAACTTTAGATACTCCTTTAGTTTATTGTTGTTTAGTTGGTTAGAGTCGCTCCCTATGGAAATTTCCTATCAGATGTAATTAGATTTAATGATTGGACCAACCTCAAATTGAAACTATATATATCCATTACAGTGACGGAAATTGCCAAAGCTTGCCCATTACCTTAATAGCCCACAGAATAATAAACGGGCTACGATGAACAGGCATATTAGCCTTGATATTAACTACCACCAAAGGTTCCGGGTGAAGCCATAAACTGCCCAAACACCATGGTTAACTTCTTGGGTTTTGGCAGATCATTCCCAGGAAACAGGATGAATGGGGTTGAGAGGGAGGCAGCTGAGATGGTCACTGCCATCTCCCTGCGTATCTAAGGAGAAATGTCTTTAACAGAGCAGGTGCCAGGCTGAAGAGGGAGGCGAGCTGGCTTTCCAACCTCTGGGTACTTCTCAGGGAGAAGGAGTGGAGTTAAATGTCCGGGGGGCTGGCGGACATTTAGTCTTATTTTCCAAGCCGTTTTCTCACCTCTCTCAAAGGCGTTTTTGATGTCATTCACTTCCACTTGGGACCCTGACACCCGGAAAATTCCTTCATGCTGCAGACCTGAAAAGTCAGGGAAAAGTGATCAAAAAAAAGCAAATTCACACAGCTCCAAGTTTAGCTGCACGTCTGCCTCTGTCAGCCAGCGAGTATCTAAGCAACCTTCTCTCCCTTCTTCAGGCCAACGGAGAACACATGTGCAAATTCAATTTAACTGAACAAATGTTTTGTGTGTGTGTGTGTGTGTGTGTGTGTGTGTGTGTATGTTTTTTTTAAAGCTACAATGTACTTTTTTTTCTTTTAAATCAACAATATATTTATTTGTTCAACCCTGAAATACATATAAAATGGCTTCAGAATTGCTAGCCCATATCCCCATGAAAATAATGACCATCCATGTAGATAGCCAATAAAATATTAGCTTTTGAATTCATCCTTCCTGTATTTCTTCTTGCAAAAGTGAGAGGACACATGTATATTCTTACACCCTCTTCTTTCTTGCATGAAAGGTAACATGCCTTATTATTCTTATTTTTTAACTTTCATTTTATTGGTTTGAGAACGAGAGAGGGAGAGGAGAGGGAGAAAGAGAGACATTGATTTGTTGTTTCACTTATTTATGCATTCATTGGTTGCTTCTTGTATGTGCCCTGAAAAAGGATCAAAACCACAACCTTGGTGTATGGGGACGACTCTAACCAACTAAACAACACAACCAGGGCTAAAGGCAGCAAACTTTAGATACTCCTTTGCATTTTACTTTTGCATTTGACAATATATCCTGGAAGTCTCTCCAAGTCATTTCCTGGAGACCCTCATTCTTTTTTGGTAGCTGTACAGTATTCCACTGCATGGATATACCACAGTTTATTCAACTACTTTTCTATAAAAGGCATTTAGGTTGTTTCTAATATTTTGTAATTCCAAGTGATGCTGCAATAAATAAACTTGTGCATATGTAGTTTTATGCTGTTGTGTATCTTTAAGGTAAATCCCATAAGGATTGCTGATCAAGAGACAGGTGCATATGCAGTTTTGCCAAATTCCCCCACAAAAGGTTGTAGTGATTTGCATTGCCGTCAGCAACATGTAAGCACACACAGAAACATGATAAGATACAATATCCAAAACCCATCCACTTCTCAGCTCTTCCACAGCTACCACCCTGGCCCAGGCCACTGTCCTGTCTTCCCTGGGCTACTGCACTAGCCTCCTATAAAAAAACAAAACAAAAAAAAAAACAACCAAAAATAAACCCACTCCCTGTTCAGAATTCTCCAATAGCTTCCCGCTCACTCAGGAAAAACCCCAAACACCTACCTTAGCCAACGAAGCCCTAAAGTATGACCATTCTCCTCTCCACTCACTCTGTTCCAGCCACACTGGCCTCCTGTGTGCTGGCCTTTGCATATCTGTATTTGATGTTCCTTCTCCCCAAATACTTTCCCCCAGATACCCTCACAGCTCACTCCCTTACTTCCTTCAGGACTCTGCTCAGATGTCACCTTAGGTGACCCTAGGCTTTTCCTGACCCTGTCTAGAACAGAGGCCCCTCTCCATTCTCTATCTCCTCACCTCAATTTACTTTTCTTCATGACACTCACCAATACCTGGCTTATTATATATTAATTTGTTTATTTATGGACTATACAAGGGATCATTTATTTATTTGCCTTTTAGTAGAATACAGGGCTCATGAAGAAAGGAACTTTTTCTTGGCACACAATGAGCAACCAATATATATGTCTGTTGAATGAATGAATGAATAGAATGCATGGATGAATAAATAGGAGTGCAGATGCTCTTCTTCTTATTGTCCTTTAGGCACAAGTAATTCTTCCTCCCATGAACTTAGTTTGGACTTATCTTTGCCAATTGCTTGACCATTAATCATTACTATCTTGTGAAATTTCTTACGCTGCTGTTCTGAATTACTAAAACTTATCTCTTTTTAAGTTTTCACTTGCTCATTTATTTTCTCCCGACTGTATCATAAAACCAGGGAAAGACAGCAACAGTGTATTGTCCCTGTTTTTGTTTTCCTGTTTGGCAATGCATGCCGCCCAACATGAATCAGGGGCTTGATAAATATTTGTTGACTGTTCAATAGCGATGTGAAATGCTGTTACTTCAAGTGACTAGAGATAAGATGAAAAATTGTAGCTGATTAGAATGGGGTAAGTTGTAGGCATGCTGACATAATTACTATTTCAAAAATGCACCCAAGCAATGTCTCCGTTTATCAGGAAGAGGAAGGAGACCAGCAATTATCTACACATCTCCTTGGCTCCTAGAGGGCCATTCTGTCCTTTTTTCCTGTACCTGGACAGGAGAGCACCTAAAAACAATTTCTAATGCCTAGTTCCTAGAAATCTTCAAGGCACTAGCTCAGATATCGGTGCTCTCTAAACACTTGTACTTAGAAGATCAATTCTCTGGCAGTTCACCTCTATCCCTAAATTTTGTCCAAGCAACCAAGGAGCTGGTGAAGAGGAGGGGAGTTTCTGAGACTGAGCTTTATCTAAGTAGAAGACAGCATGATTTGATTTGAGGCGAGAAGGAGCCAGTCCCAACTGACTCTCAAGTGTGGGCTACAACTTTAAGAGCAGCTTGTAACTATGCTCTTGGCGATGCTGTATACAGTGAGACCAAACAGAATGAAACCTGAATGTTTTTAGGAATTAATGCAACATTACAAAAGGAGCTGTTTGCAAAGCAGTCTGATGCAAAATGCTAATGTGACATAACGGCGAAGGCTGTGCAGTGGGAGATACTGACAAGTGCAAAGATGGTGAGTAATGGTGAAACCACCGGCACACACCATGCCAGCTGTACTAATTCACATAACAGCTGTGATAAAACTCACTCACAAGCTAGAAAGGAAAGTGTGGCAAATGACTGAGGCCTTCTGGGTCAAAACATGTGATATCTTTCTCTCAAGGGCTATGTGTGGCCATTCTGAAGTAAAAATACTACATGAACAAATACAATTTTATTCCTCGTCTGAGAATGTCAGCATGAGAAGTCAGTCTCTACACTTACTGCCGAAAGAATTCCTGGAAGTTTTTCCCGACTTTGCAAATATGAGCAAGGCTAGCACCCTGCTTACCGTGTCTGCTGATAAACCGGATACAGCTTTCCACCACCAGAGGAATTGCCTGGCTGGAATCCTGAAAAACCAAAGAGAAACATGTTAGGACCTCTAAACAGGGATAGCCCAGGGTCTATAGTAAACGGGACCAAGTGTGAGGAACCTGTCTCAGCTGATCAGTGGCCGGTCCACAGAAAAGTATCCAGCTTCTCTGCCCTTTAAGCTCCAGAGCTCATACACAACAATCTGCTTAGAATGTCATTCAGATACCTTAAGTCCAGCATGTCCTGCATGTAACTGATCACCTTTTATCCCAAATCAGATCCTTACCCTCTGCCATCCAATCAATACTTTTCAAGTTTGCCTCCTAAATATCTCTCAAATCCATTCCCTTTTCTCTCTCTCTATTGCCACCAACCAGTTCAATTAATCATTTTTTTCAATCCCCACTCTTGTTGTCCTCCAAAGCATGCTTTTCTTCCTTTATATAGTGGTTAAGTGATCTTTAAAAGTGTGCATCTGACCATTTACTCTCTAACTAAACTCTTTGAAAGACTCCTCCTGCAGACCTCTCAGATGTCAGTCTTTGCTCTGCCATTTTGCTATTCAACCCTGAAATTTATTTAACTTTTTTTGGCTTCAATTTGGTATCTTCACACTAGGGAGGGGATTGGTGGTGAGGAGAGTAATATTTCCTATTGGCACATAAACATTAGTATTGAGCACTTACAGAGGAACTCACAGATATGTTGGGCCATATACTAAGTGCTTTAGATGGACTGGTCCTGGTAACAACCCTAGGGAGTATGGATTATGATTATCCTCATTTCACAAATGAGAAAACAAAGGCATAGTCAGATGAAATAGCTGCTTACGGTGACATAGTAGTTAAGTGGCAGAGCCAGGATTCAAACCCAGGTATTCTCCTCCTGAGACTGAACCTATCTCTACCACCCATACCACATCCTAGGAACTCAGCAAACATTGCCAGGTGCACATACCAAATACTGTAAAAACCAGTAGGCTTTTGTAATGCAACTAAACACACAGAAGAAAGGGATCAGGCGGAGGGGCCCTTAACCTGGTTAGAACGGGCTGTAGAGGTTGAGGACAGAGATTGTGCTCTCAAATGGGATGAGCCCTGTGGCTTCTGCCTCTTTCCCAGTTGGTCTGTGCCCTTCCCCAGCTTTGAATTTCCAACTAAAACCATGGGGCCTGGCCACTTTAGGGAAGCAGCTGGGCCTCACGAAGAAGTTAGGGTGAGAGAGAAGTCGGCATGGCCTCTAGCTCCCAAGCTTATTGGGAACCCAGGGTGCTGCCCAAGGGAGCACTGCGTGGGCCAAGGCAGAGCTGTGGTCAGGAAGGTCTTAGTGACCCCCAAGCCCAACTGCTTCCCCAGTTTCCCAGCTGCAGTAGCCAGTGTCTGTCCTCTTGCTGCCATCGCTGACTTCTGCCAGTCAGCCTGGCTGACTTTAGAGTTAAAATCTTTGTCAGTTCTTCCATACTCTAATGGACAAAACAAAAAACAAAAAACACACAAAACCACCCATTTTGGGAAGTCTTTTATGTTTGTAAGTGTTACATACTTTTTATTTACAAAGAGTAGTAGCAGTGATATGAGGATAGTGATATGAAGGTTTGCAAAGTTTTTCTGGCTCTAGGTTTACAAAGACCTAGAGGGAGGGAAGCTGGCAAAGCTCACAAAGTTGCTCACTTCAACAAGCTGAAAACTACATATTGCCTAGACTTGCAGTAGTAAAAGGAAAGTATACAGGGTTGCAGAAAGCAAGGATTAAAGACATTAACCTGCATGTCCATAGTCAACAGGACAGGAGTGTGTCAGAAGTAGCTCAGAGAGGTAATTTGTGGGCAGACAAGAGGGGGCCCGAGGTGAGCTGCCTCCCTGTGGAAGAGTATTCTCCGGGGTCACACTGCTCCAATGGGGCCTACAGAAGAGTCCAGGGGGAGGAAAACCTGGACAAAGGCATGAAGGCTTCAGACCTTCCTAAAGAGCCCCCAAAACTCTCCCTTCACCATCGATTTTTGCATACAGCTGGCCAGGCAGTCTCTCTGTGTGTCTTACTCAGGGCCTGTCTCTCCTGTTCTTCCTCTCTCCTTCCCTCCTCCAACATTAGAACCCATATGAGTTTAATTCTTTTATTTAGAATATTTTTGGTCCTTTAATTCCAGGGTGGGAAGGGGTTTTTAAAGGACAATTGGTCCATATCCCCATTCAATCACATTAAAGGAACTTTAAACCGAAGGGAGAAAGGTAGCAGGCATAACTGGAAATAACAGTAAAGCAGCAGTCCGGTGGTTTGCAGGAGTGAACCATCAGGAAGGCGGACAGATAATGTCAAAATAATTCCTTGCTTGGTATAATTTGCCTTGAGTGAGAGCTAGGATTTTGTCAGGTACTGATCTCTGTTACATTTGTTAGCTTTCCGTTCTCACTAAGGGGGAATATACCACCTAACAACATATTAGAGGTGGGTAATGAGAAGAAAAGGCATCAAAGATAAAATGTGGGACTTCTGGGCCTGTGAAGGATGGAGGGTCCCAATAAGAGAGGTAAAGGCATTAGGGGAGGCGCTCCGGGAATTAAAACAGGGTGGGGAAGGTGAGAGGCTGATGCTACCCCATGAGGGTGGGAGGTGCTATCTTGACTCTCAAGCAGCAATGTCCAGCAACCGGTTAGGAGTCAGATCCAAAACCAGGCTGACATCACGATGGAACAAGTGGAAACTAAAGAAAGGAGATAAAGGTTCACTAAGGAAACAAAGTGACAGGGAAAAGACTACGGAGAGAAATAAGAGGGCCAAGCTTCAGGAAATGCCTGAATGTAGAGGACTGGACAAAGAAGGGCCGCCAAGGAAGATATGGAAGCCACAGGAAAGGGGAAACGCTGGGCTGAGGGGCGCAGGGAGAGTTTGGAAGCAGCAGCTGAGGTATCTCTTTTTGAAGAAAAGTCTGAAATGGTTTGAACCTAGGGTCAAAAATGACTGGAACCCATCACACACACACAAAAAAGCTACCAGATTCATCTTTTTGTTTGGCTGATTTGCAATAAACAAACAAATAATTATTTATTCCCTGGTTACTTACAAGAATGCTCATCATCCAAATTACTTACTATTTACCCTCATGACTATCAGAAAAACACTTTACTAATCCACCATTAGATTTGAGCTGTTGGACAAATACTGGGGCAGCAGAATGAAAATAAGGTCTTTATTTGATTGGGGCTTTGGCATATCCTGGAACTTTTATGCAAATCTAGCAACAGGCAAATATGCCTGGCCCGAAACTGCTTAGGTGCAACAAGATGCAAGCAGATGGGTGCCATTCCTCTCCATGGCGAGTCCAACCAGGTGTGCAAACCACTGCCAAACAGTGGTCTCCGGCACTCCTGCAGCCAGAGTGGAGGTGTGAAGCCCTTGGGCATACTCTCTATCCATGAGTAGGAGGCCCAGTTTTAGTCCAGGGACTGAAAAGAACAAGCTTCAAGTTCAATCCTATTCTTAAGTGTTTAAGGGGGAAAAAGGTTTACTTTCTCTTTAAGAGATCCACTGATTAATTTTAAATGCATTAAGTTATCCCTGGGAGTCAATCCATTCTTCTCATTTTAAATGAAATTATGGCTGAAAAGGGGAAGAAGAAAAAAAATTAAAGGAAAAAGAGGAAAGAGAATTGCAATGAACTTTCTATAATTTTAAAAATATGCAATTGTATCCAATGGTGGTCTCATTAAAATGGATCCAAAGCAGAGAAGGCAAAACAAAACAAAACAAAAACCTACAGTGACAGCAAAGCTAAGACAAGGGAGGACTATGTCATCTGGGTCCCCCCACTGGATGACCCAGCCAGCCAGAGCCATCAGATCAGCTGAAGACCCTGCTGGGCTGCTGACACCACAGAAACGAGGTGGCCTCTATATTTGATTATCTCCCTGTGGCAACAGTCACTGTGATTTACCTAAAAAGATTTTTTAAAGCTTGGATCAGCTTCCCTCTGAGTCTATACAAAGACATTTCTGTACATCTGCTAACTGTCTACTACATAGGTGGTATGAGCTTAGGAGAAACAAAATAATTTCAGTATTTGCCATGAAGAATAAATTAGGAAGTCATTTGCTACTGTAAAACACAATTCAATGAATTTTTTAAACAAGTTCAAATGCTGTTTAGATTGTATTATCCCTTGATGTAGATTATCCATCCACTGCTTTCTAAGATCTCCCCTAAATACAGGTAATGAGAGCTAGCTGACCAGTGAAGGATTTTAATCCAATACTGAAAATCATGCACAAAATTGCCTGCCTATCAATCCTAGGTCAGACTTATCTTTGCATTTTTAGGATGTCTTAGAAATACACCTAGGATGACCACACCACTAGAAACAAGTATTTGAAAACATAAAGCAAGAGTGCCTGGTGTGGGTGATTGGCTGGTGACTAGCTTCTGCCCTATTGATACAGATGTATGAAGTGTGAGGCCTCTCTCCTGGCCTTCGGAAGGACTGACACCGAGGGCAGTTCTGGCACAATCTGCTACAGTCAAATCAAACGGCACTATGTAAGATGAACAAATCAGAAAGATCATGGCCACTCTAGCTAACCAAACTAAATCAATGAAGTTGCCATAATATTAAACACTAGAGACCTGGTGCATGAATTCATGCCCAGGGTGGGGTCTGGCCGAACCACCCCAATCGGGCCCATTGGGGCTGGGCCGGCCAATGGGAGGGGCTGTGAGTGGTTGGCCAGCTGGCCCCACCCCTGACTGATTGGGGGGGAAGGCGGGTGTGTGCAATTGGGGACAGGGACAGACGGGGGGAGGGGATGAGGGAGGTTGAGTGGGAGGGTCAATAGGGGCTCCCTGATTGGCTGTCGCACTGTGCGTCATAGTGACTGGTAATTCCTGTCGCTTCGTTTTTATATATATAGATGCTATGACTACATGGTACATTCCAAACACAGGCATGAAGTCAGATAAGTGTCTGTCTTGCCTACGGTGGAATTCCATGGATGTCAATGGGAGATTATCATTTTTCATACCAGACCAGCTTGGCTCTTGCTGGGCTCTTACCTGCTTCCTCACAGTTGAGCTGCGCCTGTGGTTGACCCCATAGGATCAGAGAGGACCAATCCAGCAAAAGGGAAGAAAAATAAAATGGGGTTAAAAACAGTCTGTTCAGTGTTAATGAAACAAGTCACATTATTCTGCTAAGACCCAGAAATGGCTCAAAGACTCGATAAGTTACTTTCCATATAAGACCCATTAAAAGCTCTTTTCACAAACATACAGAGTCTCTGCTTTTAATGTCTGTCACCATTCAAAAATCAGAATAGAAAGGACTTGATTCAATTTGCAGTAAAAAAAATATTTGGGGTTGACAATAGATCTCCCTGCAAGGAAACACTAGTAAACACCAAAAGAGGCTACAGATTTCTCTCTTGGAAATACTTCAGCAAAAGAGAGAGAGCAATTTTCCTTAAAAAATTTAGAGGGTAGAGTGTCCAGATATGAAGGAACCTTGGGGATCCTCTAGCTGTGTTTAGCCTCAGAAGGCTTTCTCCAAAGGAATCTGACTCAGAGGCACATGCTCCAAGGAGTAGGAGCAGCATTGCCTTGTCTGACTGAAGGTAGGGGCCAAGGCCTACCTACTGAGCTCTCTCTGCCCCTTCCATCAGGCTGCCCTGATGAACCTCTCTGGAACCCTACAACTCCTCAGATCTAGTGCAATGCTCTTTGTCTCATAGATGAGAAAACTGGAGTTCAGAGAAGCAAAAGAGTGGCCAACGTCACACAGTGAAATAACACAGCTTAAGGGAATTCAACTTACACTAAGACTCTATCGCCATGAAGATACACTCCACAGAAATCTATTATCCTGGTTCCCTCCAGTCATCGAGATTAATGGAACCTTTATTATAATCCACAATGACAAAATGATGAAAGCCAAATGAAGCTATTTCTAAATAACGAGCCTATGATTGTAAATGGCCTCATGATTATTGTGTGTGTTGGCAGATATAAGTGGTTGATATAACGGGCTAACCCAGGGTCTCTAAGGAGTCCGGCCATTAAAGCTCCTTCTCCAGTTAAATCAGCACATGTTTAGGCATCTGAGAACTGTTGGCTGAATGAATGCCTTGCTTTCTGCCAGCTCACGAGCTTTCTCATAGCAGCCCCATCACTGGGAGGGAAAATATTTGGCTGGGGTGGGGAAGGAAGGGGAAGATGGAGAAAGATTGGGAGGGTTGCATAACTTGTACACCAGGCCAGGATTTCTATCAATGCTGTTTGGCAAGACAATGCAATGTAATATTTCAATATCCAACAACAGCCACTAATAGGGGCTGTCATCTTTTCTCAAATGCTATCTCCTGATCTTCCTTCTCGGGGTCAGAGACTTTCCAAAACCCACATGTTTAAGTCTAGCAGCTGAGGTTAGGTTACCAGGATCCTCCCTCTAGAGTGGAACATTTCTTTTCCTTGCAATATAGTGGCTTCTGGGAGTTTCTGAGATTATTTCAGCAAATGGTAAGTCCCCATCCCTCAATTCTTTTCCTAAGTCCCAGCAGATCTCACTTCCACTTGGGGCCAGGTGGTGTCAGCAAGGCAAAGGGAAAATGCAACCTCTGTCCTGAGCCACTCCTTTGCAAAGCCATCTGATGCCTTTGCAAATCGATGCCTTGGCTCTTTATCAGGCTGGGACCTCCCTAACCTCAGGTCTGATCCCAGGTCTGTTCCCAAGTCACACCTACCTGGCCAGACTGCAATCTGTCCTCTGACCTGTTGGAAAGACAAAAGCAAAAAGCACATGTTGAAGCAGAGGGTGAAAGAGTGAGATTTGCTTCTGGGAATCACCATGCAGCCCGTCTCCCCAGAGAACCTCCATTAGATCAGAGTGACCAGCCTTTAATGCAAAAGAGAAGAGGAACTTCCAGAGCCCCCTTCTGGGTGAGGGCTGTTTCTGATACTTGCTCCCAGTGGAAGGCTGCAGGTGTCCCCAAACCTTAGGTTTGCCTACTCTGCTTCCCAAGGAGGTGGATTTAGGGGAACAATAGCAAGGCAGCCACACGTTAAGAAAACCTTCCTGCAGATGAAATTTAGCTTCTCTTCTGTGTAGACAGTGTGTGTGTGTGAGTGTGTGTGTGTGTGTGTTCGCGCGTGTGTGCGCGTGTGTTGAGGAGTGAGGAGGAAGGGACAGTGAAGATATGAAAGTTCTAGTTTTAAATTCATACTAAATTCTGTTAGGTTGGGCTGGGGTGACAAGAGAAAAATGAGATTCAACACTGACATTATTATAAAACGGTGGTTTCTCAATTCAAAAGTGGATCCCAGTATTAAGTTTAATGAGTCACAGCCAGCTTTAAATCATGGGATTGGAAATCTCAATGTTCATAAGAAGTATTTCTATGTTTTGTTTTATTAAAAAAAAAAAATACAATGCACGTGTGCATGGGCCATGATACAATTGATGTTGCTCTCTTTGGGTCTACAGTTAACCACACCTGGTCTGTATTAGACCATATTAGATAAGCCAGGGAAAACCCAAGCAAGCCTGGTGTGGATAAGCTCCACACCCCTCATCTGTGCTCCTGGAAAAGCAACTCCAAGGGCTGAGAGAGGCAGGGCTTTTTCTTGCCTTTAAAGGTTGCTAATTGTTGATTACGGTTCAGCTCATCTTGAGAAACACCCTCCCCCACCCCTAACAGCCTCTCATTACTAAAGGCTCAGCTTTCATCTGCAAAAATATTATTCTGAGCCATTATTTTCAACATCTGGCCCATTTCCACTCTGGAATATTCATACATATCAATTATCTCTCTGTGGCAGGAACAAGGGGCTCTTGTGTTATGGTGACAAATACATTCAGAAGGCAGGGGCATGACGACTTGCACACAGGAAGATCTATAGCTGTTTTCTTCCTTAATGCTAGAACTTGTCATATTCAGATGAAGGCAATTTGCAGCACTAATGAATGGTCACCAACCTTCGCCCCTCCATAGCAGCACATCTGGTGCATGCGCAAATCCATTCTCTCTCACACACAGGCTCCCCTCAACTCCCACCAGGCCCTGTTCCCCATCTCACTTAAGGGCTATGCTTCAATTATCTTGGCAAAAAGAAATCATGGTTATAAACTCGCTCCGAATAGTGCTGGGCTTTCTTTCCTCTGATTCCCCGTGGAGCAATCTGATAACCCAAGAGTAAAGATTTTCTATCAGCAAAGTTTGGATCTCAAAGCCCAAATCTGTTCAGCATGAGTCTCTTGGGTGGTGGGGAGGAAAGAGAACAGAAGTTGCCTAACAGGCTTTCTTCACATAAAAGAAAATGCCCGGAAAAAAATCACAATGTCAAAGACACGAGAGATGAAAGAACCATCTGGGGGGATTGTCCAGGGGAGGAGAAGGACAGGATGCAAAAGATGGGTGGGAGGCTCTGGTAAGAAAAGAAAAGCTCTGATTCCTGGGGCCAATGAGCCAATGAATGCTGTGCACTTTCCTATACTCTGCAGTGTCTGAGGAGTGCTCAGATCTTATTTTACAAGGTTGGACTTTGTGCCAGTGCAGGTCTGTCTTGCACTGGTATTACCACAAATGCCCCGTAGGCTCCCATTTCCCATCTTTAAGTGAGATTAGTGGGGCAGGAGGAGGGGTCAGCATTCAGAGGCATCCCCAACCTGGGAATCCCATTAATCATAGGATGCTGAGAGACCCGGGCAGGGTGCCAGGAACCCCAGGGAAGCTTCTCTTTCAACCTTCGCCTTCTGTTTGACAGCTGAGGAGAAAAAGTCCAGAGTGCCAGTCCCATTCTCTGCCTTGCTACTTCCCAGGGTCTGGTTAAAATCATACTATGAGATGAGACCATCCGTTCAGCACCTTGGCCTCAGCAGGGCCCGGCCAGAGAGAGGGCTGCCATGTAGGACAGGGCTGCTCAAAGCAGAAGGAATCCGATGCTCTCCTGTGATGCTACAGAAAGCAGCAGTCTGTCCATCACTGTGCCTTCAAAACCCCTCTCTTCTCCTCGGAGCAGCTGGCAGCTCACCTCCTGGCTCCCTCCCTTCTTGCTCCAGCCTCAGTCCTGCCACAGAGGAGCTGAGAGTTTTCACAAAGTGTCTGGAGAGTAAGTAACTCCTCAGCCTTTTACCCAGGTCACAGCAGAGGAGGCGCAGGAAGGGGACCGAGCGGAGAGCAGGCACGCTCCATTTAAACAAATAGACGATGCACATTAGTGCTTCATTAAGCACCGGCCTGTTCCCATTACTCAAGCAGCCATCTGGGGAGCGTGCTTCCACATCACGGGCTAGAAAAAGAAGTGCATTCACACAACCAGACCAGGGTTGTCTTAGGGTGGGAGGCTCAGCAATACAGCCCTGGGCTGGGCCTTCCCCTCCATGCTAACCTCCAGCAGCGCCCCCACACTCACTTTCTCCCAGGGTTTTCTGGAGAAGGTCGTGCTTGGCTTGCAGCTTGGTAATGAGGTTCCTGCCCTCCAGGTACTCCTTCATTTTCTGTAGGGGAGGAGGAGGAGAAAGAGCAATCAGACTCCTGAAGGAAAAAAAAAAAATCACAGATGTGCAGCTGTACAATCCCCTTCGCAGAGAGCACTAGGTTTCTGACCCAATTCCTACCAGGTTCATTGTTTATTACTTTACGGCCCCGATCATCTGGACAGCTGCTGATTTTCATGGAGTTCTGCACTGGCCGGTGTAAGAAACCGCCTTCTACAGCCCCTCATTCATCTCTTCAGTTCCACTGAAGGGGAGCAGGGAGTGTAGGCACTGACTGAGCCTGGTCTTCTTGGTGTGAGGACACACATCTGCCACTGGTCACCTTCACTGACATCCAGCCCTGCCCCTCCCCCCCGCAGGGTGCATTCCATCTCACTAAGGAGCAATGCCAACGGCAGGCGCAGCCCCCACCCCAGCTGCAAGCCCAGCACGCACAGCATCTTTGTCTGAGCCTGTCTTAATCAGCTTTCTCCTCCATCTGCATGGAGTCTTTGTGGAAAGCCTGGGATTTCTGAGCTTTCAAGAGGGACTGCCACGCCCCACTTGTATATACAAATGTCGGCAGCTCCAAACAGAAGACGAGATTATGGGATTGCAATGCCACCTTCTCTCACAGTTAAAATACTATTGCCGTGCTGCATTTTCTGATGTGACCTCTCTCAACCCTTGAATGCCCAGTGAGAGACTAGGTTTTCCTGGACAATTTATCAAATCTTCAATACAGCTCTATGAGCTATTAATGTCATTATCCCCATTTTATGAATGAGGGCACTGAGATTTGGAGAGATTAAATAATTTGCTTAAGGTCAAACAGCGAGTGAGTGGTAGAGCCAGTATCCAAATGTGTAGTTTGACAATACAGCGTGTGCACTTAACCATTATGGTAACATGCTTCCTTTATGGTACAAAAGGAGAACACTGCACAGTATCAATTCTTTGTATACATGTCAATATGTGCAGCAAATTAAAGGTGTTTAGAGCACTTCAGCACATATTCTCTCATTCAACTCTCACAATAACTCTGTACAGCACAGTAGGGAAGGCATCATTACCGTATATTCTTACAGACTATAGGCCCAGTGCACAAATTTATGCACCAGAGGAATCCCTCAGCCTGGCCTGTGTGATTGGGCCAAAACTGGCTCTCTGACATCCCCCAAGGGGTCCCAGACTGCAAGAGGGTGCAGGCCAGGCCACAGCAGCAAGCTGGTGCACGATCAGGGCCGGGAAGGGACATGGGAGGTTGGCCAGCCAGGGAGGGACCACGGGAGGGCTCCAGGGCATGTCCTGCCTGTCTGGCTCAATCCCAATAGGCCAGACCACAGCAGCAAGCTAACCTACCAGTCAGAGTGTCTGCCTCCTGGTGGTCAATGTATGTCATAGTGACTGTCTGTCTCCTGGTGGTCAGTGCACATTATAGCGAGTGGGTGAGTGGCCTTAGCATATCATTAGCATATTACACTTTGATTGGTTGAATGGCTAATCAGATGATTGAACACTTAGCATATTATGCTTTTATTATATAGGATGAGAGGATGATCTTGGGTAAGAATGTGTCAAATAAATTGCTGATCACTGCAAGGCAGTCAGTGGAACTGTCAGGCCTGGATCTCGGGCCTTTGGCCTCTTAACTCAGCTGCTCATGGGATCTTCCTTTGCCTTGGTGTCTATTGCTGCAACAGCTCATCTGCCAGTCCAGGGCCAGCTACACATGTCTAAACTCAGAAGCAACATGGTAGTGTTTCCCTGGTGTTATGTGAGATATCTGAGGGGTTAAGTGAATAAAACATTTTAAATTATAATAGTTCTGTCTTTCTTTTAATGTATTACACAAAAAGTATAAATGCACATCAAGGCTTGGATTTTATGTCTATTACCACATAGGATGAAGACAGAATGAAAAGGTGAAAAAATGTGAGCTATATTTATTGTTTGTTTCTGTACAGTGTGAACTTTTAACCAAGAGGGTATTTCTTTTCTCTCTCTCCCTCCCGTTCTGTCATGTAAAAACAAAGAAAAAAGCCTGGGTCCAGTTGGCATGGCTCACCGGATGAGTGTCAACGTATGAACCAGGAGCTTCTGGTTTGATTCCTGGTCAGGACACATGCCTGGGTTGTGGGCTCGATCCCCAGTAGAGGAAGTGCAGGAGGCAGCTGATCAATGATTCTCATCATTGATTTTTCTCTCTCTTCTTCTCCCTTCCTCTCAGAAATCAATAAAAATATATTTTAAAAAATTCAGGAAACAAAAAAGCCTACTCTCTATGGGAAGGCCCTCATTGGCCCTCCCATGTTCACCCAGAGGCTCCTCTGCAAATCTCTAAGACTGCACTTCTCACACCGCCCTGTCCTGGGTTTATTTCTCCTGTGTCTTTCTCTTTGGACTGCCTCCTCCCTATGGCCAGAGACCATGACATTCATTATTCTTGGCATCTCTGATACATAGTACTGTGCCCACGAGTATTGTGTAGACACTCAATAAATGCTTGAGATATGAGTAAGTAAATGAACAGGCTCACTGTCCTCTGGATGGAACCTTCCACAGCAGTCATGAATGAAGCCTGCAAGTGTGCACCTACTCTCTCAATTAAGTCTAGTAAATCCTACATCAATTCATTTCTGTTGTTTTACGGGGGACCTGGCTTCCTCTGTTCCTTTGTGCTTTCACATGAGAACATCTACGTGAAAATACGCTTCCTTGTCACCTTCCTCTCTCCATCTGCTCCAGCTGCCAGCTCACCTGCTGTCAGTCTTCCCTGGGTGATATCTAACCCCCACCAATGCCTAATTGTGAGGTTTGGAAGCTACTTCAGGGCTCAGAGGTGAAAAAGCTGCAGGGAAACACCCTCTGCTAACACCCGAATCCTCACATCCTCTTTGGAAGGTTATCCCAGGAGACTCAAAGGTTTCCTAATGAGGGAAAATCTACCAGGAAACTGTAACTCTTAAAAAAGACCAGACTGCTCAGCCACAATTCTGAAAGGTGATGGATGCAAATTCCTTCCTCTCACTCAGGTTTTTACTTGTGATTCCGGAAATCTTTATTTTATTTTATTTTTCATTTATGTTCACAGTTCACTAGTTAATTCTGGCTGTCACTTGGTGAACTGTTAAAATAAATAAAAATCTGATAAGAGGTATGATGGATTCCTTTTTTTTTTTTGTCCTATTAAATCCTAAAGGACTGAAACTGTGTCTAGGTGTGACCTGCATCCTAAGACTGGGAAGAATGGTTGGGCTTTTCCATTTCAGTAAGCCAGATATGAAGATAAAAGCATCCTAGAGTTCACAGGTATGTTATTTATCACTTCTCTGTCCTGCCCATACCCAGCACTCATCTGTATGAGAGAGAAGCTGGAGGGATAACCTGGCTTTTTCTGGTAGAATTGAGTTAAAAGCTTCAGTCGCTGCTGATCAGACACACGTGAGAAGAGAGCCAAGACAGCTGAAGGCAAGGGAGGAATAGGTGGCTTTTCAATGCTTTCTGCAGACCAGGGCCAGGAAAATAACAATTTATGTGGAATCTCAAAATCCCTTCCTTGGACAATACAGTCACTTTCCTTATTTAAAGCATGTTCCAAATATTAGGTAATTAATTTTTTTTCATGCCAATGCCTATTCCCTGCTTCTTCAACAAACATCAAGAATATTAGTAAAGGGATGACCTGGTGTTTTCCTCAATAGAGGAGAAAAAAGAGGGCAGTTTTCTATTCTAAGTCACCAAATTCCTGAACACAGTCTAACCCTCCCCCTAGTTTTACACTCAGTATGATCAAAACTGAGAATTTATTCAAAAAGTAGCGAGGCAATAAGTCTATTGGGTGGTTTTGTTTTTTTGCCACTGTGAACCTTCCATTTTGTTTTTATGATCTGAACTTATTTCTTAATACATTCATTTAAAAATATATATATATTTGTATTGATTTCAGAGAGGAAGGGAAAGAGAAAGAAACATCAATGATAAGAGAGAATCATTGATTGGTTGCCTCCTGCATGCCCCCTACTGGGGATGAAGCCAGAAACCCAGGCATGTACCCTGACCAGGAATCAAAACGAGACTTCCTGGTTCCTAGTTCGATGCTAACCATACTGGCTAGGCTTAATAAATTTCTAATTGGTTATCAACTGTCAGCAATGAGTTTTATTTATTGAAAAGTATTAGTATACTTTTTCTTTCTGAGCCCTCCCTCTCTAACATTTTGACTGCAGTAAAATGGAAAAGCCTGAGTTGGAATATTCTAATCCTACCTTTTACCAAGTCTTCTAACCTTGAGCAAGTCACTTAATCTCCAGAGTCTTAGTTTCCCTATCTGAAAACCGGGAATAATAATAACTTTTTCACAGGTTGTTGAAGACTGTGATTATTAGCACAGAGTCCTGCCATTAGCAATACCCAAAAGCGTTCCTTATACTTGAATCACCTGCTCGTTAACCTAAAACAGCCATGCCCTCCACTTCTTTGCTTTGTGCTAATACATAAAAAAGAGATCTCTAGCTGAAACCGGTTTGGCTCAGTGGATAGAGCCTCGGCCTGCGGACTGAAGGGTCCCAGGTTCGATTCTGGTCAAGGGCATCTACTTTGGTTGTGGGCACATCCCCAGTAGGGGGTGTGCAAGAGGCAGCTGATTGATGATTCTCTCTCATCGATGCTTCTTTCTATCCCTCTTTCTTCCTCTCTGTAAAAAATCAATAAAATATATTAAAAAAAAATAAAAGACATCTCTAAGTCTTAAAAAAAAAAAAAAAGAAGAAGAAGCATAAGAATGTTTTGCAAATTTATTTTAAAATACCCTTGCCCTTTAAATATGCTTACCACGGAGGTATGAAATTCATGGGCCTTACGGCTTTCTGCCTTGGATTTAATCTACATGGAACCAAGACCATAAGTACCCACTGCTACAAGGGGCGGGGTATTATAGGTTGGAGGAGGGAGCCATGTCCACCAGCCCCATGTGCAGAGATACACAGATGTCACTGCAGTGGCTGCTTCCCCACCATCAGGCACACTCACATTTTCCCTCCTCCCTGTGAATTTTTAAAGCAGGAAACAGCTGTCAGACTGTATAAGTAAAATAGCAAGTCTTTACATGGTGAGAGCACATCTCCCACTTTAGTTGACAGGGCAGGGGCAGTCATTCATTTGTACCTCCTTAGCACACATTACTGAATGCCTGCAGGAGAATCTATAATAATAAAAGTGTGATATGCTAATTAGACCAGAGGTCCTTCTGGACGAAGCCGGGGCTCTGAGGGAAGCCTGGGTCCCAGGTGCCAGAGGGAAGCTGGTGCCAGCAGCCAGGGGAAGGAAGGTCTACTCTTGCATGGATTTTGTGCATCAGGCCTCTAGTACCAAGACATAAAAATATCTCAAACCACCAGGTCCACGTCTAGACCTAGAGCATTGCCATGGCCAAGGCACCAACTCCTCTCCTATTCCCTTGCCCAAATCAGTCCTCAAGAATTCAGGTAGTCTAGCTTTGTATATTTTATCAGCTGTAATCCTTAACCCCTTCCCACTGCCACCTCCATACAGGAAGTACTTAGAAAAATGCCAGCCTTACTGTCTATGAGCAGGGAATTGGTTAAATATGTGATGGTACATCCACCCATACAATGAAATTCTGCACATGCATTAAAAAAGGAGGCAAGTCTGGGCCCTAGCTAGGTAGCTCAGTTGAAAAGAGTGTTGTCCCAATATGCCAAGGTTGTCAGCTCAATCCCTGGTTAGGGCACAAACAATGAATGAATGTATAAATAAATGGAATGACAAGTCTTTCTCCCTCCCTCCTCCAACTCCCTCCATCCACCTTCCTCATTCTAAAATCAGTATAATTAATTAATTTAAAAAGGAGGCAGGTCTTTTTGGACTCATATAAAAATAAAGCCCAAAATAAATTAAGTAAAAGAGAGAGAGAGAGAGAGAGAGAGAGAGAGAGAGAGAGAGAGAGAGAGAGAGAAAAGTACAGTGTAAGTAGCATACTTCTTATATTTCTATTTAATTACATTTCTAATGTAATTCTATTGTATTGAAGGATATGTCAGTGGTAGTCTATGCATAGGATCTCTCTGGAGGGACATAGAATAAGCTGTTTTTAATTACTTGGCAGAAGGGAAGATATGGGGGGCGGGACAAGAGGGGGTAGAAGCTTGAGTTTTTTTCTGTATGCTATTTTGAAATCTTCAAAAAAATCTATTTTTTAACAGTCACAGTGAAAAAAGGCAATGGGGGGAACAGTGGACATTGCTGGGCTGTGTGTTATAGAAGACAAGCGACACAAAGCCAGAGAGCAGGGCTCGTCTCCTCACTTAGGGAGAGAAGAGGAGGGAGCTGCTGAGCAGTCTGTAAGCCTCTCCTTTCCAGCAGCTTCTTCAGCAGGTGGACAGAGAAAGCCTGGGCCCAAGGCAACAGGAACCGGAGTTCTCATGTAAGTTCCTGTTGAGGTTCTTTGGACAAGCTATCCATCCTCTCTGGGTTTGTTTTTTAATTCTTTCAATGAGAAGGTTTGTTTAGATAGTATTTAAAAATCACTTCAAGCTTTAAAATTCCATGCTAATTTTTCTGGGACTTCAACAAATGCTTCAAATTTTCAACTGAAGTCATCTGAACAGATCTATCTGATGAAAGCTTTCCTAGCAGCTCTCTGGGTTCCCTGGGCACAATACAGAGGGAGCTAAGCCACCATAAGGAACCTCTTCCCAACTTTCCAAAGGAAGCATTATAGGATGCACCATTCTGCTGTTTGTGAAGGGCACGGGGAAAAACATGACAATGTTTATGGAGGCAACAAACTAAAAAAACCCACGAGCAGTTGTGTAAGCTTTGTATGGTTTGGCAAGCACAGGCAGCCATCCTGTTTAACATGCATATCCCCTTTTCATGAACGTCCATTTCACCACTCCTCAAAACATGCTTTTATCATGAAATGAATTAACTGACACATTCTAAGCAGTAGTCACAAAGTAATGAACTCTCTTGTAAATCTGTTATTAGACAAGTTTGGACAAAAAAATGTTCCTGTTAGCCAAGGAAATTTGCACACAATTTTGATGAATAGCACTATGGCCACAAAAGATAGGAAATGGGTTAGAGAACATCAATGCAGACAGAGGGGAAAGAGCGGGCAGGATTTGAGAGGTCACCCGTTTGAAGATAGTCATTCCAGTTCCTACTGAAAGTCAATTTTAAATAAAAACGTTACATATTCATTTAAAGTCAAAAAGGAAATCTGACAGTCTTAAATAGAGATTTTTAAGTCCAAAATTTCTTATTTAATAATTACAAAAAGGAAATCTTCTTTAGTGTAATATGATTGGGTCAGTTAAGTACTATTATATCTAAGCAGTCCAGACAGACCCACCAAACAATCCTATTATTAAGAGCCTCTAGAGTGTTCAACGACATCCTGAGATAACGAAGCTTGGGGCGGCAACACAGCCCTCATTATAGTCAAGAAGTTCTCTTAATAGCTAATCCAGGTTTTTGCATTTTTTTATGCTTTTGCACATGCCGCTCTTTCCCCTCGATTCACCGCCTAGTTCACGCATCCTTCAAGATCAAGCACAAAAATCGCTTTGTGTGTGATGTTTCCCCAACTCTGTTCTTCCTGGTCACCACTCTCGCATGTGTGCAGTGTGCATGTATGCATTTTTAAATTTATATATACTTACATATGTCTTTAATTACAAAAATCAATCTGACATACCTGTTTAGAAATATATAAAGTGAAAATGTAAGCTAACCTTTCATATACCTAATCCCATCATCCCCTTCTCATGTATACCCTCAGCATTCTCAATAAATGATCAATGAACAATTTAATAATGATTGATAAATAAATAAGGATGATGGTGATAATAAATTTTCAGCACTAACTACAAACCAGGCAGTGTGCTAACTACTTTACAAAAATTAATGAATGAGCCAACATGTCAATCCATTTTTTCTATGTATAGATTTGAGTATTTCACTCAAAAGTGTTATAATTAGGTGACTTAGAAAAAATGTTAATAATTTTGGTAAACAAAAGTAGATTACAAAACAATATGTACAGCACTATCCCATTTTTTATAATAAAATTATAAATGCATGCTTAGATATGTGTATCCATATATCCTAATACTAGTATCTCTAGGTATTGGGATTATGAATGATTTTTATTTTCTTCATTTTGCTTCTAAATTTTATATAAGCATCTGTTGCTTTGTATAACAAGAAAGAAGTTATTTTAAAAGAATAATTCTCCTTTAAATCACTCCCTTTCAACAGTCTTCTTTAGGACAAAACAAACAAATAAAAACACCTAAAAATTCTGAACTTGATAAAGTAAAAAAACAAATTTCATTTTTAAAAAGATAGTAAATCACTAGTATTCTTAATGATGAAAAAGCAGTGTTTAAGGAAGAATTTACAAAATTTTTCTGGTTGTAGAAAAAAGTCAATTTACTGCATATAGTCTGTTTCTTGTCTGACAAAAGTTCATTTCTCTCATGTAGAATCAGTATGCATATTTACTGGCTATATTTCATCTCACACCTGCAAGATTAATTTCTCCTTTTTTGGTCATCAGATTAGGAAATAAATTTTAGTACAGGCAATAAACCCTAGTTGGCAAACTCAGAATAACTTAATTATTGAAAAGCAGCACCAAAGACCAGCCAGCAACTTTCCAAAGGGCTGTTAACACTATTTTAAAAAATTGGGTCCACCTGTTTAAAAAGATATTAGGAGATACATAAATAACAAAAAATACGATGTTTTGGAATTCTCTGCAAACCAACAATGCTGCCTATCCTCTGAATTTCAGCAATAATTATGAGGAAAAAAATTTCCCATCAACAAAAAATATAAAAGAAGGTCATCAGACCACCTAGAAGAGGCTACAGACTTTAAAACCAACATATCTCGGCCAGAATATTTGGACGTAGTTCCCAAGAATCAAGAGTTCCCTTTCATGAGCCCCTATGACTGAAAAATAAACTTTCAAACAAAAACTAAGTGGTTAAAAAAAAAATCTTGGTAGTAGTGTATCTGGGTGCATCCTTTCTCTTGAGGGTCCCTGTTAGACACATACAACAAATGTAGGGATGGTCTCTGAATATGCCCAGATCAAAATCTTAGGATATTCAAAGACTGCCTTTCAGACACTTGACAAAGAGTACAAGTCCCAAATCTCCTGTGTGTGCAGCGCTTAAAGATGATCTTTAAAGGCCAGCACGCTCCCTCACCGTGAAGTAGAACTGCTCTGTCTCTTGCTGGTTGGCTCTCCGCTTGGCAATGCTGGGCTTGCTCATGAAGGTTTCTGAGACTGTGGACTTGACAGACTCCATAGAGTTGCTGTACTGGAAGCAGTCAGACACGTCAAAATCCTCGACAGTCACAATGTCCTGGATGGTCTGCAGAGTGGCCTCCATTGTTTTTTTGACCTGCCAAATAAGGGCCAATGATGCATGAGGGGAAGGTGATGGAGAAGCTTGGAGAAGGGAAAAGAAATGGGCTGAGGAAGGAGGGAGGATGCTGTCAGAGGGTGCAACTCTGCCTCCTCCCATGGGACAGAGCTGAAGTGATTGATAAACACCACGTGGACCCCGGTATCAAAGGCCATACTCTCCAGTGAGGACCTAAACCATCCCCTCCCCTACACTACATACCTGAACCAGCTCCCAGCTCTTTTATTTAATGTTTACTTTTATTAGTTCTTGGCTATAATAGAAGTGCTAAGGGAGAGAAAGAATAAAATTTCAAACATACCCCAACATATAAAGAGCTAGTTCAAATGTGTGATGAGCATGGTCCTGCAATGCCTCAGGTTCTATTTTCATGACCTTCAACAAATTAACAAACTTGTTTCCCCATTTTCAAACTAAGTGACCCGTGTCCAGTCCTTCCTAATCTTCCTGGGAAAAGTGAGACCTACTAAGATGCCAGGTAAGAAGTTATGTCAGCTCAAAAGAAAAGAACCCTGATAATCATTCGTACTGTCCTTTAGAATTGGCTGTTGAAAGCAAATACAGTGGGCCAGGGAGAAAGTCACCCTTTTCTAAAAGGACAGAGATGTTTGAAGCGTCAAAGTCAAAAAGCCTCTGTTTGTTTGCAAATGCTGGAAAAAGCCAGGCAGGACGGGGTGGTTTCAGAGACACAATACTGTTCACTCAGCTGCCAAGTGCCATTTTGATTAAATGTGTAGGGGGGGAAAGAAAGCATTTTGCAAAAGCTCAAAATAGAGCCCAACCTTTGGCAATGCAAGAGCAACTTCCTGGAGTTCAAGGGCAGGATGTAGCAGAGGGGAAAATCCAAGCCTACATTTGGCTAGGAAATGTTTGCAGCAGCCCGGACATTCCCTGCGTGCTCCTTCCACTGCTCCCAGAGAGGCGGCAACAAGTTCAACAGGGAACCTCAAAAGGTGGCTCTGATCTCTTACGCAGGCAACTCACCTCTTCGTTCTCAATCTTCAGGGTGGATAAGCGAGACTGCAGTTGTTGGCATCTCTGTACCAGCTCACTCTGGACAGGCTGCTGGGCACAGAGCTGGGAAGCCTGCCAGAAACAAGAGATACCAGGTCAGAAGGAGGACACTGTACTTTCGGCGGTTCTGGAGTCCCATTCCTGCTAATAAAACTACACATATTCAAGCTGTAAGGCTCACCGTTTCTATGTTAAACCAAAATCCAAAGCCAAAGTGTGTGGTTCTCTTCTAGGACCAAGAAGAACAAAAGGGGAATGAGGAGTGGGACCCATTTGGGAGGACCAGGCCTCTCTTTGAGCCCATCTTTAGGTTGGCACAGGCAGATCTACGCAGGGTCTGTGGCTCCATGGAAGCCAGAGTTAGGCCATAGAAGGTGGCCTTGGGCAGCCCCAGCTGCAGACACACAATGCTTTGGCACAGGGAGGATTTCCTGCCAGAGTTCCAAGTGGCCACCTCTCTGGCTCCTCCTTCACCCCGCTTTGTACACCAGAGTGAAAGCAGGAGAGAAGTGGGTCAGGAGGCTAACTTGCTGCTGTTGGCAGTCAGCGTGTGTTTATAAATCTGTGCCAGGCATGAGAGCTCTGACTCAATTAGAGAAAGTGTAAAACCAGGAACAAGTCCACAGGCAATGGTAGAGGACCCCAGAGGGCATGAAATCTGGTGGAAGCTTCTGGTGGAAGATGGCATTTTCAGAGACCTCAAGTCTTCACCATAAGTGTGGGAGAGAAGTCCACCCTTCCCCCAAGGATCATCACCAGCAAGCCAATGTCTCCTGATGATGGCATGGCCATGGCATGAGCGTGAGGTCACTCACAGTCCTCAGGATGACGGATTAGGAACAGGCTATTGGATTGGGAGGAATGAGCCACATGGAGGCAGCTCCTGTCACCTTGCCGCCACGTGTCCCTTAGCCCCTCATCTAGAGACAATCTGGATAGAACTGCCCTTTCTTCCCCAGCAATGAGTGGGCACATCCACATGCCTACAGACTATTCTCTTGCTTGAAAAGACAAAACCTCTCTTCAAATGAAGTGGGCTGGGATTTGACCTTTTCCTTCATTGGCTTTTAAGCTCCCAACTAACTTGACCTCTTCCCCCAGCTGAAGGGCCGGCTGAGCCAGCTCTCAGATCTGAAGAGAGCTGACTTCACCCTGGATCTCACATAAGCAGACACAATGAAGAAAGCTCAGTGGCCAGCTTTCTGGCCAACTTAGCGCCAAGAGTAAAACTCTCTGGCTGCCTGATGTCACCGGCCAGGCATCCAAAGCCCCACCAACCCCCAGGGGCACCAAAAGTAGAGCCAAGTACCTCCTCCTCATACATCTGAGAGTGCTTGGCATCAATTCATGAGCGGAGTGCCCCAGAATACCAGTCAATGTGGGGCCTTGGCCAATTTCAGAGCTTCCGGTCAAAATGCCACCCGAACTTTGGCCCTAGTTCAGAGACTTCCAGGCAGCTCCCTTTTGTTGCTTCTATAGTTTACAGCCCCACACTGATGGGGATAGGCTGACTGTAGGGACCAAGAAAGATCCGCCCTCTCCTCTACTTTCCACTCATTTAAAGGCTAGACTGGAATGCGGAACCTTTTCAAGATCTAGCACTCGCCCCGGCCCTGTCTGACTCAGTCGCTGACCAGCTACATCACATAAAGCAAAGGCCTAGGCAGAAGAGTAAATTTTTAAAGTAACCCACACCTAGTAGGGAGGAGTCAAGGAGAGAAAACCACCTCCAAGCCTGTTCCTTTAAGAAGCAGCAGGGCTGCTGATGCATGCTTTGGCAGTGGTCCTCTACCAGGGTGCAAGGTAATGCATTCCAGCTGTGCTCTGGCCGGGCTAGGAGGGGGCCTGAGCACCCAGCATTTAGATCCCCTCATTTATGGAGACAAGCGGTTTGGCTCAGAAGGACCAGTCAACACCAGAAAAAGTATCGCACCACTCAGCTAGTCCCCAAGTTCCACTGGTTCTTGGGAAGCAGTCTCAGTGGCAGCTGGAGAAGGGGCTTGGAAGGCGAGAAGTGAGGGCAGGTGAGGAGTGGGGCTTCCTGGGGTTTGGTGACACTCCTTCCCCTGCTCTAATTGCACATGCTGCCATCTCACTTCCCCATCTGTTCAGACGCTGGCATTTCTCAAGCCACAGCAATGGAAACAGACTGTAAATGGTTTTTCCAAAAAAGGAGAGAAAAGAAATCATCTCTACATTTTTGTCTTTAAGAATGAAATAACCACTCTCTATAGTGGCCTATTGATGACAGCAGATCCTCTGGTTACACTGCAACAGCTGTCATTATGGAGCAGGGCTTACTACAGAGGCCTGGATGCTAATTCTGGCGGGAGCACCAATCCCTTGCTGAGGGGACACTGTGGTTTCTTGGTCACCTAGCACCCTGCTCTGTCTGGTAACTTTGGCCCGACTGCCCTCCAGGGAAACTCCCGTTCCACAGCTCACGCCATGTACTTTGGATGGAGGCTCTCCTCAATAAGGGGATGGAGCATGTGATCTGGGCATAAGCCAATCAGCTGACTGCAAATACCTAGACACACTGAGTGACTCAGAGATAGGCAAGTCACCCAATCAGAACCAAGAAGACACGTGAGACTGTGAGAGTTTCTAGGAGGGAAGCAGATACCCTTTCCACTGGATTTCAACCTAGAAAAAGATAAGGCAGGAGTAGTCATCTTGCCCCCACAAGATAAGAGCCCAAGAATAGGACCAACACAGGACATGCAGCAGAGAAAAGCCAGGTCCGCATAAAATTCCCACTCCTCAATTGAGCCATGCCTGATGGTTCCATCCTAAGCTTTTATTATGTAAGCCTATCCATCCTCTTTTTTATTTGAGCAGATTAAATGGTGGCTCCTACCCACAGGAATAAGGTTTACTCATTTGTGGGCACAACACCAGAACTGGAACCGAAACATTCACAGTGATTGAAGCCAAGAAGCTTCTCTTCCCTCTCACTTTTGTTTACTTAAGCCCTTCTTGTTTCAGTCACTGAAGGTAAAAAGTCCAGAACAGGGCCCCAGCACAGCCTCCCCTGCCTGGGCAACAAGCACAGCCTCCTGGATGACATCACAGCTCCTGTCCTCTCTGTAGGTGCCCATGCTTTTTTGTCCAATACCCAAGTCAAACGCCCTCTTTTATTGCAATCTTCTTCTAACCCTAGGAGAATAAGGTCCTTCAGAACTCTGCAGATGACAAAAGAGCACATTATTCCTCTCTTAGCCTTCCCTCCCCACAAAGCCATTGGTATCTGGCCCATCTCAGCTCTCACTTCTTCCAACCTCACTACTTGGACTCCCCTCTCCCTCTTCCTTTCACCATTACCAAACTGGTAGCAGTTTTCAGAACACACCTGCTGCTTTCCACTCCTCTGCTCCTTCTCATCCCTTTGGGTGCCCAACCCTACGCATATTTCTAATTCTCTCTCAACTCCTATAAGCCCCCGAAGGCTCTAATTCCCAACCTCTACGGTCAAGCTTAGCGGACAGTAGGCACTCAGTAACTGTTTGCTGAATGAGTGGAGTGTGCCTCCCTCACCTGACGGGAAGGCCAGGCGTTACTCTCCCCAGAATAATGTGGCTTGGTGTTGTGAAACTAGATTCAAATAAGTGAGGGGAGGAGAGCCTCACCATGTCCCCCATGTGGGGCTGGAACTCAAACTTCATAGGTGGGCAGAAGACATTGTTGTACATCTCCATGAGGCGCTGCTTGTCACTGGTGGCATCCAGGTTTTCGACGGCATTCTCGATGGCATCCAGACCCTCGTGCTTCGACTGCTCCAGGTTCAACTCAGCCGAGAGGAAGGTGCGCAGCGCCCGGTTCAGGCTAGCGTGGTAGCCTAAGTCACAACACTGCTGTGGAGAGGAGAGAACATGAGCAGACCCTTGGAGGACTGTGAGGTGCTCAGAAGAAAGAGAAGTCATTTGGACAAAATAAAATGATCAAATCATGCACTTGTACAGTGCTATTCAGTAAACATGAGAAGAGTTAAGAGTTAAAGGGAATCCTCTCCTATTTTCAGATTTCTCTGGGGATAGCATTATAACAAAATTCAATAACAAAAATAAAGCCTGCCACTCCCTGAGGGTTACTGTGGTTAAGTCAGTACATACCAACCAAGCCAGGCTGTTTCCACACTCAGAGTCCAAAAGTCAGAAGTGTTGCAAGAACAGTTAATTACACAAACTCAGAGCTCGAGGTAGGAGGAATGGAGGCCTGACTCTCTGCTGGTGATCACCCCCAACAACTCCCAACATTCTAGAATAGGCCTTAAGCTGCAGACAAAGATTTCAGCACTAATGTTCCTGCCCTATAGAAATAGCATCAGGCCAAAAATTTCTAAATATAAGTCTTAGTGGGAAAATTCATGTTAAAATAATCGGATTTTCTAAAGCAAAATAAAAAAGGCATGACTGAGACAACAGCATTAAAGAAGTACTGGATAGTAAGCCAGTAACCTTGGAAAAGCCACTCCCATCCCCAGACCTGTTTCCTCAACTGTAAAATGAACAGTTTGTCAGGTCAGTGGTTTTCAAGCTGTAGACCGGAGCTCTGTGGTTCTGTGCCAGAACCTTCTCAGGCTGCCCTTGAGAAGCAGTAAAAAGGCAGCCCAACTAGTAGGACTTGGAACCTCCTATACCTGCTTCAACCAAACCAACTCTGCTCTTTGTTACATTAAATAAATTGGCATTCTTTCCTGCTAGAGAAAAAGTCTGAAAATACGTGACAAAATACAATCCCTAAGTCCCTCTTCAGCAACAGCATTCTGTAACTCTATGACATTCTTCCCCATCCCTCCCAAGGGACCCAGCAATCCCAACTGCTTGATTGTCCATTATCCCCCATATTTTGTAAGCATCTTTGAGATCCAAAACCCAAAAAGACATGTCGGAGGAGAATCATGAACAGAGTAAGACCATCTGCCTGACTGCCATTGCATTCCACAAGCGGGCATCAAATCAACTCGTTCCCAGCCTTGCCCCTGCATCCCCTTCATCACTATCACACCGGGAGCAGCCGCTACTGGGGAAGAAAAAGCATGTGATCTGCCTCCTCCTCCCGGCATCTGACAAGAAGCTCAGCGACAGAGTGCCTGTCAGGCTGAGCTCTGGGTCCAGTGCCAACAGGCTCTGGCAGGTGCGTGGCTGCAGTGGAAGAACGGCAGTTACAGCTCAACTAGAGACGGAAAGACATTAAATCAGCTGAGAGGGAAGAACAAATGGAAGCTAGACAAAAGCGGCTGATTGGGAGGCTGCACGTGCAGGAGCCCTTCCTCCTCTGGGGGAACCTCTGTTCTAGCCGGGCCGCCCTTCCGCCTGCAAGCTCTCCTTAGGTGTGTAAGGCTAAGGAACAAAAGTGACACTACCCACAGGCTGAGCAAGTGTGTGGTTTGGGAGTGAGGGTGGGGGTGAAGGTTTTTAGTGCAGAAGAGAATGTAGGGGGAGGCAGGGTGCCCTTCATAAACATTACAAGGTTTTACTAGCCTCCTTTTCTCTCCATTCTCACCACCTCTATCCTAATTCATCATTTTACACCAGTGCTACCTGCTTCCCTCTCCTGCTGAAGAGCCTAGAATAGCTCTATTTTACCCCTTAAATTCAAGACCACCTTCCTCAGTTGGAAAATTTTAAAATGCCTCTATTTACAAAGTGGAGTTAAACAACTTGAGTAAGATCAATAGCCAAAACAAGTTGTAATCTCTTTAGTCTGACCATCTAACATCACCCCCCTCTAGCTCTTTCTTCAAACCTCTGCTCTAATCCAATGACACATTCTCTGTTTAGGGTAACATGTTGGAAAAACCATAGACCTCAATTCAGCTGTATGACTATGAGCAAGCTACTTAAGCTCTCTAAATCTCAATCAGGGAAAACAGCAGTCTTATAGGTTGTTGTGAGGCCAATAACAGGCTATATATATATATATATATATATATATATATATATACACACACACACATATATGACACTATGCAGACATTTAAATACCAGTCATCAATATCCCCAAATTCACTATGTCTATGCTTCAGCTCCTAGCATTTTCTCTTCTTGAAATGTTTCCCACTCCTCACCCATTGCAATTGGACCCAATCTTTGAGATCCAAATGAAATTCCCAGCCTTTGGGAAGCCAGACAGCCCTGCAACCCTGGCATGTACTGACCTTGGCCTCCCCTCAAAACCACACTCATCAGCAGCCCTCATGTGACACAGAATACACTTCCTCACTCTGTGACTTGCCATTTCGTATCACCCCCACCAGAAGGCAAGATTCAAAGAGGGCTTGGCCAGTGTCTTACTTCATTTTTCAATCCCTTACCATTAGGCCTTGCTCTTGGTAGGCATTTAATAAACTTCAGTGGATTGACTGAAGCCAAGATCCCGAGCTCTCAGAAAATCACCCAGTTAGGCTGCATATGAATGTAAGTCAAGTGGTAGATGGAGCACTGGAGCCTTTTGTGCTGTTCACCCTACATGGCCCATGGAGGGCAGGGCACTTGCTTGGGATGGTCCACTGCCTCTATTATGTAAGTGTTCTATAGCTTCTGTGTGCCAGTGAGTCGGGAGTCTGACTCACAACATACCCTTTCAGCTAACCAGGGTGGTGCAAAATAGGTTTTCCAGACCCTTGCTATCCACAAATCTGCAAGGGGACAGCTGTAATCAGAGGCATTATTAGCAAAGAAGCAATTTCTGGCAAGGTGAGGTAATGAGATTTGAATACAGAGTGAAGTAAAAGTAGGTTTACAATTCTGGGTACACGAAACACAGTTCATATATTCTTTTCCATACGAACAACTGAAAATCCCTTTGCTCCACTCTGTATTTCACGAGTACTAGGGGAATCCCAGTGATTCAAAGCAGACATCATTTTGCTCACAGTGGGAACAAAACATGCTCTCCATGGGTTCTGATGGATTCTGTACCAAGCTGGGCTCCCTTGGCCATTTCTGGGTTATATAAATGTTTGATGAAACTTTCCCAGGGGAAATCAATTTTTTATTTATAAAAATTTAATGATAGCCCATCCAGATGTGTGATGACCTGAGTTGACAGCTCATTAACCCTTTACCAGTTGAAACCCTCACCCTGAGACCCTAGAGAAGGCCTAGGACAAAAAGTGGGTATAACAACACCCACTTCAAGCTCACACAGAAGAGAAAAATAACTGCCCTTCATAAACTTTCCTGTCCAGAAAGCTGGCTTCCCTCATGTCTGACTTGAGTGTACACGATGCCACAGATTCTCCACTGATGAACATAGCATGCGCAACACTCCAGCTATGCAAGAGAACAATGGGCTGTTCTTCATTCATCCATCTGCTCCTGGGGTGACAGAGCCACAGGAGTACGGGGGAGGAACATCACATTCCAACGAGCCTATAGTTCTTAGACTCCATCTAATCAGCTCAGAATAAATGTCCTTTTGGCCTAAGTTGAGTTTTTCTGCTGTGTGTCAGATGCCTCACATGGATGACTACAGTCTGAGTTTAAATTTTCTACTATATTATAAAAAGAAGGCAAGGGCTAATCCTTGTGCCAATGTACTGACATCAACAAGAACTTTTCTCATCCCTACTGTCTGCAGCACTCACTGAGTTTCAACCCGGTAGGAAGGAGGCATCACGCAGAGGGCACAGACTGGAATGAGACGCATCCCAGAACTCTAAAAGCGAGTTCTGGATATTGCCCAGATCAGGAAGCCATCGGACCCAGGCTCCCCACTCACTCCTGCGGGTTCATTGCCAAAGCATCCTTTTGGCCATTTTTATTGCAAAGAGCAGCGAGAAATAGGAAGTACTGACACATGCAGTAACGTAGATGGTGCTCAAAAACCTCACGCTGGGCAAAAGAAGCCAGCTATAAAAAAGCATCTACTCTACCACCCCATTTTGTGAAGTCTAAAGTAGGTCAAACTAATTTATGGTGAAAGAACTCAGAGCAGTGGTGGCCGTGGGGAGAGGGAATTGACTGGGAAAAGAGGAACTTTCTAAGGTGATGGAAATATTCTATATCTTGATAGAGATTGGGTTACAAGAGTGTATGAATTTATCTTGAAACTATAACACTGAAGTTGTTATTGTATGTACATTGTATCTCAAAACATTATTAAAAGGCACAAAAAGGAAAAAAATCTTGGCTAAGAAATCATCATCTTCTTTCTCCTTCTATTCCTTTCTTCCTTCAATGAATAAACTATGCACTCAGCTAAGTATTAAGCTCTGCATGTATGTACTATGTCTGTGAGTATTTAGATAAAGAGAAGACTTGGCTCCTGCCCTCACAAACTTAGAGAGAAGACTAAGAGATCTTCCTCTGTTCTTAGCGCAGCGACTCTCAAATATTTTTTGATCTCTAGCTCACGGTGAGAAATATCTTATATCATCTCACACACAAACACACGTTCATGGGTGTGCAAGCATTTATACTTATCTAACGTAACAGTTTCACCAATTAAAACATAACTTTACTACTGCAACATACCTTGATATTTTCTTTCTTATTCTATTCCAGTCTGGTTTAATCATTAAATAAATAAACAAACAAACAAACAAATAAATAAGTCAACTCATGGAAGTGATTGTATGACTCCCTAGTGGACGGTGACCTAAGGTTTGAAAAATACTGTCCTCTAGTGTGGCAGTGAGCCCACTGCATAGACACTATCTATTTCTATAATATGTCTAAGAATACCTCTAAAACAAAAACTATTTTATTCCCTTTTGTATGCCTACTGCTGAGCACAAAGCCTCATCTCAAATAAACATTCACCAAACATTTATAAAGCAGAAAAATGTTATCGGCCTTTCTTTTTTTTTTTTTTTTTAAATATATTTTATTGATTTTTTACAGAGAGGAAGGGAGAGAGATAGAGAGCTTGAAACATCAATGAGAGGGAAACATCGACCAGCTGCCTCTTGCACATCCCCTACCGGGGATACGCCCGCAACCAAGGTATATGCCCTTGACCGGAATCGAACCCGGGACCTTTCAGTCCGCAGGCCGACGCTCTACCACTGAGCCAAACAGGTTTCGGCTGTTATCGGCCTTTCTTAAAGAGTAATTAATCTGTCCCCACCTCAAGAAAAAAACAAACCAAACCAACATCAAACAAAACAAGAGCAATTGTAGTACCTGTGTGGCCTGGCATGCTAGCACCCTGGACTAGCTCACAGTAACCCAGACTCATGCCCTAGCTGAGTACGAAGGAGGCTGGCAGGCTTCTTTCCCATGATGTTTCTTGTGGCATTCTGTGAAGACAAGCTCTTAAAATATGTATTTAATGAGGAGTCTAAAGTACAAAATAGCTTGCTCCTTAGGTTGATGTTAAAACACCTACTGCCCTAACCAATTTGGCTCAGTGTCGGCCTGCAGACTCAAGAGTCCCAGGTTTGATTCCAGTCAAGGGCATGTACCTTGGTTGTGGGCACATACCCAGTGGGGAGTGTGTAGGAGGCAGCTGGTCGATGTTTCTCTCTCATCGATATTTCTAACTCTCTATCCTTCTCTGTAAAATAATCAAAATATGTATTTTAAAAAATAAAACACCTACTAACATCTCCTGGAGGGTCATGGATTGCCGTGGTTGTGACTGACAAAGCTGCCCTGGGGTAAAAGAAAAGGACAGAACGGGAGAAGAGGGGTGGTGGACGGGCAGTCTGACTGGCCAGGTGTGAGATAAGCAGCAGACAGTGAGCATAAGAAAGAAGTGATTCTCATCCTCACGCTGAGAACAGGCCTCTCTCCCAGCGAGGAGCTGTTCCCCTGAGGAGGAGAAAGGATCCTGTTTAGGGCTCTGACCTCCATTGAAGGACAGTGTTCCGATTGGCATCAACAAGCAGGGAGACAAAGAGGCACCTGAACAGCGACCAGAGCTCCACTTACCCAGGAGGACAAAGGCACCAGGGCATGAAGGGGCTGAAAAATCCCTGGGTCAAAAGACAGGAATCCATGTTTTAGAAAAGTTCCCCTAGCAACTCTGACGTGCCATCAGGTTTAAGTACCAATGACCTACTCTAATTCTTCAGTCTGCCAGAATGGGATGGGGAGCGAGCGGATGGGGAGAGAAAGCATGGTTCTAAAATAGCTCCAAAGAATCCAGCAAGTTAGGCAAATCTTAGACCAGAACCTCACATGATATTGTAAAGTGTGGCAGGTTTGTCTGTGGAGAAACCAAGGCAGGCAGGCAAGTATGAGGGGTCTGGCCAGAGGCTTGCAAGCCCAGCTGCTACCCACTGCCAGCAAGAAGCAAACCTCAGGCCTCAGGAAGGAGACTGGCTAGGAGATCCTGAAGCCCTGGAGACTGGGCTGTTGATGCTAAGTCAGCCGGGTCCAGGCCCCGCCCTCTAATGACTGGAGGAAGAAGTGAGAAACGGTGTACAGTACACTTAAGCAGCTTCCGTCAGGACTGGTTTAGGAATTGGGTCCGATTGGAGTCTGCAGGTAGAAGGAATTGCAAGGCTCACCCACTACAAGGTTTGAGGGAAAGCAGCAGGAGAACAAGGCTGACCCATAAGGCCAAAGTAAAAAAACTTGACCCTGCTGCCTGCCCCATGCAAAACACATGTGCCTACTATCCAGCTTCTCTCAATGTCTTGGTGCCACATAGCAAGAGGTACGAGCCAGATGTCAGGGACATCTGAATACCTTCCTACCAGGACCTAAATTCACAGCGAACCTTTGGTAGGTAAACCTCTTAACCCCTCCATTCCTTATCTACAAAATGAAGATAGGTTGGTGCGTGGGCGGTTCGGTGCTAGAATTCTCGCCTGCCAAACTGAAGAGAGTAAAGCTGATTCCATATGACAATCAAATGAGATAAGACTGAGAAACATTAAGTTATAAACGTAAGATATGGCATTCTAATGTTTTTGCTCTTGCCACTCACTTCTACGTGCAAGTAGCTGATTTAAGGGAGACAGAAGTGCATAGTGTTTAAGAGCATGGGTTAGTGATCAGACTTAGGTACACATTTTGCCTCTGCCACTTATTAGCCAAGTCTGGGTGGGTCATCTGAACTCTGTGGATTTAATCTGTAACAACGGAGATAATCTTGCTCCAAGGATACTGATGAGAACTGAAGGGGAGGTAGTGTAAAGTGCTTCACCTGGTATCGGGTGCATGGCAAGCCCCGGATGGATCATAGCTACTTTATGATTGTTCTCAAAATCCCTGAGATGCCTGAGCAATAGAACCGGGGACGCCTGCCCAGATCTCCGAAACCAGGAAAGAGGCACCCTGGAGCCCCAGCTTTCAGCACTTACATCAATGAGGTCAGACAGGTCGTGGATGTAGTACTTGAAGACAGACGCATTGGTTGCCTCCAAAGCCAGTAAGTACTCATTCCGGGCTTTAATGGCCTTCAGCTTATTCTCCGTGTACTTGGCTTGGCGCTGAAAAGGGAACGAAAGCTCAATTTTACTTTTTTTTAAAAAGAGGAGTCTGTTCTCTAAAAGACGAAAGTACAGTACATTCAAGAACCACAATTGTGCTGCTACTCCCTATGCGCATCTTCCTTAAATTGGGTTCTAATTCTGTTTAATGAGATTCAAGGGCACAATGTAGATCAATCCAGGAAAGGTTAATGAGGCTCCCTACTTTAGATGCGTGTCCCACTTAGATTCTATCTGCAAATACCATTCTCCATCCTCGCACAGCTACCTTGAAGGAGGTGTCACTACATCCACTGCTGAGCAGCTGACACCTGAAGCCAAACCCTAGGTCTACGGTCCCCTTCCAGGCTTGGGAAAGGTGATTGTATGTCTTGTTTATCTGCTACAGGGGAAAAACTAGGAGCCCACATGCCCAAGTCCTCGCAGATCCTTCTGGGCAGACATCAAGGACAAACTTTGGGTCACTGGGCACTAAAAGAACCTAGAGCTTCCTTGTTCCGCTCTGTGCCTACTGGGAGATTCAGATTAGTCCTGACTTCCAGAATGTGCCTCCCTAGCCCTTAGCACTGCCGGAGCACACGCACCTTCTCTTTCATCTTCTCAATCTTCTTCACTGAGCTCCTCCGGACATGCTTCTCCTCAATTCGGATGTTGGACGAGGAGTCAGGGGAGCGTGGGGTCTGCCGGTCCTCCTGCTTTACCGATTTGCCAATCTGCTTCTCCTCCTGCTTCTCTGCCTCCTTTAGCTTGCTCTGAGCACTGATGCTGTCGGCATTGTACATGTGATATGTCTTCATGACCTGCAAGACACCCCCCAGACCCCACCCCAGAGGTCAAACCAATAGGGTCAATTCTCTGCCTTACAGACTAACAGGCCTAGCCGGACCTCTCTCTCACGAAGCAATGTCTTCATGGCCCCAAGGGAAAAATTCTTAGGTGTTTGGAGTGGATTTTAATATTATTTATTAAAGACCACTCTAAAGCACAGGAAAGCAGGATTTGAACTGAGCCAACATGCCTTATTATTAAAATGACTTCTTGTCTTCCACCATGTATTATTTATTTGTGTTTATTGTTTGTCCTCATTACTCTTTTATATTGGCCAAGTAATTTCTATCCCTTAGTCATCTCACAAGGCCAAGTAGATAGGAAACAACACCACCACTCAGACCCCAGAGCAAAGCCTGGGTAGAAACCCTGAAGAGGGTAGCACAGCCTAGGGAGTAACCTATACTTTTTGGACATTTCAGATATAAAATGGGGGAGAAAGAAAGGCTCCTGGCCTGGTATCCTGGGGATCTGTCTTGTCTGCTTTTTTTTTTTTTTGGTTAATCCTCATCTGAGGATATTTTTCCCACTGATTTTTAGAGAGAGTAGAAGGGAGTGGAGGGCAGGGAGAGAAACATACACAGAGCTATTACCTCCTGCCTACCCTCCTACTCCCACAACTAAGGGCAGGACTAAACCTGCAACCCAGGTACATGCCCTTCACTGGCATTGAACCTGCAACCCTTGGGTGTGGGGGCCAATGCTCTAACCACTGAGAAACACCGGCCAGGGCTGGTCTGCTTTCCACAAATCAAACACCTTCTCTCATAGGAATTAGAAAAGCAGCAGCAATAGCAGTGGCAGCTATCATTTCCTGAGCACTTAGTATATTCCTGACTTGGTGCCAAATGCTACATGCACATTTCTCATTTCATCCCTGAAACGATCCTGTGACCTAGACAAAAATCTGATGAAGCCTGTAAACCTGCACAATAAATCAGGGAAGAGCCTGAGAAGGAATAAAATCCACATCAAGTGAAACTGGAGTTGCCACAGGAAGGAAGTAGTATCAAAGGAGAGGGATACAATTTTCCAATTTTCCATCAAAGCAACTGTCTTGGAGTCCAATGCCTTTTCTCAACTAAGCGGCCAGGAAGCTTGGGACTTGTGTTTAATTTCTACCACTTAGCACATGCTGTGTGTCAGGAGCTTTATGTACATCACTTTATTTAGTCCTCTCAACAACTCTGTGAAAGACATGTCCTTATTTCCACTTTTAGAGATAAGAAAACTGAGCTGTAAAGAGATTAACTCTCACATCCAAGGTCACACAGCCAGCGAATGGCAGAGTCAGGATTTAAACCCAGGTTGTCAGGCCATTAAGTCCACTAAGTCACTAAGCAGCAGTGTCTCCTCTGCGTGGGACCAGAGCTGGACTTATTGGAAGGAAAGGTTAAGTTTAGTCAAGAGAGGCTTGAAAAGGGAAACTGGTTTCATTTATAGACTTGAGAAAGATCAGTGGCCTCACACGCAGACTAATTTGGTCTGCAGGGGGCATTTGGTACTGTCTGGAGACACTTTTTATTGTCACAACTTGGAGCTTGCTACTGGCATCAAGTAGATAGAAGCCAGGGATGCTACTAAACACCCTATATACAGGACAGCCCCCCACAACAAAGAATTACTGGCCCAAAATGCCCATAGAGCTGAGGTTGACAAATCCTGGGTTAGAGGCACTTTGTGAGTAAACTAATATCTTAGGATCAGCTGTTGATAGAGGAAGGAATAAAGAATATTGTGACACTTACAAAATAAGAGTGCATTAGAGTATAAATAATGTCTCATTTTGGATGCAGAATGTTTTAAATCACCTTATTTTGAACCTGACATCATTTCCCATAAGTATAAGATCTTCTCTGTAAATTCTCTACACAGGAGAAATGATATTTAATATCGAGAGCATTAAAAACTTTTCTAAGTAATTTAAGTGGTCCACCAGATTTCCAGATTGACTATGAAGTGAGAAAGAGGTATCTGGTTTCCGGGGTGATGAAGGGTAGACAGGAGGTTCCTTTTTCTCTTTTTTCACCTGAATATGACCAAGGGACTTAAAAGCTTGAGTGGATAGTCAAAAATGAATGATTTCTAAGAAACTGTTATTCTATTTCATGAAGATGCATAATAATTAATTAAGAAACACTATCAATAAACAAGAGAGACAATAAAGAGCTCAAAGGAATAGTGCCAACAAGACAACGTGTGAAGGAATAAAAATTAACTACTTATTTTGCTCCTTTCCCCTAAAGAACTTAAGAACTCTCACAAGCCGAAACCAGTTTGGTTCAGTGGATAGAGCGTCAGCCTGCAGAATAAAAGGGCCCAAGTTCAAGTCCGGTCAAGGGTATGTACTTGGTTGCGGGCACACCCTCAGTAGGAGGTGTGCAAGAGGCAGCTGATCGATGATTCTCTCTCATCGATGTTTCTAACTCTCTGTCCCTCTCTCTTCCTCTCTGTAAAAAATCAATAAAATATATTTTAAAAAGAAAAAAAGAAAAAAGAACTCTCACAAAATAAAAAATAAAAACACTATCTCATCTAAAAAACTATAAATTCCCAAGGGTAAGCACCACTTTTGTGTTTTTTTTCTCTTCTCCAAAGTTGGGAAATATGTAGACAGTGGTAGTTTTATAATCAATGTTGTTGCCCAACTGATTTAATGACATTGAATCCCTCTTCTATTGAAAGAGGAAAGAAGTATCATTTCTTACAACTCAAGGGAAAACTGAGGTACCCAAAGGCTACCTCAGTATAAGTGATGTCAAAATAACAGGAGAGAGAGGACTTGGAGAAATATATATATTTATATGCAGTGGGACAAATACAAACTAGGGGAAAAATTCAAGAAGTCTACATCCTCAGTTCTGCAAAGAGAATTTACTTTGAAAAACACAATAATGAGTTTGTCTTTAGTTCTGCTTCCTCCCCAAGCCACACTAAAATAATATAAAAGAGTTATTATTATTTTTAGTATAAATTAAGGCAAATTTGTAAGAATAAAAGTGGAAGACAAAAAGCAGGAGACAAATAGTAACTAACCTATTGGACCCTAAACCAGAAGTAGAGAGAGCCAAGAAGCATCCAGACTTCTATCACAAAATTAGCAAGAGGAATTGCTGGCATCGAGATGAAGGTAGAGATAATAACAAGAGAAACCATTAAAGGCCTGAGAACAGTTAGACTCCTAGGTCCCATCTCCTCCCCGCCTGTAGTGGAAGATGAGAGGTTTATATTCTCAGGAGTCAGCCTCAGCACCATGGACTCGGACCCCAGGCTCACTGAAGATAGGAGTACTGTACTTAAACAGAAGTAGCAACTACAAATTCTAAAAGGACTGCTGAGATTGCCCAGGCCTCTTTACAACTTGGTCCCCAAACAACTGGGAGATAGAAGAGCTTTGTCTGGAGAATATGACCATCCAAGATCAAAGACCTTTGAAATACTGGTCTTCCCCCAAACACAGTCCAATCAGATCCTTCTACAATAAAGGCCAGGTTGACATAGAACTTCAACCAGCTTTTCACTGCCTCACTTTAATATAAGCAGGCAGCCCTGGCCAGGTAGCTCAGTTGGTTAGAGTGTTATCCCATTTGCTAAGGTTGTGGGTTAGATCCCCAGTCAGGGCACATACAAGAATCAAACAATGAATGCATACATAAATGGAACAACAATCTCAATCTCTCTCTCTCTCTCTCTCTCTGTCTCTCTCTCCCTCTCTTTTTCTTTCTCTCCCTCTCTCTCTCTTTCTCCCCCTTCCTCTCTCTCTAAAATCAATAAATAAAAAGTAAAAATATAAGCAGGCAATCAAAAATTATCAGACATTTAGTGAAAATATCTAATATGAAAGACCAAAACAACCAATGTAGAGGAAACAAAGCATACAGGGGGAAAAAACAAATCATTAATAACATCCCTAGAGAGATCAATGAGAAATGAAAAAACATTGCACCATGAAAGAAGAACAAGATGCAATAAAAAGGGAACAATAAAAGAGCTCTTAGCAATTAAGATGCAATTTAAGAATCTCTCCAGGTAGCCTGACTTCATGTCCCTCCTCTGTGCAGACATGTATTTTACTTCCTACTCTATTTTTTGTCTCTTCTATTAAAACTAAGTGCCTTGAGTTCAGGGGCATCGCTTACATGTCTTTCTATACCTAGTGCCTAGAGCTGGAGACACAATCAAGCAGAGTTGGAGAGCTATCAGGTGCTAAATACCAGTCCTGGCTCCTAGCAGACCAGCTGCTGCACCAAATCAAGGGGACTATAAGCAGGAGGAGGACTTAGAATCATCATCCTCTGGTGACCAATACCCACCATGTCCCAACACCTCTTCTTTCTTTCTCAATTCTAGGGCTTCCTTGACTCTTTCCACTCAGCCTATCCATTGGCTTTAGTGTCCCCACACATACTCCTTCCTTGGGAGAGCTTGCTTGGCCTTTCCAGATACAGCCTCTGAGTAAACTGAGGCAGGGAGTTCCAGAGTTCTTTGGGATGGGAAGCAGTGTGCTCTGACTTCAAAGGCATTCCTGGATCATCAGCCAGAAAATGAAAACCACTTATGTATGCCAGGGCCTACAAACTAGCCAGCTTGTTCATTATGGGGGTGGGGAGGGGAGAGTGCCTGCAGGAGAATGCTCACTGGGATTGCTCTCTGAGTAGCAGCTGTGGGAAGCAGTTCTGGCACAGAAGCCAAGTCAGGGAAATCAAAGGCCCTTCAGGCAGGAAAGAGGAAGGTATAGAGGGGCAGCTGGCCACTTATGGAGTCCGGGCCTCTCTACCAAAGGCATCTTTATTTGGAAACACCTGGACCCTTCCTCTTGGATCATCAAGACTCAGAAGTACTTAAATTATCAACCCTTGGGTAACAGTCTTCCAAAAAGAAGTACTTATGGCCGGCTATTAGAGGAAGATGCAAGGCAAGAAAAGCACTAACTATGATGGGTTCCTTATAACCTTGATTTCCTTTATCCCATGCACACAAGCTGCCTACAGATTCACTGAAACAAGAGATGCTTCTATGCCTTCCCAAAGATCCGTATTTCCTTCTTAAGGGGAGAGAGAGAGTGAGAGAGAGAGAGAGAGAGAGAGAGAGAGAGAGAGACTCAACAAGTAGCTTCCCAAATCCAGCCTACAATGGTCCCAGGTTACTACCTGATGAACTCACTGTGCATTTAGGTGACCAGGAAGCCCTTCAGTCCTAGACAAATTAGGATAGTTGCCACCCTAATGCCATAGTGCTTTATTCATATCAGTCCTATGCTTATCTCACCCACAAGAAACAACTCATGATTCCATCCTCTGGACTTTCTAATTGCCTTCAGAATCTGCAAACTCATCTGACCCTTCACTATAGCATTCAAGTACATGGCATGTGGAGACCTGGGTCACAGAGCATCCCCCAAGATCATATAGCTAATGGTAGACTGGGTAGAATCTGGATCACCTAATTCAGGAGGCTCTAGTCACTAGACCAGGGTGTTTCAATCTTGGTACTATTGATATTTTAAGGCAGACAATTCTTTGTTGTGGGAGGCTGTCCTGTGCTTTATAGGATTTTAGTCTCATCTAATCTCTAACATACCTCCACTCCAGAGGGACAACCAAAAATATCTGCAGGATTGTCAAATGTCCCCTTGGAGGGGGGAAAGTCACCCTCTTTGAGAATCATTGTACCAGAGAATCACTGCCATCTCTGGAACATTCTAGTGTCCTCCCTTTTTTCTCTTCCTATTGCCTACAACAAAAAATATAAAATTCTATTTGGTCCCGGATAGATTATGAGTGTATATCAATTCACCTGATGGCGGAGGATACCATGCTCAGCCAATTCTGTTTGTGCACCAGTGGGAAGTTCGTATGCTCTGCGTTGTCTGTGGCCATGCAGTGGCCAGCGTGAAGTGCCCGAGACCACAGTTCTCTGAGGTTGCCAGCTTGGCCACCTCAGACCAGAACAGCAAGGGTCAGGGTTTCCTTCCTCACTCCAATATAAAGTATACCCCGTGACTTATTATTTTTAAAAAATCTTAGCATGTTAGATCTAGGGCTCTGAGTAACACTAACAGATCCCCGGACACTGTTCTTTCTCTGTTGCACCTCAAAGGTGGCACGCTGGATTTGATTTAGCCTCGGGTTTGCTGGTGATCCAACCTACTCCTCCCCAGAAACAGTGAACTGCAAAGGCCCAAGATATTTATAGGTAAAGAGAAGGATTCATAGAATGATTACATGTGTCATTTTCTATCTTAGTGAATTCTTTGCAGGAGAGAGGAGTAATAACAGCTCTCCTTGGTGCCTAGAAGATGCTCTAAAAATAAAGAGCAGAAGTAAAGCATTATAAAGACAAGGGGGTTCAGGAAACTCATCCAGTCTGAAAATGGTTCAAGCCAACACACTTCTATTTCTAACAGGCCTTAACTTCACTTGAGAGAAATGAAAACCCTGGAGCTAAACCAAAGGGTACTCTCTATCTACTTGGCTTCAGAGCCAAAGCGTCAGAGCAGAAATTCCAAACACACTGAGCGTCACTGGAGGCAAGTCTGATGACTCCCCTGTTTACTTGCTTAAGCGTTGCCATGACAATAGGGCCACACCTAGACTTTGGGATCAAGAACATGGAATTCTCGGATCCCAAATGACTGTGATCCATGTCACCATGACTGTCTTCCTGTGAATATAGAAAAAAAGAAAGGAAGAGAGAGAGACAGAGAGACAAAGAGAGAAAGAGAGAGAGAGAAATATAGCAATTAAGCAAGTAAACACAGGAAATCAGTTTCACCTCCAAAACAGGATGGGGTAACCCTGGAGAATGACACAAAGGCCTGGCACAGCTCAGCTAGAGGAGAGGCCCTGGAAGGCCTTAGCTACACAATTGAAATATTCCCTGTACGGCATCAGGAATTTCTTTGGTGTGCATGTTTGTTTTAATTATAATTAATGAAACATGGCTGGGGAAAAACAACCCCCACCACCTCCCAGTGCATGAAGAAACACGCATCAGCCACAGGCATTATGTGTCTCAAGCGCCAGTCACTTCAGGACAGATTGTGCTTTTTCCTCCAACCCTGAAGCCTGCCTCTTTACTGAGGTTTGGCCTTTATACAACCCCAGAGAGTCTATGCAAAGCTCTCTCTGCCTGGACTGGTCTCTCATATTATGGGCATTTAGGACTATGCTTCCCTCTAGAGCACTCACTTTAGTCTCAAACAGGTAGATCAACCCAAGAACTGATGCAAACCCTTGAACCACAAATCCTTTCCAACACACACATACTACTAGCGCAAAGCAGGCTGTGTTGCTTTGCCTTTAGGTGTGAGGTCTCTGGTTTGCTGCAAATGGGGTCAGTTGTGCTGGTGATCTAAGCCTTGGCTGTTCTCTAGTGATTATCCCCCAAATGAAGCCAGAGTTAGCTGGTACAGCTGAGAAAAAGTGTTTCTGGCTCATTCAGGTTTGAAAAGAAGAGTGTGACAAAAGAGATGAGATGGGTGGAGGCACCCCCAATGGGGACCGTGCACTGTCATGAACTTCAGCTCAGTTCTGTTGCTGATGCAACTGTGGCCACAGCTGCCAAATGCTGCTCCCTCTGCCTGTTAAAGAGCCAGGCAACCCGTCTGATTTACCGAGTAGAGCTCATTCAGGACCTTCATCAAATCATCTTGGAGCTGCTGGCCGACTTCTTTACTCTGCAAGAAAAGAGGAATGAAGGTCAATTGGGAAACAGAAGGAAGAAGGAGGGGGCAACAAAGGCAAGAGCAGCATTGGCTCTACAAATAACGCAGACTCAATTAAGGTCCATTATTTAATCCAGTAAATCAGATAACCACTCCGATCAGATCCAATTATGGTCAGATTACTCAAAGAGTTTTAATAAAATGAAACGTGCCCCTTCTATAGCCTAGCAAAGGCAATCGAGTGAAGGGAACATGGGTTGTAGCCTTTGGTTTTTCAATTGGTCCCCAAAGAACAGGTCTGAAAGCCACATCCTACCTAGCAATGTTAAGTGGAACAAATTTTCTCAGAGACTTGTAGCCAAGCATTCCTGAGAATTGTGGAGGACAGTAAGATGTAAAATAGGATGAGATGGGAAGAAGTATATAACCAAGGACTTCAAAGTACCTAACTAAACAGAATCCTTTAAAGAGGAAGGAGTCAGATCTCTTTTTTAATTTAATTTAATTTAATTTAATTTAATTTAATTTAATTTAATTTTGAGTTAGACCTCTTACTTGCTCTATCTCTATCTTAAACTTTCAGGGCAGTGGTACCTCAATAAAGACTGATTGTGAGACTGGCTGAACTGTTACTTGATTCTGGTAATATATGTTAAGGGATTGCCAACTGGGTTATCCCAAGTAGTGGTGGCTCTCAGGTTTTTTTGCTGCTGCCACCCAGAACTGGCATCTAACTACACAGAGAGAATAGTAGAAATAGAGAAGAATGAGGAAACAGAAAGGAAGAGCCACACCTTCTATACTAGTGTTTTATACCAAGCCCAAGAGAGCAGGGGATAAAACTGATTGGCATCACTGGGTCACTGAGAAGGGGAGCAATTGTTTTATCTTCTACCAGCTCCTTCTAGTTTCTTTCTATTAAAAATCAGATATTAACAATGCCCTTCTACCAGAAGGAATAACACACCTTGGCACAGCTCAGCTCCCAAGCAAATAAAGAAAGAGGTCTTGCATGTCAGACAAATAATCACTTAGATTTTGTCTTTTTTCAAGATGGAGGACTTTAAGAATATTATTTTTGACTACAAGAGAAATGTTTATTGTAATAAATAAAACAGTAGAAAACCTCAAAAAAGAAAAAGTAACTCTTAATTTCTACCACTAAGAAATCATTACTTTAGACTGTTACTTATTTTTCTAATCTATAATTTTTGTGAGATTGGGATTATATTATAAAACACTATCATTTATACACTTAAACATGTTGTGAACAATTCCTTACATATTATTATTATCCTATAAAATTACAATAGACCATATTGATGTAGCTCCTAATCTTGGGCATTTACATTGTTTATTAATTTTTATGATAAAAGATGCTGCATTAAATTATTTTGCACATAATCTATGCACACACCTTTCATTATTTTCTCCAAGAAGTAGCACTGCTGAGTCAAAGAGTATTTATTTATTTATACCATTAAATTGCCCTTGGAAAAAACTGTACCAATTTAAAATACCACTAGAAACATAAGAATGCCATTTCACTTTTTTGTCTTGACCATTTGATGTGGTATCCTGCTGTAATTTGTATTCTAGTGAGCCTGAACTTAAAAAAAAAATGTTTATCAGTCATTTGCGTTTTTTTATACTTTGCCACTTTTCTATTATGGAGTTAATTATGGAATATAACACGAGTGACCTTAGTCGAGGGTTGACATGAATTTTTATATGTGGGGAAGGGTGGAAGAAGCTCTGACTTAGCAATCACAAGTGTCTCACGTTCCCAGATCCTCTACCATCAAAAAGGGAACTGGATAACTTAGTTAATCTCTCTGGGCCCATGTTTTTATTTCCATAAAATGAAAGTCTTTGGCTTAAAAATTCTTAAGGTCTTTTCCAACCTCTGTCATTTTATGGTTCTTTATTATCTTTTGTCTGACTTCTTAAGTCTGTGTTAGATTCAAACACCACCCACTTCAGGTTCGCTTCACTCCATAGAGCGGAAGATAATCAGAAAGTTCTCAGGGATCAAGATGCTCAATAAAATGGATGGCTTCAAAGGTTATCTTTCCAGCCTTAAATTTACCATTCCCCATGCCTCTCACCCAGGCCCTCAACCACTGGAAGACGCCACAAGAGAGAATGTCTTTCATCTAGCTCACATACCAGCCTCTCCTTCCCATATGAGGCCAGCTGAGCTCCACTGAAGAGCAGAGGTCCCAGGAGTGAAGGGAGGCGAAATGACTCACTAACCAGCCCAGAGTCAGCAACAAGACCAGGAAGTGACCATGATTATCACTTCCAAGTGCCCTGCCCTCCCACCTCCGGACCAACTTCCCCAGCCAGCCTCCCTCCCTCCCTTACCACCTCTTATCTTTAAATAGCAAAGGTTACAGGAGAAAGCTCCCAGTCCTCTACCTTTAAAAAAAAATTAAATACACTTTTAATTGATTTTTTTTACAGAGAGGAAGGGAGAAGGGGAGTTAGAAACATCGATGAGAGAGAAACATTAACCAGCTGCCTCCTGCACACCCCCTACTGGGGATGTGCCTGCAGCCAAGGTACATGCCCTTGACCAGAATCGAACCTGGGACCCTTGAGTCAGCAGGCTGACGTTCTATCCACTGAGCCAAACCGGTTAGGGCCCAGTCCTCTACCTTGTTCCTCACCCATCACTCAAATAACTTAGTGCCCAGAGAAGGAGGATGGGTGGGGAGAAAAAACATAACCAATAAAACAGCAATTAAGCCCAGGCAGATGTTTCCTTTCATGTACTACCCATTAGTTGGAAAAGGACCGACTCATATTATCCCTGTTTATTTGAATAGTCTGCTGAAGCTATGTGGACTTCAAGCTTCCCTCTGGCTGAGGGCTGGGCTGGGGACGTGTGTGTGTGTGTGTGTGTGTGTGTGTGTGTGTGTGTGTGTGTGTGTGTATGTGTGTGTGTGTGTGTGTATGTGTGTCGCTAGCCCAGTTCAAGTACCAGATAAAGCTGCCAGCAAGCCCCCAGCAATCGGAGCAATTTTGACCCAGAGAGAGAGGCAGGAAATAGCCCAAGCCTCTCCTTTCACAGATGAAAAAGGCCACCCGTTCTCTGTGCCAGAAACCATAACTGTGTGCCTTTAGTGGCAAGCATGGCCCCAGCGTCCCCAGGAGGGCTTCCAGGCTGGCTGCTCTGGGGGGATTGGCACTACAAGGGGACCCCACCCAAAAACAACGGGGACATCTATTCCTGGGAACAACAAAACCTGAAGAGGCCGAGTCCATGACAATGAAGATTGCAGAGCCTTTCCGCTCTCTATTGAAAAAGCAAGGGTTTCTAGGCAGGGAAGCAAGAGAATTTACAGAGCAGTCTTTGTGTGTTATCGCACAGCCCGCATCTCTTCTTCAAAGTTTCTTGGAAGAGAATGAGTCATCTAAACATTGCAGGAAACCAACTAGAAGTCAAGGGAAAAAATTACTTTGGGCGAAGTTTTTCTCTTAAATGTTTGCATAGTAATTTTTGCTTTAAAAAAAAAAAAGCCTAAATTTAGAAAAGAGATGTGACACAACTGACAGAGCCGGCCCTACGGGACAGGAAGTACAATGGTGTGCTCCGGCGGGGATCTTTTATTTTGAAACTCACCACAATCGTTTGGGCCAGAACGAGTTTCAGGGCCCCCACACTGCCTGCTTCTGGGTGGGGCTGATCGGAAGGCGGTGAGGTTGCGACAGCTCCTGCCAGCTGTGCGCTTACAAAACGGGTAGGGAATCCTCCTTTTCCAACAGATAACAGCATTGGACAACAGAACAGAAACACCCAGCCTCATTTCCGCAAGGCCGGCGTGCCAAAGCCTCTCACTCACCAGCAGGAGCAGAAATGGAAGGAGGCATGAGGCTGCGTGGTCTGGGCTGCCGGGATACCCGGCTGGTCACTCATCTTTGGGTCAATACATTTCCTGAGCGGGGCTGGGTTTGTCTATTAGCATTTCCCCAAAGAACACTGATGATGAGAAGGTTTTAAAGCCAGTCCTTATCAGGGAAGATACTACAGAGCTGTGTCATTGGGCAGGCACATTACTCCCTGTTTATGTGAAAGAAAAAAAGAGGAAGGCATGTCTCGTCCACGTGGTGAGAGCTAATTTCAGCCGTCCCAAGGCTGAGTCTGTCAGCAGGTAGGAACAGTAGGGTCATTTACTTTTCTGTCGATTAGCCTGTGCCAGCAGTTTAAAAAAAAAAGTTTTCAAGGGCACAGATCTCCTTCCATCAGTGCTAGCACCCCTATCCAATCCAAAGATACTCTGAGACCAACCCTTTAAAAACATGGAACAGTTTGAAGTTGAATTTGTGTGGATGGATTTCAGAGGAAAGGGACAGGAGCCCGACAGGGACCTCTGGCAGCAGAGGCACCTCCAGCTGCACTCACTCACCTCTTCAAAGAGGCCTCGTTTCCTGAGCTGGAGATTTGCCTGAAATGCTTGGGGTGGGGAGGACAAGGCTGAAAGGAGAGGCTGCTTGGCACCAGGGCCGGTGCTAGGTGATGGTGGGCACGGTGTCTGGCTTCTCCCCAGCTTATCAAAGGTGGTGCAGAGTGAGGCTGTGAGGACAGCTCAGAGCCCAGGAAGGATTCCAGGTTTCCCCTGGGCCACACCACCTGTGTATAGGCAGAGGCCTCTATACAGCCTTCACTCACTGATTAAGCTGCCACATGATGGCTCCCGGGAACCATGCTCCAGTCATGACCTTATACTCTGGGCTGCCCAAAGTAGCATAAAATACAAATCTACTGAATGGCAAATGTTCTATAGAGAGGTAAGCAGCGAGCTGCCACAAAAGGGATGCCTGAAGTGCTTTTACTCTCCGATAAAAAGTAGAGAAGGATTTCAAAAAATTCATTTTTAAAACTGTAATCCAGTGTTTACAACTACTTATTATGTGCACTGCATTCTGATATTTCTTATTTCTTTCTCTTCTATTTTTTTTTTGTTAGTCATAATTCAACAAGGTCACTTCACAATTCATTAGTGATT